ACATACATACATACATACATACATACATACATACATACATACATACATACATACATACATACATACATACATACATACATACATACATACATACAAATATCTACAATACGATACAAGTCAGCGTTCAAGACGCGCCATAATCCACAAAACCCGTGAAGAAGCCGGTCCGATATAGATTTTGATATTGTTATAAACCTTCTTTCATATTTACACGTACTGCATGTATACCAGATTTCTCCACCAATCCAGAAAAAGGAAAACGAAGAAGCTTTACGCTAGATCACGTCTGTGCAAGAGAAAGATATCTGTTCAGGTAGACCGGTTGTTTACAAACAGTGTTTGTTGCACAACACTTCGTGCCCCTTTGTCATATATACACATATATACACATATATACACATATATACACATATATACACATATATACACATATATACACATATATACACATATATTATATGTGGTCTTACTCGTACAATCACGCCGACGTACGAAAGCAAGGGTGGAAATATACGGTTTGTATTTCAAGATTTCGGCATTTCGGGGGGTATCTAACATAATACATGATGATGCGTTCAAAACCCTTTCTTCCCCAACCACAATCATGTCTAGAATGCCTGCCTATGCATGTATATATATGTGTGGAAAGCCAACTGACAATGCAATCGTACACAGCTCCCAGGCCCGCTGTCAAATGCAAATGCAACAAGACGCCCGCTAAGATAAAAGACGTCATGAAAGAATGGTACATGTCATGACCCCGTGGTTCATAACTATTCTGGTACCACATCCAAGCTATTACCCGTCTGCGTCAGACTCAGGCTCGCACCACGGTCCAATTCGGATGCTGCTGCGGTGTTACTCGCAGGGCTTGTGAACCCACTCCCACCTCCGGCTGTCGCTGCAGATGAACCTGCCGGTATCTCCTCCGCAAGCCGCTCTGCGACATTAGAGTCATACTCGCGCTCCTGCGCGCGCACGGCCTCGGGCGCTACCTTCCTTGCTCCGGCAAGAAAATCAACGTCTCCGTCGTCGTCATCATCGTCATCGTCTTCATCATCGTCTTCTTCAGAAGTGTAGTCGTCCTCGTCCGAGGAGTCGTCGCGGTAATTGGATAGAGGTTGACGACTAACGGTTGGGGGTCGCAGATCGTCTAGCATGTCGACGTCTGAGTCTGCGTCGGAGGCGTCGCTATCATCGGAGAACTCTGCGTCTGGAGAGGAGGAGTCGAGAGGAAGGAAAGAGGCAGGAGGGAGGGTTGAGACAGGGAGTGTTTCGGTTTTGGTGGAAACAATTTCGTCGGTAAAGGCGATATTAGACCTGCGCGCGTCCGCGACTACGGCATCTAGTTTGTGTGGAGGGTGGGAGCCTCGTTTCTTCGAAGCCTCCTCGTCATGCTTAATGTGGCGGGAGACGACGTGGATGGCAAAATGATCTTGCGGCTGGACACCGCCGAGACCCGAAACTTCGAAGTCGTACGCTTTGAATTGTTTATTTGTGCTTGCGTTATTCTCAAGAGACTTCAGGGAGAAGTGGAACTCGGACGATGTTGAGCTAGGTGTGCTGTTGATGTCCTTCATTTCGACGTCGTCCACTACGTTTCGGAAAACTCCGGTAATATCGCGGCGTTCAAAAACATCTCTCAAAGGTGATCCGGAATTCAGATCTTCACCGACTGGGCGAGTGGTTACTGGGTCGTAAGACGTGACATTCTTATTCGGAAGACCAGCCGCATTCGCATCTCCGCTCAAGTCCGTGCAGAATTTAGCCTTGTTGTAGAAGATAATAGGTCCATCTTCTCGTCGTCGCTTCGAAGACGAAGTCCTCATGCCCGAACTAGCAAACGCAGATGAGTCGCGGCCGGGCATAGGAGAGGATATCGATGACATTTCCATATTCAAACAATCATCCTCGTCGTCCGACTCGTCCTTGTGATGAAATATAGGGGTGTATAACAGCTTGTTATTTTCTTTCTCTTTCTGTAGCCTCGCAAGCTTTTGCGCCTTCTTTCGTGGATCTGAGTTGTCGCTGCTACTGATGGTCCTCTTTAACCCTGTCGCACCAGTGCCATCAAGGACGGAGTCGGGCGAGACGCCCTCACGTCTTTCAGATGAGGTGTCGCTGCTGTTCCGAGTAATGTCTTGACCTCCTTTCCAGCGAATCTTGCGACCATCTTTTGAGAGCTCAAGCTTCGAACTATACTTTTCCACCGCGTGCTTGACAAAGTCGACTGTGACATTTATAGTATGCAGTTGTGCCATGTTTATCACTAGGTTCAAGTATAGCCATCCATGGTCATCCTCAGGAGACAGACCTTGGTCTTGCGGCGTGAAACCCAGGTGGCGGAAGTATTCAATATTATCAGAGGGTACCTGCTCTCGATGAGGGTCTAGGTCGAGTGGTCGTGTTGGTCTCTGGTCCGGTGAGGCTGTGTCAGCAAAGTCTTGCTGAGCGACAGTGGCGGGTAGACCATGATGCTGAATGGCACCCGTGCTCTCAATCTCATCATCTTGGTCGATGGACGGCATGATCTTGGCAATACGATTACCCTCCTTCTGGGATTGTTTCCCCTTAGCCTCGCTCAATTTTCTGTCAGCTATAGCAGCAGAATTGGCTACCTCTTGCTGCTGCATTGGATGCTGATGCCCACCAACGGCACCTTTGCCGGCAAAGATTTGCTCCAGTCGTCTGACGACAAGCTTTTTCCGACTCTTCTCCGTCATGGCTGTAGTGTTGCCTCGAGGCATCAGACCGATAGGTATATCATGCAGATACGAATGTATCTCGGAGTTGTTGCGAGTGAAAGCCGGCCTTGACACACTCTTGGAATGAGCACTATCTTGGCCTGACGGGATCGACGAATTTCCTTGTCCAGACGCAGACATGGACGCATATCCAGAATCGGCGACACGAGAAGTGCCAGACGAAGTGGCAGTGTTCCGCGGCTTGAGCGTGCCCGGAATGTATGTTTGTGAGGCACCTGTACCAATGCCAGTCATAGGAGATTTTGATACTTCTGTTGAAACTGGGTCATCCACAGATAGAGCAAACTTCCGAAGCGTCTCCTCCAATTCACGTTTCTTCTGAGGGGGCAGCGCGTGGAATCGAACTTCGAACAGGCGATCTCCTTGTAGATGAGCGTCGTGCATCTTTTCATACCTCTTCAGCCTCTTTTTCAGTTGCTTGTTCTCGATAGTCAAGTCATCTATAACGCTGCGATAGTCGTCAGAGCTACCTTCGGTTTGTAGATTGCCAAGGCCGGCTCGTTGTACAGCGCTCAGTGTGGGAGGAAATGGGATGGTACCCTCAGGTGGCGTCTCGGAAGACGACGAGTTTCGAAGGAAGAACGGAGGATCATCTACAGCAATCAGACAAAGATAGCAAGCAGTACAGGTACATATTTGACTTACTATCGGGACTGAAGTCGTTACGCTGGCACACATCATTGTTGGAGGTCTCAAACCATCGGCCGGCATCACTACTCTCGCCAGAGCTGTTCTGCTTCGGCTGTCGTACGGAAGACGGAGAGCTGGAAGGCGGATTGGCAACGATGCTCTGGGGAGGTTGTTGTGAAGTTACGGACGAGGTCTTGCGGTGCTTGTCGTGTAGACGAGATGGCGACAGCTTGGAGGTGGATGGAGTGGAGTGCAGCAGCGACACGGACTTGTGGGCTGGTGGACGTCGCGACGCATATGCTGAGGATCGGTGAGGCAGTCTAGAGGCAGTTGTAAGGTTTTGAGGCTCGGATGGCGGCATAGTTGGAGCCATCTTAAATTGCCTGATGGGGAGCCATGGGGTTGCTAGCGGCGATGAAGAGGAATAAATCCAGGAGGAATGTAAATCGAGAGGGTATTTTCGTCAGGTTTGCGAAGGGTGTGAAAGCTTACGGTTTAGTTGAATTGAAGGAGGGATGAGGAGAGTGTATGTTGGCAGTAGATGATGAAGGGAAAGGCGGGATGGCAAAGGACAAAGCGAGCCGAATGGTGGAGGAGACATTGCGTAGTAGCCATGGACAGGTCACTCGGTCGTCAGTACGATGAGGTTGTTTGGTGTGCGATGAAGAGGGCGCCAAGAAGTCGCTGGAGATCGAAAGGCATCAGGAACATCCGCATCACTATAAGTTTCGACTAAATACCCAGAGTGGGCATAGTTTACATAGTTTACAGAGTTACATACATAAGCGCTGCATCGCCACGGAGCACAGTCCGGTCTAGACCTTCCCTTTACACCGTTGTCCATCGTCGATCACTCTGGCGCACATGCACTCTGCTGCACTGTTGCTGCAGCCATTCCTACTAATATAATTATGCGATCAGCTCTTCTCCCTGCAGCTTTTAGAACCCGTGGACCGGGGCCTATTCCATTCCGCCTATTCTTCTCTCGATTGTGGCTGCTGAGCTGATGAAGGCGAGTGGCTACCTTACCTCTGCGAAGGCGCATCGCTCGATTGCTTCCGGCAGCTCTTCATTCCGGTGTGTTGAATGTTTTGATCAACATATGTTGATGAATGATGATAGCATTCCATCTACTGGTCTGACCTCTAGAGTGCTGTATAGTTACCCGGCTGGGTCTGTTTCACGTTCTGGCTCTCAACGTTCCTGGTGCAGATGGCCATGAAGACCGACTGAAATTGGCCTGAGCATAACATACTATTTCAACTTCTCTCTCATGTAAATACTTGAGCCTCGCTATGTACTATTACCAATATGAGCCTCTCCTCGACATTCGACGAGACAATGATATCTTCACCTGCCAGGAATCGTGGCACAAGCATGCACTTGGACACCGACTTCCCTCTGAGTCTCTGACATGTCAAACATCTACCGTCAGCTCGTTCACGATGCGATCGGCCGATGATTGGTCGATGGCTCGATGGCCGGTACCCTGGATCGAACGCAGTAAGACCATCACTCCACGAATCCATGCATCGCTCGATGACAGCTCGCTAACAACAATCGCCCCGTTCTCCAATTAATACACACCCCAGATCGGGGCGGGAAGGGGAAATCTGTGACTGAGGCTGAGTATACTGTATACTGGTAGGTAGCCTTCCATGTGCCACTTCCGCACCCGCAATCGGAATCGACGTTTGGGCATGCGCCACACCTTACATCGACGATGGATCCAACCAGTATTCATTTTCCATACCACAATCCACTACTCTACCATGTTGATATCATCCTTTAAGCTTGCGGGTATCATTCATGGCTCGTTCTATTATCTATCTACAAAGCACTGCCAGGTAGGAACTACGCTTCCTGAGCGGATCATCTCGATCATTCCATACTAACTATACCTAACAACTCCACTTCATCCACATTCACAGCCATAGCACCGCATCACCGTCTCAATCTAGCATGTCCATCATGGACCAAGTCAAGTCATATAGCATTCCAATATCGAGCGTCGCGTAACGCTGCCGTGACACACCAACACCCACACCCGCACATACACACAGGCAAGCATACAGACATACTCCTCGATCGTCTCCAAATTCACGATGCGCCCCCAGCCTGCGCCGTTTGTCCACGAGTTTCGTTCAGGCCCGTCCACAGCCTTCCCAGCCTAAAAGGCGTCATTGCTAGAATCCCCTGCCACCCCAAATCGACGATCGATCTCTCAAATGTTTCTATTTTGCAGTGCAAAGAATGCTGCTTGCCCGACACACTATGACACACAAACATATTGCGCTCGACTTCGACCATCGCCAAAATCGTTGAGTAGCGTGAGAATGAGCATTAGAAACTCATTCATCTAAACCAAAATCAAATTTACTACCTATATCCCTTCCTTATATTCGCGAATGTGTGTACTTATGAAGCGCGTTTCTACTAACATGACTAATCATCGAATATGACCTACATGTAGGTATGAATATAACATATGAATAGGAATCTCGTCAAGATGTGCCTCTCTACCGTTTGTCCAGCTTCCTTACTTTACTTTACTTTGTCTATTTCTTTATCTTCTGAGGAGATATCAGTTTGGGTTTATAGACACGTCTAGATTCCGTGCCCCCCCTTACCTCACGGCCAATAAAAGAAAAGTTAACTGAATTTATTCCGAGATCGTCCGTTCCGCATGCACATCTCATACTTTCAAGAGCACACACACATGCACGTTGTGGCTTAGTATTTCTTCTATACATTTGCAGCCTTATTACAAAAACTATAGTACAGCACAGTGCCGCTCATTCAATGCTATTGATGTACCGAAAGTTGCGTTCTCGAAATATACAATTACAGTACAGCGTGCTGCAATTCTATGCCTACAGGAATGAGATTCAGAATCACAACTGCTGTTTCACATTGCACTGCCGGGCCGGGTGCGCTTCTCGGACTGACATGCCAACATCTTCAATTCAATTTCGCTTAAAAAGCAGTAATGTATGATTTAGCTTAGAATACATGCCTTTGAAAACTCCTGGTGAACAGCTTGTTTTGTTCCAAGAGGAAAACTACCGCATCATGTCGATCCACCTTCACCAAAGGTAAGGAACTCGAGCGTCCCACTACTGCTTATACATCATCCCATCAATACACATATTCATTCCCCAATGTTTCTAAGCCCCATGAACGTGAAGAAAGCGTGAGGACCGATAATTGACCACCTAGCTGACAGACCGCGAAAAGTCACCGTACCCCCGGAATCCCAAACAATCCCCCAGCTTGCTGAAACTTCGTTTGGTATTCCCTCAAGTCAGCCCACGCTCTTAATTCACCCTCTTCGCCCGCTTGCCCTAGTCCTTCGCTCGAGCCTGGACTCGTCCGTTCGAGCCTCGATAGGATTTCGAGAAAACTCATGAGGTACGCGTCGGCTTGGAGGGCGATGGTGCCTTTTCGATTCTTCGGGACGTCAAGCAGCGTCGCCGCCACCTGGCGGATTTTGGATGTCTGCACGCAGATGCTCCGTTAGGGGCGCAATGCAAGCCGGGGAGAGTGGCACCAGAAAGCTAACGAAGAAATTGGCGGGTACACTTACGAAGCTGTCTCCGTTAGGCTCCATGTTCACCTGCGAAATACTGCCAAGCACAACGAGCAGGTCTTTGATGATTTGCTCGCGCTCCGTCGCCATTTCACTGTCCGTCACATCATACGTTGATGAAGTGTCATGCTGCTGCTGCTGTTGCTGCTGCTGCTGCAACACCGACTCAAGACCGGCGGATACGACGTCGGGGGACTTGTGCTCGTTCTTCTGCTTCTGCTGCATCTGCTCGCTAGCATCGCGCATGTTGAAATATTTTTCGACAATGTAGGATCGCGTGCTCAGATGGCTCGCATAGACATTCGCTTTCTGAATCTCGTACTGCACTTTCCTTCGCTCTGCAGGATTCTGCTCCACTTCGTAGGGGTTCGTAGGTTGTAGATTGCGAACGTTAGCGTACTCTGGCAATGGTGGGTAGTAGGAGTCATTCGACTGTCCGAATTGGCCTTCACTAGGCCAAACCTTTAATTCCGCAGGTATTCCGTCAAGAACAGCTTTGCAACTCTGTAAGCACGTCTCAAGCAATCGTTTCTGTCTGTCAAAATCGAAGATTTCACCAATGCCATATGCCATCTCCATACTCGTCAAAGGGGAATAAGACGAATAAACTCTGCAATTGGCATTGAAACCTGCCATAAGTGGAGTCACGCCGTGAGGTTGGTCACCGACATGATGCGAGGTAATATATGCATCGTCTACCTCGGCTGGAAATGGTGGATAGGGTTCAGATGGCGTTGCTGGTGGGATTGTGACCTCGCCAAAGCTTGCTCCCGATTGCTGTAAAGTCCTACATCACGACGCGATTAGATTTTTGATAGAACCGCAATAACAGTACACATACTTCATGCCAACGAAACAGGTCCAAAACAGACGCCTCGCAATCTGCTCAGTAATCTTGTCAGGGGGCGGCCCTTTCGAAGCTTCGTTAGGCCCATTGACGCTGCCAAGCATGCCCGGTACTCCTAAGCCAATGTCCATGAAGCTCGGTTCTTTGCCTGCGTGGTGTAGGCCCAGGGTCCGCATCATGTTGAGAGCCTCGCCAAAGAAGAGGCGGCACTGGCGCCAGTTGAATGTATATGCGCCAGTGAGACAAAGGAAATAACTCGTGCAAGCATCGTACACACTCAGATCCTCGGGCTGCATCAAGTATCTAGTGCCTCTTGCGTCTGCACATACTTCAATGCAGCGATAGACCAGACTCATATGTGTAGGAAACAGCTTGTCTTTTCGTTGGGCTTTCAAATGCAGGCGGGGTTTGCGTGGGAAGGACGCAACGAGCGCTCCTATCATAGACGCTAGAAGAGCTAGAAATCTGGGGTTCTTCTGATCCTCGCGTTCAGACCACTGTCGTCGGAAGGTCGGCTCATGTGGAAAAGGGCATAGCGGGTGAATGTAGGTAAAAAAGTCATTAAGGAGCAATGTTATGGTGTCGTGTGAGCAAATCTGTTCTGCGCCGAGACCTGGATATGAAGAGAGAGCAGCAAGTGCTTGGACGGCTTGACCCGTCGGCGAAGAAGGCGATTCTGGTAGGATGCCTTGAGATTCTTCGAGTCGTCGTCTCTTGATGGCCTCGGCATGGCGATTAGGTGGTCCCCGTCGACGACTGGGTCGTTCAAACGTGCATGGTATGTCTAATTGAGAGCACGCGCGGCAAGGCGGGCCTGATTCGTCGCACTGAAGAACTCAGGGTCAGCAGTGTGCGTAGACAATATCCAGCGATGGAGTCTGTTGAAGGATTTGCATCCGTCATCGACTTCAAGCTTACCTTCACCTTTCGAATGCTACAGGAATCGCATGCTTTGCGCAGTCGATTCGATTTCTGGGGTGTCTGTCCGTCATTATGGTGCTGCTGATGTTGATGTTGCTGCTGCTCTTGGTGTAGATGTTGGTGTTGAGCTTGCTGCTGAGCTTGCTGGGCCGTCTGTTGTGCTTGAGCGGCTTGTTGCGCGGCTTGAGCGGCTTGCTGTTGCGAGTGCTCAGCAAGAGCAGCTATTGTTCTCTGCTCTATAGGAGAATTGTTGTTTGTGTGGTTCGATTGCAAGGACGGATCGGCGAGTGAAGGTTCGATGTCAGGATAGGTGTGTTGCTGATTTCTCGATGGATTGAATTGCAGTGGATCGGGCTTGACGTCCTCGACCATTTGCGCCGGGGGCGCAGGGTATATAGGCGTGTAATGGGCCTGATTGGGATTCGGAGGCTCTGGATATTGGGACATCTTTGATGCCGAAAATTAACCAACGTGAAGCCGGATAACAGTCGTGGGACTTGGATTTTATTGCTGCTGAAGGTGCTGGTACGTGCGCGGGCGCCTTTTCCACAGATCGAGCACACCGGAACAGGAGATTGCGCGTCACATTGAAGTGCAGCACTTAACAGGGATGGAGTAACTTCCGCAAGGTCAACAGTGAAAGAGATGGAGATGGTGCACTGGACTGTGTGACACAAAAGCTTTCGAATATGATGGTTCGTGAAGGGACTCAACGCTCATTGGTTCACCAGCTACAAAGCTTGCTTGCTGCGTTCGTTACCCACTGGTGTAAAGATTCACGCACCCAAATTATCCTACAATTCCCATGACTCGAGTCGGATAGCATCACTGGTCCGTATGGTATATGGAGAACGCATCGTCATGAGGACTATTTTAGGAAATAAATCACCAGGTTGTAGAGCCGAAGATACGACGTCATGGGTTATACAGATCCATATGTACTACGATCACGAGCCGGAAGTTCTACATCCTCAAATACTATCATCACTTGGCAGCTCCTCACGAATCGGCGGTCTACAGCTTCTCGACAGCGAGAAATCCAGAATATCAGACCTCGACTCAACGAATTTCCTGAGACACCAAGACACCTGAATCGCCGTGTATCTCTCGTTCCCAAGGAGATCAGGCTGTTTGCCTTTCGCAAAAATCATTTGATGCTTGCTGTCCTCCCGGTCATACACCTTGTCTGACGAGCCGAAAGCAATAACAGCCAGCCGCGACGAACGTTTGTTCTCTTCTGCATGCTTGATACTCTTCTCGAAGCCTTGCTGCGCCATGCCTTGCAGAAGATGCTCGTATATTTTCTGCGGTAACCGAGACGATGTTGATGAGCTAGTGGAGCTACTCGGCCATGTAGTGATATTTAGTGTGATTAAGCTTGGGATATCACCAACAGCAGTCTTTGTGGATACATTAGCAGCAAAGAAGACGGATAACAAAAGACAGATTATAGCTCACCTCAAATGCAGAGAAATTTTCGGTATTTGACCTGACCGCACACGTTGCAGGGAATGCGACCGATAATTGTTCAATAGCGGTGCAGGCCTTGCATATTTGCTCAAAGTGCTCGATCGAATAGACAATCTCATCATCTTGACAGTCCATATCACCTTTGCCAGCATGGACGTTCAGCTGCTTTAACGTACTAGCATGCCTGACAATCCCAGCTGGCGCTGGTAGATCCTTCACGTTCGCAATGTCCAGAGCGAGCGAACGAAGGCCAGAGGTTAGACATAGGAAGTTGTCTAATGTGCTCAATCCATCGTGCTCATTGTTGTCCTCGTGCTTGAATTCCAGAGTTTCCAGTCTCACTGGCAATTTGGAACTCTTACTTAATTCGGCAAAGAAGCATTCCGCACCGGGACAGAGAAACACCCTTAGCGACATCACATTGGAGAACTCTATTATCTTCGTATACGTGTCTTGACAAAACTTCAAACTGACCTTCTGCAGTGTGAGTTCCCGGAGACTCATCGGAGTACATTTGTCAAAAGGCATCATATGGCTGAATATACTGCTCGTGATCAAGCCTGGTCCACCACTGGAGTCATTCAATTCACGGGGTGGAATCGGATCAGAAGCAAGGTCATCGAAGGAGGCGTGAAGCGTGATCTTCTCGATGTTCTTCGTCCGCGAAACCAGAAACTGGCAGTAATCGAGCACCGCTCTACTATCTGGGTAAAGACCCAGCTTCCGTACTTCTGAAAAGCACTCGTCGATCTGCGGCAGCTTCTCTAGTTCTGCAACCATAGGACGGTCCATAGCAATTGCTTCCATCCATTTCATCCGCCTTTGCTTCTTGTATAGGAGTAACAGATTCTCTCCCGAAAACAGCTCCCACGGATGCCATGAGAACTTCTCTAGTATGTTTTCAGGAAGGAATTCGATAAGGAGACGTATTGTAAAGTTGGCTTGCTGAAGCTGATTGCACGGGTCCAAGACAGTGGCTAGGTAAAGGTCCACCTTTTTAATATGCTTGAGGCCAATGTTGTTCGGACTCAGAAAGCTACTGAGTAGTATGTCCTGGGGCGAACCGATGTCTAATGTGACTTCATTATACAGCGGTCGCACTGCAATCTCATGCAACTGTTTGCTTGTGAGACAAAGATTCTTGAGATCTGTTGGTCGCGTGACCTGTAGAGCCAATTGCGAGTCAGCTGGTCTGAAAGTAGTGGTATGTAGTATTTATGCACTGACATGAGCTACTATGAGACTTTTGATCTCGACTGAGAGGCTCGCGAAATTCAGCGGAGCCATATTTGATATGCGAAGCGGTAGGAATATGATGGAATTCGTTTCAGTATCGTGCAAGATATGCTGTTGCTTTCTTGAAGTACGAGAATGTACGTAGATCGTCGCAGATCGAGAGCGCGAGTTTCAGGAATATGACTGTGGAGTTGTAGAGTGAATTCTGGGACTATGACGGGCGACTGGGTCGGTAGCGGCCTGGGTGTATGCACAAAGATCTGTTAAGCGATGTGACTCCGCTTTGTGAAGACGTGCGTTGTAAATTTCGTGCTGTTGAGGGCAATTGAATGTATGAGCTTTCGAAGATCCGTCGAAGTTTTGATGCGCGCGCATTCATATGCCACGGTATCGTAGGAAACTCAATGCCCAAGAGATTCAAGGTCCGGGTCAACCGTACAACGCAGGTCAAATGTGATCGCGGTATTCAATATGAAAATGCAAGCATGTACTGGCGCTTAGGATGTTGAGTACTACTTGCTGCCTGGGCACGGCTTCAGGACTTCGACTTCAGCCTCATTCTTTCCAGCTGCCGCTAGTACAAACGTGTTAAGGGTGAAAGCAGCCTCGAGATGTGGTTTTCCGCCTCAGGCTGGTGGGTCTCGAAGTTTGGTAGGCTGTTGTGATGGTTGAACGTAAGTGGAGAGAAGGAAGACCAGCGCTGGTCTTGATGCATATCGACAGGTAGTAAGTATTATGTGGGGTTCGCAGCTAACCAGATCCGACAGAGGTACCATGGATGGGTACCGAACGGTCCGCGCCGTGACTCCGATCGCCTTGGGTTTGAGGTTGTGAAATGAGTGATTGTAGCTAGAACATCTCACGAAGTACTTTTACTCGAAGTTCAACGTCTAGCAATAACTATTTGGTACACCTGCACAGACTAAAGAGGCTGCAGAGCCATTGCGAAGGAAGTAGATCTTCGGCCGCCCAAATGCTTGACCGTATGTGGCCCATTCATATGCATGCCCCGAGAAAACGCATCTGCCAAACGATCAACATCTCGTCACTTTCCCTCCGTAACTCCAATGCTGTAGACGCCACGCTATGCCAGTATACCCGAAATATGCAAGTTCAGGACTGTGACTGTAGATGTACGATTCGAATAATCGTTCACCATCCTCAAGCCTCATCGTCGCTACTCTCCAGACCTGCCATCATCTCGGCCTCCAACTCATCGTCGTCATCATCATCTTCTTCTTCTTCTTCCTCCTCCTCCTCCTCCTCCTCCTGTTCCTCTTCTTCTTCCACTTTCGTACCCCTTTTCGAGTTCTTAATCTCTTCGGGCCCCGTAGTGTCTGGGCTTGGTAATCCAGAAGACTTGTTGTCAGCTGCCATCACATTGGTGAGACTGGTCACACGGTTCAATGCTCGCTTCTTCCGCTTCTGCAACTTGGATTTACTCGCGTTTGACGAATCACTGTCCTCTGCATCACTGGGCTCTGCTGATGACAAATCCTCCCTTCTCCTCTTTTTGCCGTTCGTCGAGGTTTTCTCGGAGACATCTGTGTCTGCGTTGGATTGTGTACTTTCACTGTCGCTGTCTCGATCAGTATCGTCGTCACCGGACTCATTCAAGAAGTCATCGAGGTCATCATGCATTGCCTCCCACTCGTTGTTGGTGAAGTCGAGATTCTCGTATTCTGAATCTGCAGGAGTCGGCTCTTCAGCAGCGCCGTCGTCTTCAGCTGACAGAAAGTCACCATCATCCAGCTCTTCCAATGGTGAACTATCACCCCCTGGCCCGCGATAATTAGCCTCATCATCGACCGGGATCAAGTATGGAGTCTCGTCTGGTCTGATCCAGGTAGAAAACGCTTCCATCAGCCAGCCTGTAGTAACAATCTTGATATGTGAATGCCTTGCTGCTTTTTTGACTTTGACTGTCTTGCGATGGGGAGTCGCTACGAGATGGGTCGTTCTCTTGTTTATGTCATATGACACAACCGCGCCAAAGCTCTTCGTCCAAAGGCCTACATCCGAGCTATGCACGATTAGACCCATTCCGACCGCGCAAACGAACCAGACTTACTGTTGAATATCAATATTTTGTGGTACAATGCCTGAAAATACTATCCGGGTTCCCTTAAGAACCTCGCGTTTCTTTTCTGTCACCAGATCCTTGACATCCGGTATAAGACTATCGTCATCTGCTGTGATTTTCCTCGAATCCTTTCCACCTTTGAGCTCGGCAACCCTGCCTCCTACTACACCGGCTGAATTCTTCTCGTATTCTTCGAAAAAGGCATCGTGAATCTCACGAAGGTGCCGCTCCAAGGACAGCAACTCTGTGTCGTCATCATGAAGGAGATGCCTGTGCTCATGTTGGATAGGGACATCTGCATCGCCATGCGCAGCCCTCTCTCGCTCGATTTTGTCTTGTTCTTCGTCGGCTTTCTCAAGTTCTAATTGCTTTTGTAGTAGAGGGCGCTCAGCAATTTGCTTTACAATCACGTCATCCTGGCTGCTAGTCTGCTCTTGTAGAAGATTTGGGTCATCTCGACTGCCTATTGTGATCAGTTGCTGCTCGATATCGGACATCTCCGTATCGCCGTCAGGTACTACTTCCGCGTCAGACACGGCGAGTTCAGAGGCTGCCAGGGATAAGTCTTTCTCAGCAACCGCTGTTGTCTGTTCAGTATTCTCAGTGGCGTCTTTTACAGACGAACCTGCGGTTGGTGGCATTTCTTCTGCTTTTGGCAAAGCTTGGGTCTTTGGTAAAAAGCTAGAATTGATGTCGCCAACACCTACAAAAAAGTCATATGGTACAACTTTCAGTAGATGCTCACTCCAGCCCCATACATCCGCGCGATCATCGATGATAACGACCATTTTCGTTGACACAGGAAAAATGCGGGCCAAGCTTTTTCTGTCTAAGCTGCCGTTTTCATCTCGCGTAAGCACACGGTCACCGAATATCTTTCGATCTGGATCCACAATCTTCGCAACATTGTGCGCGTATGCCCTCGTACCCATTGTGTAGATATGAAGCTCGTATAACTTTGACATCTCTTCCAGAAATTTCTGCAAGCCCGGTCGCATCTTGATGTAGTACCAGCAGCCGTTGCCTCCTGGACCATCGTCAATCAACTGGAAAGCTTGTACATCTTTGACGGCATCGTAATTGGGATTGTTTGGGTCTCGCTGCCACTCAGCCACGGTCGGATCGACAGTGGCATGAATGATTGTTTGATCAAGATCGACTACCATATTTAATTTTCTGCTTGTTAGCAGGCGGCGCTTATCATCCTGTTCCAATCTTCTGGCCTCCTGTTGACTAATTGTAAGGGCGGTGTGACCATGGACTTTCATGATTGGCGCACGTTCCGAGTCTCTGATGGATGTGTTGTAGTCGATACTAACGGCCTAATGAGTAGCTGGAGAGTGATGAGTGAATGTACACTAACTCTGTCATGTCCTTCCCACAGTTGGCGCAAAGGCCGCCGAATTGAACTTCGTGTTGACATGGCTCATCTATCTCAACTAGAGCAACGCTGACTATGTTAGCTCAACGCGTTCATGAGGCTTAGACTTGTCTCATATACCCAGCCTGCTGTATGATGTCACCCTTCTTTACTTTCCAGGCATTGATACTGCCATTTGTGGGAGCTTCAATGCGCGCAGGAAAAGTCTTGGTGACTACGGCCTCATCGCCATACTTGTTTCCTTCGGTGACCTTGGAGGTATATGTGTAGGCAAGTATAGGAACAGACTTCTGCACTTCATCATTAGGGCGTTTGAGAAGATCCGTAACAGTGATAGGATAATGCAGGTCGGGAGAAGATCTGAGAAGCATTCCTATTGTTTACATGCTCTTGGAGCGCGTTCAGGGTACTTTCGTCTCTTATAGGCAGGTATACACCAGCGCTGAAGTATGTAAGCGGATATCGTGGTAAGGGACGCTTGCTATTGGCGCGACAGGTGTTGTGGCTGGTATGCAGACGGCGACGCGCGAGGCAGGGGAGCAAGTATGGCTAATCCGAGGTCGCGAACAGTGATGCGCGTATAGTCCAATGCATGTAGAGCGGGAGCCACGTGTTTTGGAGTGTTGGTGACAGTGATGGTGCAGAGGTGTGAAGGTACAAGTGAAGTGACAAGTAGCGCAGTCGGACTAGGAATTAGCTGTAAGATTAGCTGTATCCATTAGCTGTCGCGGTTCGAGCTTTGGTTGCGCGAACCAAGGTTGAGAAAGGCACGCCCCACCACTTTATAGAGAGAGCAGCTCCTTTTAGCCTGAGGCACCCAGTCTTGGGCTGACAGGAGTCATGGGCCCAAGCTTGGCTGCTACCTAGGTAGGTACCTTAGTCTGTTTGCAGTAATTAATTAGTTTTCACCTGGTCTTCACCACAACTACGACATGCCATCTATTAACAAGCTTTCCCTACTTCGAAGTGCTGATGCTGCTACCTGAGTTAAGCCGTTCAAATCTTTATATTTCGATCAGACAACACTTCCTAGTCCTGACTCTTAAGAGTGCTACGCTTGCTTGACCGTTGGCACTCCAACATCATGCCTTCCATCCCCATCCCCTTGCCGTAGCCCGCGATGGTGCATATAAAAATGCTCAATATACTTAGATGGGAGACATTGTACGCTCTCGCCTAGATCTCTGCTACATGTTGCGAGTCTAGAGTGAAGACCATCTGGTGACCCTCAAGTTATCATCGGTGTCCACTGACCTGTCGTTGCATTAAGCTCGAGTGTTTCGTCCATGAGCACTGTCCACAACAAGACTAGCCTCTAAGCAGTAGTGGTAGGGGCACGGTGCCATCTTTATGGCCGACAGGCTATGATGCTCCTGAAGCAGATTGGTAGATGATACACTATCTATCAATACAAACCTGGCCACTCAAGTCGTAGAAGACTGCTTCATAGCACTGCTGCGAAGCTGTACACATACTACGTGGCCGTATTGGTGGAAGTGAAACCATATGCGATATGTTTTGGGATGACGTTCGTTGCCGTTGCCATCAACCAGGACCTAAGGATCTACCAGAATGTTGCCAATCGATAGCCTTCCATCGCACATACCAAGCATCCTCAGCCCAAGAAGGTATCTACGCGTTACATCCATATCAGCCTTCTCTCATGTGTACAGTCTGATTTACTCAAAGAGGCAGGATCCATAGACACCTATTTTATTCCTGCGCATCCCCTCTTCGCTTTCCGTACCAGGCATGAGAGGACTGATCACGAAGCCCCACCACCGTATAGCCGTATTGTGCTGGCCCAGCTGGCCTCGGCTGTGACTTTCCTCAGTGGGCATAACGCGGCCATTTACACTGTCTGCGCGCATACTATTTAGGAATCTTTTAATCGTGCCTCCCATGCGAAGCTGCGAGAAGTATGCGAGGATGGCCTGTAGTTCCTCTTCGTTTTCGCTGGCGCCGAAGTACAGCATTGCAATTCCCATAGGGAAGGATGCGTTAGTAGGTCCAATGCCACCAAGTGCGGGATGGAAAAAGTACGGCGCGGCTTTGCGGATCATGGTTGCGTATTGGCTAGGTTCTGTGTGTGGAGATAGTGTCATAGGGGCATAGCTTGGTCGGAGGGCACCGAGGTCAGCTATGACTTGGCGAAGGTTGGTGTATACGACGATGCATATTGCCCAGTATAGTATGGTGATATGTGCGAGAGAATAGACCCCTGCAGGTACATCATTCGGGCTGTCTATGAGAGCTTCAGGCCAGGCATGGCTGAAGTTAGACTTACGGCAAAAAGCTTGCAGTTTGTCCATCCAGTCTTGTAGTGCAATGTCTATATGACAGCATCTGCCGACGATGCACTGTAGCTCATCGAAAACGAGATCTGAGTCTTCGCCGGTGTAAAGCATGGCACGAGTCGCATCGACATTCTCGAGCATGTCAGGGACAACCGCTAGAATGTCTATCACTTCGTCTCTCAGATTCTTAGGATTCTTAGACCACGGTTTGCTGAGCCATTCTTCAGTGTTGAAGAAGCTCTTCTTCCGCGCTTGTATTGCTGATATCAGGCCGTTCAGTCGCATCGATCGAAACTGTCGATGAGCTAAACCGTCCGAATGTCGCTCTGGTCCTCTTACTTGGAGGAGTATACAAACCCCTTTCGTGTGGCTCATCCAACTGTATCCAAGCGATTGAATCTGCTCCCTTCCTGTTGCGGCTGCAGCGCCCTGAAATACCTCGTAGAGCGCTAGAACTGCACAAGCATATAAGACATCGTCGCTCAACCTTCGATTTCTGTATCTCAAAGCGACATTTAATTCCTTGAGTGCATCTCCATACAGCTTGATGCTGTGATGAAGGGTATCGTTATTGTCTGGATCGAGAAGGTGTAATCGCGCGAAGCTTAGAGCTAGAAGTGACAATCTCAAGACCGAATCGCCGAATGCTAAACAGGAAGCCAGATCATACCATCCTATCGAAGTTGAGAGTTCAGCGAAAGGGCTCATGATGAGCTCTTTACCCGGTAAGTGAATCTCCCAAAATCGGCCAAGGACCAAATTCTCCCACGACGCTCGATCAAGGCCATTGTGGACCAGCAATAGTGGGTCTTTCAACTGGTTCCTTGTCGACCGTTGACCTAAGCCACCGGTATCAGGTAATACACCTCGATTACCGTCTCTATAGGGCACAAAACTGAGTGGTCGCTCGTAGCCTTCGCATACTCTGCCGCTCGCTAGACATTGGCCACATGCGGGCCGCCGCAAGTCGCACTTTAGTGAAAATGATTAGCAACCATAAAGAGTGATATGTTGCGCAACAGGACAATACTTACGCCTTTCTTTCTTTTGCGACAGGTGTTACATCCTTTTGATCTCCCAGGGACACCAACCATTACGTGAGTAAGACTAAAATGTTTCACGAAAGAGTTCAGCCAAAGTATTCGTCTACCACACCATAAAGTACAGAGAAGTCTAGAAGACGCTCGACGCTTGGCTCAGGAGGAGCGCGTGGTATAATTTTGTTAATGAGCGCATCAGCAAGCCCGCACCGGCTATAACAGAGCAAGCATCGTCAAGACGAGGAGCGATTGCAGGCTTGCAGCGAATCCTCCTGGAACACTCTAAAGCCATGTAGCGATCAGAGCGACTCGCACAAGAAATGTCGAAGTGCAATTACAGCTGCCATGGTAGGAAGTCAGATTATTAGTAAGTTGGTGCGTCTGAAGTGAGGAGGGTATGTAGCCAAGCTTGAAGGCTGAAAGTTGAGGCAAGACGCGCAAAATGGCTCCATTTCTGGCTTAGCGTGATAATGATCTAGCCTAAATTGGCATACTGGTTTTGATCTCAGACGTGTATTATCAAAGATCATCCAGGATAACAATTCGTCGCATTCATTCAAGTTTAACAGCTGAGTCTCGAGGTCAGTAATCAGAGTTGACAAGGCTATAGGCTGTGGTTCCTTCGAATTTGCGGTGCGAAGTCCTCGTGAGCCTATAGATGCTTAGAACGTATTTCGATCTTTCTTGTAATTAGACCTGACATTGCTCGGACTTGCTCGATAATGCTTGGCTCTCAATGTGAACTCTTCGTTACTTGTATTGCGCCCGCAAGACGGACGCTCGTATCATCAGCTCAAACATAGGGAGTCTCTTGGGTATGGGTCAGTGCCAGTCTCGGTCTCTATTGATGCATTTTCAACATCTTATATGGCGACAGGACCGGATATTCTGTTTAAACACTCTGCATAGTAGATGATATGAGTCCACGCTGTAACATGTAGTCCGAAGACAAGTTTGAGAGGTTCCGCCACATATGTTACAGCGTGTAAGCGCATGATGGCTGATGCTTAGTCGTGGGGGCCAAAAGACTTGATGAGACGCTCACGCCCTTTAGATGAATTATTAGTGAATAAGCAACAGCTTCTCTATGCAAATGCAAAGCGTATCATGCAGCATCGCAGATATACGAGGTATAAGGGGTCATGATCATCAACCTATACGAGCGAATACCCATAAACACAAAGGCAAACAAGAATTACATTGCAGGCGCCTCGAAGACAACGGGTCAGCGACGAGGAAAGCTAGAGATCGTTCCGGCGACGCCACAAGAGACATAATAGGTCCATCTCATTGCCAAGTGCTTCGTTATTGCACTTGAACCACAAAACACCCGGTCGCACATCACATTTGGCGTCTGCACATGCAAGTTTGACTTCAGCCTCACGAGGTGCCATGTCGTATAAATTGCAAGCTCATGCCCACGCGCCTGTTGTCCGTGGTGGACTTCTAAATCCTGCAGCAAGTGCTTTGTCGCCGTGAAGAGCAGCAGTTGAACTTCGCGTGGACACCGCCATCCCCTATTCGGAACGCAACACGCTGCGATGCGCGTCTATGCGGCATACCTGGGCCTCGTTCCAGCTTTGACCCAAGCTGCAGCTTTTCCGGGACCATTACCGACTCAATATCGAGTGCAGAAGATTCAAGCAGGATGGAACCCAAAGCCTACACAAGCTCCTAGTTTGGAGCTCTTCATGCAGCGACGCGACATTGGAATAGATCCAAATACTTGCGGTTGGGTTGATGGTCAATCAGGTACGTTCTGAGCCTACCGTTATATCGATTTCATGCACTCATTTCTGTGTAGACGGAGCAGTGCAATGTCCTGCGGGAAACACTTGCATGCTATACACTCCTGATAACATCGTTGGCATGGCGGGATGCTGCTCCGGCGGTAACTTGCAGAATTGCGGGTAGGTGACAGTCACGCACAAATTAGTGAATATTAGCTGACTCGTACCTAGATGGAATACCGGCTGTGTTGATCAAGAGAATTACTCGACCGCCTGCAACGACCCGTCTTGCTTTAACAACCCGTTCATTGTCCTCTGTACCGATTCCTCGGCCCCTTTCTGCGTATCATGGACGTATCCCGGCGACCAGATCCAAGACCATGGCTGCGGCACAGATGCAGCATCCACATGGCAGACGGTCGAGAAAGACATATCCACCGACGGTATCACAACCTCTCTCGACCTTACATACGTCCCCGAGGAATCTGTGACAGGCTGGCGGGCTGAAGAGCAATCGACTCTCTACCCAACTGTCACTGCCGGCCAATCCTCACAACGTAGCTCTCGGAGCAGTTCCACGAACGCCCTCATAACTGGAGGCTCGTCCAATCCCAATTTCGACTACAGCGATCGACGAAGCCGCGTTTTGTCCATTGGTGCGATCGTAGGCATCGTCATTGGAGGCATATCTGCTCTCGCTGTCATTATCGGTGCAATAATATTTGTCTTCTGGGACCGCCGTCGCAAACGCCGCAACGCAGCTGCTGCGCAGTACAATCCAACCCAAAGCGGATTCAACAACGGCACAGATTCCACGTCGTATATGCCACAGGGCCCACCGCCGCCTATGCAGCAGTATGGGCAATCGCCACCCGTGGTGCAGGAGTACTACGGACAGGACAATAAATCCTATCCACAGGCGTCGCCACAGCCACAGTATGCGCAACCATATCCGTCTCCATCAGTATCACCGCATCCGCAAGCCGCAGTCCCAGTCCCAGCGCCATATCATAGGGGTTCGGCCGTGCCCTCCGAGCAGGATGGCCTGCGCCCACGTACAATACTTGGGTCGGACGGGAATAGTCCAGTCAGTGCAATAGCACATAGTCCAGTGAATGGACCTCCAGTTGAACCTCCGTCGCCCAATCAGCCACCTCCGCAAAGTCAGGTTCACGAGCTGGGCTGAGCGGGTGGTCATGAAGCTAGAGTTGTAGCTGAAGCTTAAAAAAATTTGCATTTTAGCGGCGTACTTTCGATGATAGCTTTTCGTGGGTGGCAAGTTTAACATAAATTGTGTAACACCCTGACGCCGGCGGCGACCCGTTCAGATTCCTACGAATGTTAGATCATCTTCGCAATGATGCCTCTAGTAGAAGTGGAATATCTAACGGCGCTGTTCTGGTTGTTACCAAGGCTGCGTCTTACAAGTGGCGGAGGCTTGCTCACTATACTGAAGAACATGTCTCCTGGGGTATAGACATCAGATAATACAAACCTAATCGTAATGTTGTAAGACGTCCCGTCATAAAGCTTATTTTGTATAAGTTCCCGTGAATCTCGGACGGCTGCGTGACATTCTGAGTGCGTAACGTTCTTGTTTGAGAAGCAAGGACAGATACCGCTATGATATTTGTCTAGCCAAAGTTCATAGGTAGCTAGCAGTAGGACGACTTGGGTCTCAATCCTCTACACTCGGAATCGCTGTTTCTCGACCAGTATCGATGAAACCTGTTAGATCAATAGGAGCCTCTGCTTTAAATCCGTTTTGCTCGGCCCAAGCTCTGACTTTGACTTTGTCTATGACAGCTTGTTCTTTCCCGGCACGTTTTTTGTGATCCAGTAAGTTCATACTCTGAAGAGTCGTCACGATGTCCTCTGGAACTATATATGTTATATCACTAAGTTCTCGAACTGTTGTAGGTGGGTTCTTTTGGTGTGATTGTGGTGTAGGTACGTGCCGCGCGAGCATAACGCGAGCCAATGTCTGCGCCCAGAAATTCGTATACGCAAGACGTCCGAGAGTCGAGAGAGCTGCGAGTAGTTTTAGTAAGTGCACGGCATAGCGCCCAAGATAAAGGTATAGCATACGTTTCTCTGGACCACCCAGCCTGCCTTCCCGTTTGCTCAATTCATAGCTTACGCTCATAAGAACTTGCCCTAGACCTTGCCGTTGCCATGGTGGGAAAACCAGTATACAGGCCAAGTTGTTATTATCCCAGCTCATTTTTTCTTTGCTAAAGAATCCGACAACCTGAGGGCTTGTGCCATTTCCGTCGCTAGACGGAGTCTCCATGATTAGAAGATAGTATAAGAAGGTCGTCACATCGTAAAACACAGATTTGGTATCGAGAAAGAGCTTTGCAAAGAGTGATAGATTCTGAGCGTATAGCTTGTCAACTTCCCCATCGAGCTCGTGCAATGTATATCGTCCTTTGCTGTATATTTTGGTGCCGGGTGGAGGTCCGTTGCGAAGTGGGCATACCTTCTTTAAAGCACCGCATCAGTATACAAGATCTAGACAGCTGGTGTAGGCAGTACGCGAACTCACCGTATGTGTCAAGTACGGAAAGATTTCCTTAGAGTATTTAAAGCACCATTGGCATACGAGCAGTCGCTCGGTTGGAGGGGTAACAAGCTCTTCAGGATAGAACGATGGAAACCACGGCTTGATCTGCACATTTCCTAGCACCACATTGAAGATGTTTGGCTGGACGGGCTCGGTCGCAGGCCGCCCAGAGGTTTTCCTTACAGGTGAATGTGATTGTTGGCCATCAGTTTTGCTTAGAAGTTCCATAGAGGACGATTGAGTCGAGTGACTCATTTCTTTAGTGTGAGGTGTGCACAGCGTGGAGCGTCGTGAAGTTGAAGTATGAGTAGAGGAAAAGAGAGATCCGCTCCAGAGATGCCGCGCGTGTCGCGTCGCGTGTGTTGCAGAATGATACAAATGGCCATGTACGATAAGGTGGCATGTTACAGTCTTGAATACTCAGCATTGATTCGTGTTCGTATAATTTATTCTTGAAGTCTTTGCCATGTAGGTTATGTTGAGTTCAGCTTGGTTCTTAAGCTTCCAAGGTTGGTACATCGGACGGTGCACGTCATCCAGGTTACTTCCATTTGCGGCGAGTTGCTCACCTCCGAGACAACTTTTCTGTGCCAAAGGTCGACTTCTCCACTTCCGACAAAACCATAATGTTCATATCACGATCGCTACGGGCGAAAGCCACTCAGCTACGGTCGTCCCCATTACAGATTCGTAATAGACGCCGTTCCTATTACACAGTTGACCATCCTGATCCGACTCCCTTCTCCGAAACTGAATCCGCTATTCTTTCCTCTGCCCTTTCCCGCGTCCCGACTCATGGCTTCTCTCAAAAAGCACTCAAGCTCGGTGCGCGCGATGCAGGATACTTGGATGTTTCGACCAATCTATTTCCACGTGGTACATTCGACCTTGTCAATTATCATCTAGTCACACGCCGAATGGCTTTGAAAGAGGAAGTGCAATTTCCGGAGCTGGACACACAGAGCGGCAATAAGCTCGGTGTAGGCGCGAGGGTACGAATACTGGCTCTAGCAAGACTACGAGCCAATAAGGATATCATTGGGAAGTGGCAAGATGTACGTGGATCCTTTAGCGATCTATCGAGAGTCCAATGTTAACACAAACCACGCAGGCCATTGCGATAATGGCACAGCCCTCGTATGTCTCCGCGTCACTCTCCGAGCTAGCACGTCTATCAGATGAGATATGGTATCTTGCCGGTGATAAAGCTGTGGATGCAAGCTGGTATACAAAGCGTGCGACGCTGTCTGCAATTTACTCTGCAGCCGAGCTCCACCAGACACAAGATCAAAGTCCTAATTTCATAGAGACGGAAAGGTTTCTCGATTCAAGGCTAGAAGATCTGAGGAAGGTCTCCAGCTTGGCAGGCGGATTTGGTGGATGGGTAGGATACACTGCACAATCAGCAGTGAATGTGTTACGGAGTAAGGGCGTAAAAATATGATGTTCAACCACGGGCACATATATGGATGCTGTAAGACAGGCAAGAGCGTTTCGTTCTCACTGACGGCGTGCAGACCTGTGTAGCACAACTGCATATCTTAATTAGAGACCCATTATCCGAAAGCCAACATATAAGCTTCAAGATCAATTAGACATGAAAGTAATTCCTGGCTCCTAACAACTACATCTCCAAACTCGAAACTCGAACGACATGTCTGGGGTATACTATCGTTGACTAGTTGTCCTGGCTGGGCTTCACCGTCATCCATACACATAATCAATGATGACGATATCGCCAAGCTTTTATGAAGCACCATTGTTGTTGGTCTTTGCCTTCTCTTTGGCCCTCCTCAACTCGGTTCCACTCTTGATTACTGTGCTGAGGTCTCCGACCGGTAAATTGACCGGGAAGTCCACAGTGCTAAGCATCAAGACAAGAAGTAGATATAATCCGATAATGATGACTGGGAAACCTACGGCCCCTGCGGCGACGGTATAGTTGTGGAGTTTCTCAAAATTCCCTTGGGCACCGTAGAATTGGGCTGCAGAGAATACGGGAAAGACAATAGTGAGGAGAGCAAAAGCTAGGACGAAGAGCACGTTCGTGCGCAAGGCACAGATAGTGCTATAGAGGGAGAAGATTCCCATGAAGATTCCGACGTAGGCGTTGGAGGAGAGAAACCCAGCTGTTGCTAGGCCGCCCATTCCGGCCATGTCTTGTTCAGCGAAAGCACCAGCTGCGTTGAACCATGGAGTCAAAGTTGCACCATAGTACTTCAAATGATTAGCTTATATACCGGAAGCAATTATGTTGGGGGACTCACAAGAAAGAAAGCACCATACACTGCAAAAAACGTCGACGGAAAGCTGTTGCCAAGAATGAATTCGCCGATGGCAGCGAGGATTGCTAGCAAGCCACCGAAGAAGTAGAACGTTCCGACTGTCGCCGCACCGTTTCCAGCAGCGCCTCTCCATCCCATGAAGGTGATAATGATAGGAGCGTATGCGAGCAGGAACCCGGCCAAACCCCTGAGCTTTCTGTCAGTCACGAGTCTGAAACACACAATACTCAAAGCTTACAATGGGGTTGGGTTGCCAAAGGTCTTCCTCAGATCACCCTTGACGGCGCCGTACGGAGAAAGATACATGCGTTCGAACATCTCGGGCGTCATGGTGATCGAGCCGGCCGTTTGCGTAGGCGCCAACGGCGGCATGCCTGACTGACCCTGGTTGCCTTCCTTTTCATCTGTGCTGCTCATACTGGCAATTGGTGTGGTGTACTGTTAACAATATGAGCGGACAGTATTATAACGAAAAGTGGCACACGACCTTCTAAGACGATGAGATTGGTGACAACAACTTCCACGGGAGGCGAGCCTTTTTATACATGCGTGATATAGGTCAACTCGTTGTCCTCGGGTAAGTACGTTTGGTAAATCTAAGCTTTATCCACATCTTTCCCCGTCCTTCGACCAATTTTGTTGCGTTACATGCTGATTCGCTGGATAGCTTCTTCGAACGGCGCTGGCATCACGATCGGCGCTGGCAGGGGTCATGGTGACACCATGGGGAACATTAGTCTCGAACATAGCTACGGTACATATCTGATTTAGGCATCCAGCCCTGACAGTCATTATACATTGTAGTGAGACAACAAGATGATTGGATATGATATTGCACCATATACGACCAAGAGTGTGATATTCAAGTCTCTGGTGGTGTTGATTATATCGTATGTTGCCTCAGCGAAGTAACGCCATCCGAGGTATGCAGGTTGTATACCAAACATCCCGTTTCGTTCATCCCGCAGAGAGAGCTACGGGAACGCTGATACGATAGTAGAATAGCTCTGTCGATCATTGTACCCAAAGAGGACTTGCAAGCCTACCAGTACTGGATCATTCGATCGTATATGACTGGTTTAAGGGCGGTATCTTCTTCAGGGTCAATGTTATCGAGTGAAGCACAAACTCTGTTAACAAAAACATGTTCTGCCTGTGTGCTGTCAGCATTTCATCGCGAGTCTCAATGGAAAATAACCGTAACATCGATGTACTAAAACTCTAGTCCTTTGCCTAGGCAAGCCACGCTCATACACTACTAAAAACCTACTCCATAATACTGACGCCTGTCTTAGTGGCGTAAATCGTCACGGCTGTCACTGTTTCCCGATTAGCGCACTAACTGAAATAGGCAAATTCGACAAAGCTACCGGAGTACCCCAGATTTTAACACGGGAGGATTTAGTATGATTCGTGGATATAACACCGCATATTTCGATGTTTCCCTTCTACTTAATCAATGCAGTATCCGATACGGGGATACCCGACAAGTAAATCATAAGTCGGCTGGTTCGCATTATTGACTGGATTAGATACTTCTATTCTCTTGTCGATCATATAGATTAGACGCAGAGCAAGAATGTGATGCCTCCTACTACTGGCACATACCACAATTTGCGCTCGTCTTCGTCTTAGAATACAAAACATGAAATCAGCATTCCAAAATTGCGAGCGATGTTGCGCCGTCAATCTGCCGCAAAGTACGAAGCTGCCAAGCAGGTTGCGCAAGCAAGTCTCCACAGCCTCGTCTCGCTGTAGTCCCCACGACAGATCCCCACCAAAAAGCATCACCGCGCCACGAAACAAAGTGGGCAGTAGAGCAAATTCTAATGAGAACTGGAGACTTTCTCCTTGAAATTAGATGCTGTGACGCACTCCACGCGGCCCGAGCCACGATGCATAACGTACAGTCGTTGCGCAATGAATGGGAGTGCGTAATTCCAGGAGAAGTGGTTTCGTCGAGTGATTATATATATAAAGAAGTTGTGAAACAACGTGATACTGAGGTATCTACTACCAACGCCTAATCCATTGCTTGAACAGCCTCATAGCTAGGCATATCCGCCATGAGAGCCTCATCTTTTTCACTCCTTGCCATCGCGGCGCCCTTGGCTACTGCATATCCACAGCAAAGCACACCTACCACGAGGGCAGTATCGAATTCTTCCATGCCCTCCGTTACCTTGGACTATTCTACTGTCGTTGCAACAGCCGGAAACTCGTCCATCGGCTACTACAAATACCAGAATATCCGCTTCGCTGCAGTCCCCACGGGTGACCTGCGCTGGGCAGCACCGGAATGGCCTCCAGTCGAGAGTGTAGTGAACGATGGCAGTCTCGCTGATGCAGATGTCGATTGCGCTTCTACTGAGGACTGTCTATACCTGGATATATGGGCACCGGCAGACGCTGCTGGCCGAAATCTCCCGGTCATGGTGTGGACGTACGGCGGCGGCTTCACCGGCGGATCAAAGAGTGAGAACACTCCTGAAGGGCTGTTCGATCTGACGACGGACTTCATCTTTGTTGCGTACAACTATCGTCTTGGAATGACTGGTCTGGCGAATGGCGTGACACTGTTACATGAAGGTGGCACTTCTAATACGGCGATTTGGGATGTGCAGCATGCGTTCCAGTGGGTGCAGAAGTATATTGGCGAGTTTGGTGGGAACAAGGACGATGTCACTGCTGTTGGCTTCTCTGCTGGTGCATCTCAAGTTCTGTTCCAGGTGACTGTAAGTATGGACTGTGAAATATGCGGACTGTGTGCTAACAATTGGCCCTCATAGCGCTTCGCCGGGCACGCAGAACAATTGTTCAAGCAGGCATATGTCATGTCTCCTGGATTCGTCCCTGGCGCTGGGCACCACCACGCTGAGATGTTCTGGCAAAATGTCTCAACGTCAGTTGGTTGCAACGGCGGTTCTCTAGACTGTATGCGGCAAGTAGACTTCGACACGTTGTCTACCGCAGCCAGCGACGTGGAGAGTGCTTATAACTATCAATTCCAGCCGCGCGTGGATGGAAACATTATTGCAGACACTTGTGAGCCCAACATCACAGCCATTATGTTCCTCTAACTGACTGATTACTCCTCAGACGAGGCTCAGCTTTACCAGAAGCATTTCAACTTCAGTGGCCCCTTCGTCATAACCCATGAAGTCCACGAGATGAACAGCCAAGACTACAGCGGCGTCAACACCACCGCCGATGTCTCTACATATCTACGCATCTTCTTTCCCGCCATTACTGACGACGTCGTATCTGAAGCGTTGGAGCTCTATCCAGAGGCCGACTACACCTCTCCAGGCCTACGATTTTCCGACATGAAGCAAAGCTTCGATCTGACAGCCCACAATCTAGCACTGACCCAGGCCCTGGACAACCAGACATGGAACGCGCTTGTTGCTCTGGGAGCAGCAACTCATGGGACGGATCAGAATTACTACTGGTATAGCACATATACCCTGTCCTCTTCGACAAAGACTTCAAGCAACTCCACGAGTAGTGCCCCTACAGCGAGCAGCAACACTACGATGTCCACTGTACCAGGAGGAGCGGGTGGTATGGGTGGTATGGGAAGCACGACAGTCGATGCGACGGTGGCCAGACAGATGCAGAAGTATTTGATGTCGTTTGTGTTGACGGGAAACCCTAACTCCCTCTGGAGCAGTGACAAGTTATACTGGCCGCAGTACACAGCGGGAAATACTTCCACCACAGAGCTAGTGTTTAACACAACGATGTATCTTGAAGAAGACAGTTTGGCGAATGCGAGGAGCCTTTTCTGGAATAAGGTGTTATGGTATTAGAGAAACCTTAGCCATAGAGGAGAAATTATTAGAGTAGCATGAAATAAGCAAAGTAGTTTTCTTAGTCTATTATGTTGAATATGTTGACAGTAAATCTGGTATCTGGCGATCCATCTGTGTTCATGACGCCGTAAGTGGTGACTTCATACTTCGAGACGCTCAACATGATGTGAACCCGAAGGCAACGTAGTTTGTACATATGAAGGTTTTAAGGCAAGGACTATCTGAACCATCACGTAATGCCCTCGTATTTGAAGATCAGAGTAGTAGCGATACCCGATCTCACATTCAGAGATTTGTGCCATTCAACGAGACTTTTATATTGACGAGAGGAAAGGGTTGCGTCATTCTTCTACGCTCTTACTATGTCATACTAACCTCATATCTTAATGGGATCAGGTGTCTAACAACATGAGCTCGTGTAGTGTAAGCAAGATCGATCAAAGAGCTAAGCCAGCTTGGCGGCTTACTCAGGGGTATATGCAACAGAAATGAACAACGCCGTGTACTGCCTCGGCGGCGAAATTTGGACAAATGCGATAGTTTTTTGAACGCCGGAAGAATGTGGACTTTTGGACGCTATCGAATAAGCGTCAGCTGGACGGCTCAGCCAAAATGGAGACCTTCTTTGTTGAATGCGTGAAGCATGCTCAGAAAGTCACCTTCGTCGCAGTTTCGTGCTCGCTTCTCAGCCAGCTCAGTATCGTTCTCGAGCACCTTGCGCACCTTCTCTCGAACCAGTTCCGAGACTCTGCCTCTTTTCTTCCTCTTGCCACCGCCTCGCTTTGACTGTGACTTGAGCACCTGAGCTTCCTTGAAGTAATCTGGAAGATCATCTACTTCGTCTTCGTCCACTTCCATGATGCCGTTCCATTCCTCCTCTCCGTCGTCAACCATGGCTGTGTCCTCGGTCAATTCGCCCTCGGCAAGTGGTGAATCGTCCAATACTACATCATTTTGTGCTGCCCATAGACGGTAATTCTCTGTTAGCATGTCGAGCACACTTGTCGTCCCCAAGAATGCGGCTCTTAACGTCTTATTCTTCCTTACAAAACACACTCTAAGCATGCCGTCCCACTCGTCGAAGGAGATCGCCGGCCTCGGAACTTTTGGTATCAGCCTAACAACCGATGATTCCACATTTGGTGGTGGATTGAAGTTGTTCCTCCCGACTTTCATGACATGCGTGACATGAGCGTAGAATTGTGCGTTAACGCTTAGCCTTGAATATAATTTCTCGCCAGGCCTAGCAAATAGCCGGGCCGAGAACTCTTTCTGAAACATGAGTACGGCACATCGAGGAGGACGTTCGAGGGATAATAATTTGAATACGAGCGGCGAGGAAATCTGATATGGAGTGTTCGATATACAGACGTCAAATGGAGGTAGCTCCGTTTTGATGACATCACCGAGAAGGATGCTCAGCCGTTGGTGCAGGGCAGGCGTCGGTTGAACGCGTTTAGTCAGTTCTGCTGCCATTCGAGGATCCATTTCTACGGCTGTGACATGCTTTGCGGTTTGCAGGATACGGACTGTCAGATTACCAGTTCCGGGACCAACTTCCAGGACGTGCTGACTGTTGTAAGCCAAAGTTATAATGGGTTGAACAGCGAGTTCTTTACTTACATCACTCTGTTTCAGGTCTGCCTTATCAACAATTGCCTGCGCTACTCCAGGGTTCTTGAGGATATGCTGGCCGAGATCTGTGTTCATCTTGAATATCGAGTTGGCTTTCGCCTTCTGAGCCTGTGCATAGGGCGCGCTGCCAGCAGTAGCCGCAGAGGCATTGCGCTTATGGTTATGTTGCTTGGGCATGCTGGAGCAGAGACTTAGAAAAGTTATCACTGTGTAGATTGCAAGTCTTGCCGCTTAGTGTAGGTGAATTTTGGATTTAGGAAATTTGTTGCCTCAGGCCTTATCGATTAGACTTCAAGTGGGAACGTAGTTCACCATTCATTTAGCGTGCTGCCGCGTTCGCGTTCGCGTACGCGACTCGAACATCCGAATCTTGAAGAATGACCTGCTGCAAACGTTATCGGAGGTGAACTGCTGATATGACCTTGACCTCGTCAAACTGCCTGTGATTGTTCCAGGCAGGTTTCTTAATAGACCTCACGGCGAATCAAAACCCAGAACTGCACCAAACATGTCCTCTTCCGAGCTCTCATCAGCGACTTCTGATCTAGTCGATGACGCCTCCACTGCTGGGACAAGTCCGCACGAAAGGGTCACGGTAGCCGTGAATCCGAAGAAGCGCAAAGTCATTACTACGACGACTACGGGTAGCAAACGTTTCAAGACCACTGGGAACGCTGTGCAGAAGGTCGAGGTCACGCCGCAAGAGACTCAGACCAAGAAGAGTAAAGTTAAGGTGGAAAAAGGTTCGGACCTCAATAAGTCTCAGCCTACTGTGTCGATAAAGGCGGCCCCCAAGAAACGGAAAACCAAGGAAGAGAAGGAAGCTGAGAATATGCCGTTGGCTACTCGAACCATAGGTTCCAAGATATTTGCTGGAGCTCATGTTAGTGTTGCGGGAGGCGTCCAAAATGCGGTCATCAACTCCTTGCATATTGGGTAGGTTAAAGTGAAGAGTCGATCACATTCCAGCTGTTGATACTATCACAGGGGTAACGCATTCGCCCTCTTTCTCAAGTCACAAAGAAAATGGACCAACCCACCACTCAAGACTGAGGATGCTGTGGTCTACAAGGCCCACTGTAAAGAGCATGGTATCGAGAGCGATAAACATGTTGTGCCGCATGGGTCGTACCTTGTGAACTTGGCGCATACTGATGCGGACAGGACAGCCCAAGCATATGGATCATTCCTGGACGACCTTAAACGATGCCATCAATTGGGTATCAAACTTTATAATTTCCATCCAGGTAATTGCGCAAGCTCAACGAGAGAAGAGGCGATCCGTCATTTAGCACACCAATTGAACAGGGCACACAAAGATCCGGATACTGGCGGAGTGATTACCGTTCTTGAGACCATGGCATCCGCAGGCAACACTATCGGTAGCACATTTTCTGAGCTCGCATCGATCATTAAACTAGTCAACGACAAGTCGCGTGTGGCAGTGTGTCTTGACACTTGCCATGTGTTTGCTGCAGGCTATGATTTGCGAACCCCTGAAGCTTTCAAGGCTACAATAGAGCAATTCGATAAAGACATTGGACTCAAATACCTTCGTGCTTTCCACGTCAACGACAGCAAAGCTCCACTCGGTTCGCACAAAGATCTACATGCCAACATCGGAACTGGGTTCCTAGGTCTTCGTGCGTTCCACAATCTAGTGAACGAGCCACGTTTATGGGGTTTGCCCCTCGTTCTCGAAACGCCCATTGGTGTAAAGAATGAGAAGGGCAAGGAAGTCGATGACCACGGGATCTACGCTCGCGAGATCAAACTTCTCGAAAGCCTTGTCGGTATGGACCCTGAAAGCTCCGAATTCACAGAAATGGAGAGTAAACTACATGCGAAAGGTGAAAGTGAGCGAGCGAGAATTCAAGACCAAGTGGACCGCAAGGCCATCAAAGACAAAAAGGGTGGAGGCAAGGCGGGTGCAAAGAAACCTGCGAAAGCCAAACCTACGAAAGGCAAGAAGAAGAAGATAGAGACTTCTGATGAGGAAGGCGATTCTGGTGAAGACACTGCTTGATCAAGCCATTAAGAAAAGACTTCAGAATCAGAGAGACGGTCAATACGACGAGACGCGCGTAGTCTTCTGTCCAAACCAAGTATGTGTCATTTTCTCATCCAGTCACACCACGCGTGTTCTCTCTAATCACTTACAATATAACCTCGCTCCAACTCATTGACTCCATTTCAGGGAATCCGAGACTCATTAGCACTAAAACTGCCCACACCGCATTAATAAAGCAATATCCTTTGACCTTTGTTTCCCTTCATTAGCTCTTGTATACCCGGTCTGGTTCATATCATATTGTGTATATTTATGTAAGATACGACTGAAACACGTGACCGTCCCCGCTATTGCGGGTGCGGTAGAATCTTTCCATGTTCCACGATGATAGCCTCGTCCGATCCGCCTGTAGACTATTGCGCTGGTCTGTGTCAGTAATGGTTCTCCTTATTCATAATGGCATTGTATTATTGAAATGTAAGCAGTAATCTACTGCCCCCCCCAACAGATGTGATGGACTCGTTTTTGTATACAAACTCAGTCGCCGCCTCCTGGACATGCCCTGCGGTATCGAACGACATTGTCCACTCTTTTCACCGCAGTCTCCCTGACTATAGCGAAACAAGGCTTCACTCCCTCCCGGACCTCGCCACAGACCTCGGAGTCGCGCACGTTGTGATCAAGGACGAGTCCACACGCTTCGGCTTACCTGCTTTCAAGATCACGGGTGCGTCTTGGGCCGTCTACCGCGCAGTCTGCGAAGCCACTTCACTACCACTGAATGTATCCTTGGAGGTTCTGGGCAGGGCCGCCAACGATAGAGGTATAAGGATGGTAGCATGTACTGAAGGCAATTGGGGCCAAGCAGTCGCGCAGATGGCTCGATATTTAAGCATTCCGGCTACGATCTTTGTCCCGCGTTTCATGTCCACAGCAACGCAGGCGACTATCGAAGGGGAGGGTGCGCAAGTGATCAAGATTGAGGGCGATTACGACGAGAGTGTAAAACGTGCGGAGAGGGAGGCCAAGGAGAACGACGCGTTGCTGTGTATGGATACCGCCTGGCCCGGTTACGAGAAAATCCCGGCCTGGGTTGTTCAAGGGTATGCAACGATATTGAGTGAAACGGACGCGCAATTGGAGCAGTTGGTCGGACGACCGGCTACACATGCGTTTGCACCGGTTGGTGTGGGAAGCTGGGGACATGCAGTGACAGTCCACTACAAGTCGAAGACTGAAGGCCAGCGCGCATTGGTCGTTGCTGTGGAGCCGGATACCGCGGCATGCTTAAAGACATCGCTTAAAAAGGGCATGATCACCTCGATTGAGACAGGAGAGAGCATCATGGCCGGTATGAATTGTGGAACGGTCAGCCTGATGGCTTGGCCTGCATTAAGAGATGGAGCGGATGCCGTGGTCACTGTGACTGATGTGGAAGCCCACAGAGCAGTAGAATATCTTCATTCGAGGCAAGTAATCGCTGGTCCATGTGGAGCATCGACGGTTGCGGCCTTCAGGAAGATCAGCAATCAGCTAGGTCTGGGAAGGGAGAGTGTTGTGGTGTTATTTAGCACAGAGGGATCGCGAGAGTACAAGATACCGGAATGACCCCGTCATATAAGAACATTTCTGTTTATCCAAGGTGACAAAGCCTTCTTCCGCCGAACTGATAGATGAAACAGCTTGGCTTTGGTTGATACCTCATTCTCCTGACACAATTATCGCTGTAGATTTCGACACATACTCAAGAGTTTGATCACACCTCTGATTCTGACGACGTGTTCAAGCACAGGAATTCGTTACATGGTCAGTCCTCCAGGTCAGCGAGTGGCTACGCTACTCGTATACTCTCATCCACGGCATCTGCCACACCTTCAAATATATGATGTCAAGGATAGAAGTCTCAATAGTCACCTCAAAGAAGTTCAATCTCCGCCTATTGTGTCTGCAGCTTTCAGTCGAATATCAGACATTAATATGCCTCGAGGAGACCCTTTGCAAGGGTTCAAATATGATACAGCCGGAGCTATATGTCTCATATGACGTAGAGCATATGTGCATAGGGTACCACAACCGGACAGCTTCTACAAGAAAAGCGTATTGCTTCATTGTGACATTGATCATTCGCCTGTCGCACTTTTTGGCAAGGAAGTCACCTCCGACACTCTACCATGGTGGCTATGGTAATGAACGCGCTCCAGACACGAGATACGGAAGAATTGTCCTCGCAAGTCACAAAAAGTTGTGGATCTTTAATGCAATAAGCTCCATCGAAAATTGTACTCCCACTGAGCTGCAATAAATAGGCCGTATGATCAGAGAGGACGCCGTTTGGACCAGAGTACTGCTGATCAATCCTATATGTTTCTGTTTGGACGCCACATGCGTTGGTGTTTGTGTTGGGTTATCTGACAAATAACGACTAATTAACCTCCAGACCCCAACACCCAATGCAACACGCGGAGTGAAGAAGCAAAAGTGTCGCATGCGAGTCACAATCGTGCAGTATATGACCAATTTGAGTACTTTCTACCGTTGGGTCAGACCGTTGGGTGGCAGTCGTTTGATTACTCGTGGGATCCTGCCGACCTGCAGATATATATAATACCCAGCAGCGCTGCTGAGAGATAGTACCAAGTCTGTAAAGGTTGATAAATCTCGCAATATCATCCGTGGTCTCAACCAGCTAGTCGCGATGAAGCTTGCCATAGTAGCCACATTGTCTGCGTTGTGTGCGTCTTTCAGTGAGCTCCACCTTCTCTCAGAAATACGTTCTACTGACAGTCCACAGCGGATGCCCTCGTCCTTCGTCAGACTCCTGGACAACGACTCCCGTCCGGAAACTCCATCCGTCTCCTTCCCCTAGGAGACTCCATTACATGGGGCACAGATAGCACAGATGAAAGTGGCTACCGCGGCGGTCTCCTATCCGAACTCAGCGGCAACATCGTCGACTTCATCGGGAACGCATCACAGCGCCGTGGCAACATTCCCGATCCCGACAATGCCGGCTGGCCAGGATACACGATTGCGCAAATCGGCGAGGCCGCGGACAATGCCTCCACATCGGTGTTTGCACCTCAGCCCAATGTTGTCACGCTGCATGCAGGTACAAACGACATGATTTATATCTTCCAGGACTATGCTGGTGCTCCAGATCGACTAGAGGCGTTGATCAATAAGATCACGGCAAATGTGCCGAATACGCTGGTGCTGGTTGCGAAGATCATTCATGCCTCTGACCCGGACGTTGATGCTAGAATCCAGACGTATAACTCAGGGATAGATGCTGCTGTACAGAGGGCTCAGCAGGGTGGGAAGTTCAAGGTGCGCGTAGTAGATCAATCTGCTATCGATGACCTTGGAGATGGTGTGCATCCGTAAGTTTACTGCTCGTGACATATGGTGGGAAGACAAGTCTGACGATGAGGCAGGACCGACGCAGGATATGCGACGATGGCAACCAATTGGTACAATGCTATTTACGATGCAGATGTGGCAGGACTTATTTCACCAGCCTAGGGGTGGAAGGCTCACTCGCACGAGGGTCGCTCAGTTTTCGACTTGCGTCCTACGTAAGGGAAAGAGGAATAGATAAGGGACATATACCTACTCAAACAGATCATTACACTGGTGTATGTGTTCTCACTATCGCTATGAACAAACAAAGAGGTCAGAACTAGTCTATAGACTAGCTTATCTCAAGATATCAAGTGAATCTTCAAATCCAATAGAGATCTTTTGCTCTAGTGCCAATGAAATACTCTACACTAACCATCACGGCAGGTACGTTCAATGCAAGCTCTCGAATAGGTCCATCGCCTCACTCGAGACCACCACCTACATATTCACTGGCATGCCTGTGCAAATAGTGTCAGCTGCAAAAAACGCCATTGCTGAATCATTCCCGAACACATGAAGAAACAGATACGAATTTCTCGGTTGCACTTTCTTATCGGTATAGTCGTAGACCAATATCACAAACATCCCGGGTTGGAGCTGAAAAATCTTCGGTATCCAAGTTTGGACCGGGCTTGTTCAGTATGTGGTCCCGTTGTATTGGTATCTTTTTTTCGATGTTTGTGCCCTCTGGCAGATTGTTTGGGCCGGTACAGGGTCGATACTCAGCCATGACGCCCGTATCTGTTTAGACAGTTCATATCATGGGCGTCGGTAGCGTCATTGAGTTTAGGATAATCTCAACCTCTGGCTCGGTAAACTCCTCACGCTAAGTTATGTAGAGAAGGATATGCGGAATCTTGTTTTATAAATATTGTCGTTTGCATCTGCGGCTCTTACACTCTGTTTCCAGCTGTCGTCTTTCTTTCTCGTAGTGCCACTAGATACTGAAAGACCTACATTTCATGAAGAATGGGTGCCGAATTGATGTTGTCTTATGAGATGTAGCTTAATAGATTATGTGTGATAACAGTTCCTCTATGCCCCCTTTCTATACGCCATGTACGATGCCCCAGAATCTGCCCACCTTGCCTTAAGCTGTGATCCCCACGAAATTAAAACCCGAACGCCACTTAGCAGCAAAGATGGGTATCTTAGCCCTCCAGACTCCTTGCAAGATACACCGACGCTCTATTCTCACTCAGATCAGCCTCAGCCCGCTCTTCGGCATAGTGCGCGTAAACGCCAGCATCGCCTTATTCTTATTCGGCAGTTTCTGGAGTCTCCTATATGCCTCTTTGACATGCTGTAGTTGCACTGGCTCACGCGCTTCATCTGGCATGTCAAAAAGTCCCGTCTCACGCTTTCTCTTGCGGCCCGCACTGCCCTCGTCACCACCGCCCGCAGCGCCAGTCTTCTTCTTGTACAGATCCTCCGCGGCCTTGACCTTGAGCGCCTCTTCGGTCAATGTCTGGACGATCTCAAAGGTCAAGAATCCCAAGATGTCGATAGTGTCATCGTTAGGCTTTGTTTCGAGAATGACGCCGACACCAGCCCACTCACGGAAACGCTTCGCTTTGCGAAATGTAAAACTGGCTTGACGACAGTCGGACCAGTGCACATACTCGTCTCGCGTCATGTCTTTTGTACGTTCGTCGGCGTTGCGAAGACGTTGAATCGTGGCGTAATTCATCTCTTCTTCCTCCTCGTCTTCGATATCGTCGCGTGGGGGTACGACCTCGCTGAAGAAGCTTTGTACGTCCCATACGAGGTCGACTTTCGTGCGCTTTGCTTTCTTGCCAACATCTGCGGCAGGGCCTGAGGCCCCAACACCCTGAATATCATCACCTGCGGCTAGCTCCGCTGCGTCGCCGCCGCCCTTGTCATCAGAGTCTTTGACGTTGCGTCGAACATCTTTCCATTGGAGGAAAGTACGTAGACGGGAAATTTTGGCTTTATCGTGGCGGATAAGCATCATGAGGTCATCCGTGGAAATGGATCGAGAGCCGCGGCGGGTGGCTAAGGCAGTGCATTCTCGAAGCTAATAACGTTCAGTAAACTTGACATCTGGTCAATGTACTGAAGGTAACAGGATATGTACCATTTCTTGAACTTGTTGTTGGACGATCTGTTCGATGAGGAAGGTGACTTCCGGTGCGGGTTCGGCGGTCTCACCAGAGACGAACATCATCTGTCGGATAAAGTCAATGAACCGAATCCAGAAACCTCTCATATTGCGAAATTCGTCCATCGTGCAGATACAGGGTCTAGGCCCAATAAAAATAGAGACTCGATTGAGAGAACGAATGTGATAACTTCTGTAAGGGATGAATACACAGTAGAGCTACAGGACACGGCAAATAACCCCACACTGCTGCAGGTCACGAGCTTATAAGGCTGAAGCCGTATGTAGCCGGAGAACACATAGAACGGGAAAATGAAGACGATACCTTAGGAAATAGTTTTTGATATGAGCCCAAACAGTATTTTTTACTTCTCGCCGGACGGACCAGCTCATCCTGATGTAGAGCCTTGTGTCTTTTCTGTGGTCGAACAAACATAACGGACACAAAGAGAAGGTACGATGTAGAATGTTGTATAAGAGGTAGAGAAGTGGCAGATGGAGAAGTAGAAGCAGAAGCAGAAACGAGATGTCACGGTAAAGAAAAAGACAAGAAGATTTAAATGAGGTGGCAGGTCCATAAGATCAAGAGTCACGACCTGGAAATGGGGATCTCACGGCAATATCTTAAAAGTGCACTGTGACAAAATCGCAATTCACTAACCTGCTGGATCTCCTGACGATACTTGGCCGTCTTTGTGTCTGCCATGGTCGTGAATGCGGCGGTCCAGCCGCTATGTTCACGCAAGGGCTATTCAGAACAGATTATGTATAATACAGTATTGACTATAGATGCAGCGCTGAGTAGAGACTGAATAACGACTGGTGAAATGATAATGACTGGATGAAGGTGAAGGTTGAAGTGAGCGAGTTGGCGTTGGAGGCTGAGTGGGGCCAGGGTTCCGTGCTGCTCATGCTAGGCTATCTCAAGCCTAGCTCAGCCCTACAAAAATCCTCTGCATCAAAAAATATCATTGCGGGGTTTGTGCAATCATTGCGGGGTCACAGTCATTCTTGGGATAATTATACGAGATCAACAAGATGCTGTACCTGATTGGCCTTGGCCTCGCTGATGAGAAAGACATCAGCGTAAGAGGCCTTGAAATCGTCAAGCGTGCTTCACGCGTCTATCTCGAAGCCTACACCGCAATCCTACTCGTAGAAAAGCATGTTCTGGTGAGTTTCTTCACATACCTGCCATGCTTTAGCAATCCACAATCAGCACAACACCTCGTCTAACTAACACAGCTATAGGAATCCTTCTATGGTCGCGAAGTCATTCTGGCTGACCGTGAAATGGTCGAGTCGAACAGCGAAGCCATCCTCAAAAGTGCGGAAAAGGAAGACGTTGCCTTTCTCGTCGTAGGCGATCCATGCAGCGCAACAACCCATACGGACCTTCTGCTACGCGCGCGACATGCCACACCTGCAATCCCAACCCGTGTCCTACCGAACACGAGCATTATGACTGCTATTGGATGTACAGGGTTGCAGCTGTACAATTTCGGCCAGACTGTCAGTATGGTCTTCTTCACGGACAACTGGAAGCCGACGAGTATCTATGACCGCATCAAGGAGAATGTTGCGCATGGATTCCATACTTTGGTGCTGCTAGATATCAAGGTCAAGGAGGCGAGTGAGGAGAATATGGCGAGAGGCCGCCCATGGATCTTTGAGCCGCCAAGGTTCATGTCCAGTGCTCTATGTGCCGAGCAGCTGTTGTACGTCGAAGGGGAGAGGAAAGAGGGGATCTGTGGTCCGGATAATTTGGCAGTAGCAGTGGCAAGAGTTGGCAGTGAAGAGGAAAAGATTGTGGCAGGGACTTTAGAAGAGCTTAGTACAGTCGACCTTGGGAAGCCGCTGCACAGCTTGGTTCTTATCGGTAAGAAGGGGCATGAGATGGAGATGGAATATGTGAGAGACTTCGCCATTGACAAAGCCAAGTTCGAGGTAATCTGGAAGAGAGACTATGGCAAGTCGTAGACCACATCCATTCGCAATTGAGCAGGACGGCGGCCAGCGCGTCGCCTGATCCTCAACGTCTGCGACAATGTCACAAACACGTTTGTATTCATCCGGCGTTCTTCCTTGCCACATTCACCGAGCATAACATGCATAGAGTAAGACCGAGAATCAGTGAGAATCCTTTTTATATGCTCCAAATGTACATAAGTAGTTCGAAGTTCGCAATTCGGTGCACAACCTCTTCATGAGGTAGTGTATAGCACCATAGAGCAGGGTTGTCCGAACTATCCGCGTTAAATGCGTGCTACGCCGTTCCGTGCGTTGGTAATTTGCATCAATAGTCAGGATTCCACAGTTCAAGCCTTCTTCTCCTCTTCTTCCTCCTCGTCGTATTGCAGCCTCTTGGCATTCGCACGCTCCAACTTCCTCTCGCGGGCAGCCTTGTTCTTTGCACGCTTGGCGTCCATCTCGTCGGCGAGTTGGCGCTCACGAAGCTTCTCGGCCTTGGCCTTGTGGATCTGGCGGCTGAATTAGCATCTTGCAAGGGCGGCCGGAGTCATGATGCCATGAATGTCATGGGGGAACGTACGTGTTCTACAAGGGCACGCTTGTGCTTGAAAGTGTTACCCTTAGCGAGCTGGTACAGCTCGTGGTAGAGGTGCTTGTCGATCTTGCCGGCTGCACGGTACTTGACCAGCAGGCGGCGGAGTACGCGCTGACGGCGCATCCATAAGATCTCGCTGTGAAACAGCGTTAGCCATATAACCCTCTAGGCTCTTCAACCATCGACTCTACCGCAAGGCGGTCTCGGAGTGATTGATGGGACAACCGAGGGATATATCCTACCTAGGCATTCTAGCCTCTTGTGTTCCCTTCCTCTTACCGAAGCCACGGTGTCTACCGATTCTTCGTGCAGCGGTCAACTCACGGGCGCGGGTGCGCGAGTGCATCGTGACGGGCTTGCGGATGATGAGGCCATCGGAGACCAACTTGCGGATCGTCTGGCGGGAGTTGGCGTTCGAGATTTCGTTGACCTCGTTAGGGTCAAGCCAAATCTTGCGCTTGCCGCATCCGACGACAGACGCTGCGAGGCGCTTCTGGGTGCGAAGGTTGACCCTGAGGAAAGAAGAACATGTTAGTTGGTTTCTGAAGTGGTGGCGGAGTTGGGTGAGGGGAACATGAGAATGGCAGTGATAGCGATTAGAACGGTGGATTGACGATGATAGATAGTTTTCTCAAATCCTCAATCGACCGTATAGAGAGGGACAACATACATTGTCGATGAATGGTTGGTCGCTGTCGGGTTAGTTGATGAGCAATGTCGTGGATGAGGTTGCAAGTATTTTCGCAAGCGAACGGTGGAGATGTGGGCGCCAAGAGTCACGTGTAGCGAGTGGCCTTCCATCACCCACATCTATTTAAACGAACCTTGACAACAAGATCATTACGGAACGTTGCTCATTATGATTCAGATTGACTGACTGACTGTCTATCCTAAAATTGTATAAGTATGACACCTCAAGACTTTGCCCACCCCTACAGCAGTCGGGTCCGAATCAATGCAGACCGTGGACGATATCTCGGTGACTCGATGAACCATTTTGGCGCTCAATAGCGTGCTTGTACTGTAGTACTATCTGTTCGCCCTCGCTGTCGTCAATAATCTCTGACCAACATAGCCGCTCTACATGGAGCTCTAGGGGTATATCTGGGCATAGCGGCCCTTGAATCCGAGTAATGTAGTGTCTTGGCCGTTACGAGCCTAAACGTGCTGAGTACGCCAATTTTCAGCCTCCACTCATCTGAGTTACAGCCGTGTTGGTCGACATCGTCCATCCATACATCCCAAACGGCGCAGCCAGCTGCACCATGGCGGTCATTCGTCTTGACGTCTTTGTTATTGCGCCGGCCCTTTTACTAACCACACTGTTCACGGTATCTGTGGTTCAGTTAGCCCTGATTGCACACGTCGTAGGCTGGACGAACAGCGAAAGTACATTTCTCGATACCCCAGACGTAGACCAAACAGCAAGAACTGGAAAAGTTCCTTTGCCGCCCAACTTGAACTATGAGAGTTCAGCCTGCTTGCTTGCATGCAGCGCCTGTAGTATTTTGGCCTCAGGATTATTGGGTGCCTTAATATATACCACCGAGAGAGGCCTCAAATTGGAACTGAATTTCGGCAAGCCTACTGTATGTATAATAAACCTGAAGGTATGTCTCTGCGTACTGAATCTTGTGGACAGGCCCATTCTGCCGCTGTTAGGAAAAGGCTACATGAGTCATCCGTGATGTTCAGCTTGTCTGGAGTCCTGGTTGTTCTGACAACTGGTGTACTAATCTTCTGTTTTATTGATCCAGGCAGATCACATAGTCCTTCAATCTCATACAATCCCTCATCCAACACGGTCACGAACTACGACCAATATCAAACCCTGGAAACTTGGACATGTGTTCTTTCAGTCAAGGCAAGCTCACTCAACATATTGCGCCAACAATGCCGCCAGGCACGTGCTGCACGGTTCTTACTTATTCCCAACATTGCTGTGACTGCATTGCTGGCATGTTGTCTGGCCTGGCGTCAGCGTGTTTTCAACCTTCATCAGGACGACGTTCCTGATAAGGTTGAGATAGATGCATTGGAGAAGCGAACAGGCTTTGTAACGCGCCCGTCGGAGCAGACAATCGTGGAATTAGATACCGGCTCAGCCAAAGAAGTCGCCGGTGGCCAAATTACTGAATTACCACAGGCGGCGGCGGAGCTCCCTGGTCCAAAAATGACATATAATGGCGCCGAATACTTCGCTGGCACAGCAATCCCATCGGCGACAGTGCATTCGGGATGGCCGCTAGACCGAGTCATACTGTGGCTCTCAGTAAACAACTTCTCGATTGAGTGGCAAGAGCTATTCCGGTACTTAAACCTCGACGAAGGTCTGTTTCTAGACCTCGGACGTGACGATGCCAACAAGAAAGATGCCAATGCCATGTATCACAAGATCCTTCCTCAACTGGCCCAACAGTATAGAAAGAGTGGCGTGCGGTGGGACAGACAGAAAGCAAGAGATGAGAGTAGAAGATTGCAAAGGTTGATACGGAGTATCCTCGAAGACTGAAGCCTATATTTTGCAACACGATCTTTTACCACCTGGATGTCGTCTCGATGGTTTGCTGAGGAGTTACATTCTTGGTGAATACTAATGATGCCTTCGCTACGCAGCGGGTGTGCACATAACGATGAACACCTGGCTTTGCGAGCACATTGGGCATGCTCAACTCCATTACGTGAACTTTTCGCGCGGAGACTTCACCATACTTGAGCTTCGCACACAAAGGCCTCTATGTTACGGACATCGTTAGCAACGCAGCTGTAATACACAATGCGATGTTTAACGTTTTCGAGGCTATGCCACTTCGCATCACGCATCACACATTCGAGACGACGCGAATACAAGACAACACCCTATATGCATCACTTGAGCTAGGCTACGAGATGCATATAAACTCCCCTGCCATCTCTCCCAGCTCCTCACCAACTTCCTAAGTTCTCACACCACATTTTCAAGCCCAGGTCCATCAACCTATCATCTTCGGACTACCACAATCACTTACACACGAAGCTATTACCCACCAACTACCACAAGCCTAACGGGCGCTCTAAGGACCGCCACAATCAACCGTAACCCCGTACACCATCAAGATGGCCAACTGCAATCACCGTGTCATGAACCCGACCGACTCGAGACAACGCGAGATCATGCGCGCCTGGCTCCGCGCCGGCAATCGCATGCGCGACGGCGTGCACAACCCGGACCCCAACGACGAGCGGTACAAGTTCGGCCACAACAGCACCGGGAACCGCTATGAAGACCCTACGTGGCGCCGCATCGTCTCCGGGCAGCCATCACACGGACATAGGCGTTTTCACCAGCGTGCCATTACGGATGGACGCGAAAGTGCTACGTATGGAGGCTTGCATGATGCGTCTTTCGCAACCAGTGGGGGTCATGGCAGCGATGGATTAGTGACCAGGTTGCAGGCGCTTACAATAGGCACGGGTACCATGGATGGCCAGTCATCGATGATGAGGAGTTCGCGCCAAGGTCCGAGTTTGGGCGGAGTGCAATCGGGACGATCGTTCGCAGCGATCACTGCTCCAGGCGGAGCGAGCATGAGGGCAGACATCGGTGGCAACATGGGCAGCTACAATGCTGGCGGGACCGCGAACTTCCAGCAGCCCTCGAGAAAGTCGCACAAAGACTCGATGATGGCATCGTCCCGCCAGGGACCTAGTTTAGGCAATGTGGCAGCTGGAACCATGACGATGGCGTCGGATGGGTCAATGATGCGGTCGAGTCGTCAGGGACCGAGTGTAGGTATTGGGGATTCATTCAGAGGGTTGAGTCAGCGCGGATCTGGACTCGGAAACATGAGCACGGGTTCTACTATGCCGGGACGCCGCCGACGATTCTAGCAATTAGAGATACACCGGAACCGGGAGGAATTATCTCTAATCTGAAGGGAAGAGAGTCTAAGCGGTGGGAAAATTTGTTGATTGGGACTTTATAGATTGAATGCCGGTAGTAGCTGAGCAAGCCCATATGAACCTTGTCTAAGGATATAATGTGTACAGATACATCGTTACGTTGAGATCAATGCTTGATAGGGAATTGATCTCGGATCTGCCATAACCTGAACATCATTATGCTTGCCACTAGGTACGCAAGCCCTGCGTAGATCTGCGGATAAAGATACTCGCGATCGCTGTCTGGTCTTCTAATTTTCAAGGCTATGACTTCGGAGAAAGTAGTCGGCAGCGTGATGATGGCCCAACACAGCGATAAAAGTGACGGAAGGTGTTTCAGTCCCACTACTTCGGCACATAAGGGACTGATAGTCTGAGTAAAGGGTTAGTATCATTATTGGTCGCTGGAAAGGTGGTTAAGCCGACTCACTCCCCAGAACAATCCAATCGTTGCTCCTGACAAGACAGCAAAGACGAGTAACAGTGGCCAATTCTGTGCTGGGATCCAGAGTGCGAAGACGAATACGGCATTAGCCGTAGTGATATAACCTGCAACCTTTATCCGGCCATACCTATCACTCATGATCCCAATCAAAGGTCTGCCGATGAGAGTTCCTCCGTTGAGAGCGGCTGTTGTGGTTGCCGCTTGCGAAGCCGAGAGTCCAATTGAACGCGCAAAGTCCGAGAGCGAATATAAAATGGTAACATAACCAAGCAGGGAAAAGAAGCCCCATGCTAGGAGGCATATCACACCTTGACTTCTGAATAAACGGAAATCGAAGCCTCGAAGGGATGGTTTAATGGCCTTGTTGCGGCTCCGCAGAAAGATGCAAGCAGCTAAGTTACAAGCTCCTGAGACAATACCAGTGATTCGTAAAGCCCATGCAAGAGAGACGTGCTCGATGCTAGCTCGAACAGCAAATGAGAATATAACACCGCCTATGCCAGAGCCCGCACTTGTGATGCCGTTAGCCAGGCTCCTTTTCCTGGCAAACCATTGGCTGCTGATAGGATTCGACGGAATCCAAATGAAGCCGATGCCTAAACCAAATAGGAGACCTTGTGAAAGGTAAAGCTGCCAGATACGTGTCGCGAAGGATGCCGCGACGAAACCAGCAGTCTGGAATGCGATGCCTAACAGCATGGGTGGGTGTATTCCCCAAAGGCGGACTGCTATAGTGGCAGGAGTCGAGGACAGCATGGCAGCTCCGAATACGAGGCCGCCAATAAAGGCGTAGTCCAAAGCAGTGGCTTCAGGGAAGACATTGTTGGAGAGGTAATAGGCAAGGTAGACTCCATATGACTGGCTCGATTAGAACAATAGCAGGACTCTTGAGAACACTCACGGCTGCAACCCCCCATGTAAACGAGTTCACTGTAGCTACGCAAGCTACGCAGACCCATCCGTAACCGCCATCGGGGATATGAATGTCTTCAACAGCCTCTGTGGTAGCAGTCCTCGAACGTTCAACGTCACCAATGGGTTCTGCTTTTGGATTCATGTTTAACTACTACTCAAAGAAAATATGTGATTGGGCGATACCTGTCTCTACAGTAGTGCTCACAGACGGTTTTAGACGTCGACGAAAGAATGGCGCTTAAAGTTAATAATGAATGTTAGATAGAGAGAGCGCGTTTGGGGGCATAGAATACGTGAAGACTGCGAATGACTCAAGGCATCTGAAAAATTCTGCTGGATACCACCGACTATACTGTATACCGTAACGGGTATATATTAGCAGCCGTCGACGATCCGTTGCTTGCAAACAGGGCAGTGAATCTCCAGATCCACCTGACAGCTGATGTAAGAACCCGATAAGATTCTTTGTAGCATGGCAGACGAATTGCCATTTTCCCCCTCTCACTTGGGTTACATTTCTTCAGGATGTCCCCACATCAATCACAGGCCGACGAGCACAGGGACCCGGTAAGCATTCGCGGGTCATGATGCCGAGATCTGCCACTAGCTGGTAGGGCAGTCTTTTTGAAACGAATGGCAGCTCGCGGGGCGTTCATGCTGGTCAGCTTTGATGGAGAAGACATAGGAAGCAGACTTTTGTTGTTGTTGTCTTTGTGTTGACAGCACACTTCCACTGAGTCATGGAAAGACAATGGAAATGGAACGGCAACAAACTGACTGCGTCGTCAAGCGAGGCTAAGACTTTTACGTCATCAAAGCTTGGCAGGCGCGTCACCCGGCGCGTTCCCAAACGCGCTTCGACTACTGAAAAATGTACAGGCCAGCATCATAAAGCTGCATCTTCTTGGTCCAAGAAGACGAAAAATATGGCGTTCAAGAGAGCGTCAAAGCGTGCTGCATCGGAGGCTTCAGACTCACCTGAGCCGAAGACGAAGAAGGCGAAGGGCAGTGCGAAAGCTGGACCTCATGGTTCGAAGCTGGATAGCAAGGGCGAGCCTTATTTCGAGGTGTGCCCAATCCCATATCCTTACATTCCGATGTATTCTGACGTTGGCATCAGCTGGCAAAAATGCGTCGTGTCACAGTGTCAGAGTTTAAAGGCAAGGCGCTAGTGAACATCCGTGAATACTGGGAGAAGGATGGTGATCTACTTCCTGGCAAAAAGGTAGGAATAATCCATTTCTCTGTTATGCCGGAGCTGACTTCGATCAGGGTATCAGTCTGACCATCGAACAATACACGGCACTATTAGAAAGTATCCCAGGCATTGAAGCACTTTTGAAGAAGCAAGGGGAGGACGTCCCCAGAGTCTCGTACGATGAACCTGCTACTTCCAAGGCAGATGATGCGGAGGACGAGAAGGACAAGGAAGAAAGCCCTAAGCCAAGCAAGAGCAACATTGAAGCTACGAGTGATGAGGATGAGGGGTGATCGACAATGTCCTCATACATATATCAACTTCTTGACCAAGATGTGAGTTCAACGAGACTCACTGCGATCTGAAACGGCCTGGATATGGTAAACATGGCGTTAGGCGAACGGCCGAATCACGAACACGGCTACTTTTTTGGCGTTGCTCAATTATGTGTAAGTCATGCGGTGACCTGATACACCGGATGTAAACACCTCCTTGTATGTACAAGTACAAGTTTGTCTACTTCTTACACTGTCAAATATCTCAATGTAAGACTTATCTATTGCCTATGTCCAGTTGATAAGTTCAGGTCTGCCATAGCCATATTTGGGGCACCCAAAACTTACTCCACAATGTGATCCAGCGCCCTCGCCTTACGAACATCCAGACAGTCAATCGTGAGCTCATCCTTCGACAGCTTACTCGTAGCCAATATCACGTATCCCACGTCCAAAGTCTGCGCCCGAAATCTCTCGATATCAATCGCGCCGTCTACAAACGCAGGTGTTCAGGCATCTGCGGCCCCCTAATCACCGCTGTCGTGGGCACCAAGAACATGTTAAAGAACGTGCCAAATCCGCTCAACCACTAACCGCAGCGTCTGTCATACCCACCAGCAAATCGATCAGTCCAACCTTCCATCCACAGCAGCAACTCGGTCTTTCGAAACAGTACGTCAACTTTCAGCCAGGCTCGTCGGTGTCTATATCAGACTGTTTCACTAGCAGATACATATTCTCCTGGCGCAAGCTGCACACGTCCCGAAGTAAACGCAAGCGCCAGCGTCTTACTCTGCCGCCGTTCGATCAGGAGAAAGCTGAAATGCTCAGACGGCGCAAGCATGCGCCACAAGTCCCGTCCTCCTGCACCCACGTACTCCTATGTACGTGCGGGTTCAACACGATTGGCTCATTACTCAAGCCCAGCAGCATCACCACAGCCAGTCTTGTACGCAAACGTCATGCCCACGTGAGCAGTGGGCGATGTTTTACCCTTACTATCGATGGTGGTGAGGTTAGTGCTTGGAGAGCACGTGGTATATAGTATCTCTAGGGTTAGAAGCGCCATTCACAAGGTTGGTCTCGGTGACAGTGTCTGTGTTCCGGCACGCTCGCTGTGATGACCATTAGGGTTGAGAATGGCAAGGGGCACCCTATTTCTCGAGCGTCTCGCCATCGTGATAATGTTATTTTGTGATGTCAGTGTAGGTGAGGGCTGGATCAGGAGCTCGTCGATGTCGGCGAAGGTCTTGCTTAAAGTTTCTCTCATATTTCGAGTATCGGTTTTGCTGTAGTGATACCCTTGATACAGGCAGCGAGTATTCGCAGTGTAATCGTATCCGAGTCTCTTGGTTTAATAACTTATTCTCATATTCTTTGTTTAAGTTATGTTCTGGAACACGCAATGAATACCATCGTGAATGTTCGTTCAGACCACCTCCCGGTGCTGTCTGCTCGCACCGTTTGCCAACATACTCGCCGCCCCCTGCTCAATCACCTGCGTCTTAGTCAAATGTCTCTGCAACCCCTCCTCACCCTCCTCATGCAGCGCATGTCCCTTGCCAATCTTCTGCAGACTGTCTCTCATCAACAGCTCATAATAGGCCGTGGCAAATAACGTCGCAGGCACATTGACCATTATCGCGATCCAGCTGTAATTGTAGTAGCTGAAAGCCTCCCCGCCATAGAAGATAGCCGCCACAATCCGCGTTCCGAGGTCACGCGCCAAGTTCGTCGAAATGGAGATGTCTGCAAACCCCCATACCATAACGGCGTAGACAAGTCCGATGGCGAATGGTGCGGATGCGGGCGATACGAATGGATTTGCAGGATCCAGACAGGCCCATATAACAATGCCAATGAACGAGTCGACAAAGAATTCAATCAGGAATAAGTAGCCTAGGTTTGTTTGTCCCTCGCCTGGGAATGTACATAGCACACTCGCTGGTCCACCGTTGAACACGGTGCCCTTCCCCTCGGCGATTGTCTGTGCCGCGAATTCCGACAATTGGACGTGGTACTGACCCATGACAAGCAGACCGGCGATGAAGGAGCCGAAGATCTGGGAGAAGATATAGTAGGGCACTTTCTTCCAAGGGAAACCTTGCCAGACAGCGAAGCAGATGGTGATGGCTGGATTGAAGTGACCGCCAGAAGTCGAGGCGCATGTTATGATGGCGAAAGCAATGCCCAGAGCAAAAGCCCAGCCAACTTGAAAGATTGATCCGAAGGCTGGATTGGCTTCGTTGAGGGTGAAGGCCGCGGTTGCGGCAATTCCAGGATAGACTGGCGGTATATCAGTATGTTATCATGAGCATATTATGAGGGTAGCTACCATAGAAGAAGACACCGGTGGCTTCAGCCATGCATTCTCGCAGCCATCTTGGACGTCGATGCTCAAAGTCTAGTTTGCGTTGCGATACTGGCCTGCGTTCTACAACTTGTCTGTCGTAATGTCTCTGTATGGCATCGGTAGCACCAATCTCGAGCTCATGCGTCTTCAACCTATCCAGACTTGCATCGTAGCCATTTGCCATCGCTCTAGAAGCTGAAGAAGTAGCAGTTGAATGCAGAAGGGCAAGCGCAGAAATTGATAATCAACAGGTTCACCGCGGGATTCGTGCCGTACAAGTACTCTAGCCAATCCTTCAGCGCTGGTCGGTTCGCTGCGGAGACAGGACAAACCCCGTGGGGAAGACAATGCGAATCAGACATGAGGTCATTTTCACGGCCCCGATGGCACAACGTGGTTAATCGGCATACGCATGGAGCAGTAAAGCGGATCCTATCACAACGATGCCGGGGTCGTCAGCGTGGTGGAGGCGAAGAAGCTAGCATTGAGTCGGTTCCGACGGCTGTTGTCTTTGTAATGGTCTCAGCCGTCCATCGGCTGTGTCCCTTCATTACCGGTGCCGTTATGGGAAGGACAGAGATGTATGAATACTCTTCCTGACGACTATAGAATAACAAAAGCTCCTCTACAATCCGACAGCTGTGGCATGGTAAAGCTTGGAAGCAGTTCCTGTCGCATGGTGATGTCTTGGAAAGCTTGATTCAGGACAAGCTAGCAATGACCCCTGGAAGATAGGAGTGTCGATAAAATGACTAGGGCACGCGATGCGGTTTGACGGAATTGCCGTTATATGCGGTGTGTGGCTTGCGAGCGGCAACGGGAATCGGACGATTTAGAGTGCTTAACAAGTCTGAAAAGATGAATGGAGATGGAAAACGTTGGCCGGCGCTGTCAAAAACGACTGTTGTGGGGCGGCAGACGTTACCCCACGGGGACGCTCCGACAAACTGACTCGTGCTGACTTGTGCTTTATCGTCAGTCTTCTAACTCATTTACTCTCTCTCTCTCTCACTCTCTCTTTCTCGCATCATTGAGACATATCATATGATCCAGATCAAGGTGTCAATCAAGTGAATATCTGATCGGCGCACGGTGCGTGATCAGTGTGCACACAGGTGAGATGCGATAGCCTGCGAATATGATACTCGTGACGTCGTAAAATCGATGTAGCATGTTTATTACATGGGAAAAGGATACCACACAACACTCTATCCGCCTCGAAACTAGTGTTATTAGGGACATTCAATGATCGTTCAAAATGAGTATTATTCACTGCCCGACAAGCACCGCTCTGTTACATATACGAGATTTTGCTTCTTACAATATTATCCCCATTCCAAACATCTCTTCTACAAATCGCACATATCATCCATCGCAGAATCATAATGTCTCCAATGAATACTGTCAGTCATGTTCCATCCAGCACTGAGGCAGCAGCTTCTTCGTTACTGGCCTCACTTCAATCCATACATGACAGCCCGTTCTCTACGTCCATACCCTCGGACGTCCCATCTCGTCCAAAACCGCACCGCAACCTCACCACTCTCAGCCAGATAGCCCGTCAACATGCCGCCCATGCCCTCTCTGCAGACGCACAGCGAAAGACATCAATCATGCAATGGATGCTTCAGGGTGCAGAGTACGGAAAGAACATAGAGGATATTACGGTACGTGAATCGCTCTTTACCTTTCTAATAGTGTTACTATGGAAGGACTGGGATGTGCACGTCGTATACTGGTGAGGATTCTGCAGTGAATGCTATGCACGAACAATATCGCAGAAGTGTGTGAAACAGATTAGCTGATAGCTTGCAGAGAGCTAAGAGGGCCGTCACAAGGGCTGAGCAAGCGTGTATAGACGAGAAGAGCGTGAAATGGAGTGAGCTAATAGCGATATTAGCGGGTCGCGAGATGAGTTTAAATGGAGGCGAAGATGAAAGAGGGGAGGATGATGAGAGACTTGTTGAGGTGATGGTTAGGGGCGAACGGAGCCCGAGAATAATCAAGTTTTTTGGTGGTGGGAAGGAGAAGAAGGGTGATTGGAAGGTTTGATTATCCGATGTACTTGGTAAGTACAGAAGCAAGAGCAAGGGCTCCAATATGCGGGCTTACTAGTGTATACTATCCAAATTTTGCACTTCGAAACATCAAGTGTAAGAGAGACGGTAAGAAGATTAGGGATTGTGTTCTATAAGGGTCACATCTACTAGAGATTTGATGGTAAGAATTAGATCATGTTTCTCTACTTCGTAATTTCACCTAGTCGAAAGTTTGAAATATAATTCTCACACGATGTTTGTTTGTTTGTTTCGTGGGGTTTGCACTATCTATTCGCACGCACAAGTCAATAACAAGTCAGCAATAAGAGCGTGTCATACTTCCATGAAACCTGTCTACTTCTCACATCGGTCCCTACGGAATTCCAATGTCACACTCAATATCGCGGAATACGGCGACGAGTAGAAACCCTACATAAAAGTCATATAAGTGGGCTAGTAATCTGTCGGCAGGATATTGCAGATGGTTAGACGGGCAGCATATATTTCGCCTGTCGTCGTGGGTTGTATATGGCAGGCACCGGGTATGGCATGCAATGAGGGAATGCATAAAACGAGTAATGAGCCTATGAAAAGGGCAAATTTCATGTGTACATGTATTGTGCGTAGCACGAAGTTTACATGAATCTTGATTGAAATGGGCCAGCTGAGAGTGTTCTCTGTTCGTGTAAGTACAGCAGATATATTTAATCTTGGATATGAGAAGAAGAGGACAAGTGTGAAATGTGAACGGAGAAACAGTTAGGAACATCGAAACTGCTGTGTCTAGGGCTGACAATCTGAACAGGGCAGCTTAAGCTGATCGTCGTATGGAATGTTTCGTCACCGTTATCACGAAGTAGTCAATAGTTGAAGCTTGGTTGGAAGTCCCAGTGATACCATGTTCTAATCGTCCGCATCTTGCATGCCACATCTCATCACCAACCTTTACTCCTTCACCCCCTTACTCGCCGGCATCCCGGTCACAACTCCAGGCGTATACTTTGCCTTACCACTCTCACTCGTCGTGGTCTTCTTCGTCGACCCTCCCGCGTTACCCCTTTTCACACTCGAACCAGTCCCCTTTGGCATTCCCGTAACCACCCCCGGTGTATACTTCGCACCACTACCATCCTCCGTTGTCTTCTTCACCCCTGCCCCTGTGATCTTCTTCTGCGCGGTACCACCTGTCCCCGTCACAACACCTGGCGTATACTTCGACCCGGCCGTCGTCGCAGACGCAGACCGCGAACGCACCACCGATCCCTTGGTGTCAGTCACCCTTGGCTTCGCAGAGCTAGCAATAGACCTTTTCGTCGGCACAGTCCCGGTATAAGGCATATTAGCAGCCGCAGCACCCTTCCCATTTGGCGCCACAGGAGTGGAATGAGCCCGTTTGACCGCCACTGGCCTCTTCGTTGTTGAAGACGCGCCTGTGGCGATGGTCTTTCTAGGCCTCGAACCTGCTGGTTTGGATGCTGAGCCGGTGCCTTTGATTGCGTTGCCCCAGGTGTCGAATTTAGTTTCCACGGCTGGGAGAATCTATGTGAGCCAGCAGGCGTGGGTGGAAAGGCTAGGGAAGGCTGAGAGGAGAACTGGGGAAGTCGTACCTCGACCGTATGCAGCACCGCCGGACTCAATGTAGTCGCCTGCTTTATTCAATATATCTCCGGCGTAGCCACCGGCGGTGCGCATGCCGCTGTCGACGAAGCCGGCGACGCTGGACTGGATGATATTGGAGACGAAGTTCATGCTTGGCGGAATGTGGAGGTGACGGTGTTGGGGGACATTGACTGTATAGAAACACACTGTCGACCTTGACGATTGATGTTCCTGTTACAGAAGTCGAATGTTGCTACGGATCTTGGATGCCCTGTTTACATCCCTGTCAATGACATCGCTTATACGGGATGAGACATCACGTGTGTGTGCCACAAGCGGCATTGTCTTAGCATTCATACTCCTGCCTCTTCAAAATTGGACTTGATCATTCATTGTTGAGACTATACAGCCCGCCATGCCGATGCTCCCACCACTTTTTATCCTATGGACAAATACAGTAAAATCAGAACATCGACCGAGTAACCCAACATGCCACGAGATGTGATCCTCATTCCTGCATGGTGAGCGTATTAATGCAACGTGAAACTCTATGCAGACCGCACATGCAAGTCGGATATCTCAGTGTGAAAAAGACGACCAGACAAAGAAATATCGTACCGGAAGTGGAAATGATATATGAAACGGACGCACAGAAATGACGAAAACTCGCATGGCTACCGTCTGGAAACTATCGAGTACTGGACAGCCTGCGAGCTTTTCGCCATAGGAGAGGAGTCGTTTTTGTTTTGTTTTACACCCAAGCTGGATGGTCGAATCAACGCCTGGTCTGGGGAAATGTATGAAATGCTGCACCTGTATAAACAAAAGCTCCAAAGACGAATTGAGCTTAGTTGATGGAGATCAATTTGATGTCGAAGACGAGGTTAGAGTTAGCGGGAATACCAGGAAGTGACTTATTTCCATAGGCCAATTTGGACGGAATGGTGAGGCGTCGCTCGGCACCGACAGTCATGCCATCGACGCCGATTTCCCATCCTGTGATAACTTCACCCTTGCCAAGGACGAAGGTGAACGGCTTGCCCTTTTTGTTCGCTGAACATAGGATCAGCACAAAGGCCACAGTTGGAATTGGAGCAAACTTACAATCGAAGACTTTGCCATCTTTCTCGAGCTTTCCGATGTACCTCATGCCGATCTTGTCGCCTTTCTTAGCCGCAGGGCCTTTGCCCAGCTTTTTGTCGTCAATCTTTACCCCACGAACATTCTTTACGCCGAGGGCCTGCTTCGGTTTGGCATCCTCCTTTTCTCCAGCTTTGGGGAGTGGGGAACCGGTAGGTCCTTGCTCAAGGTTCTTCGCGAATTGAACCTTTTTGTCGGACTTGGCGGATTGGGGAGTGCCATTGGTGCCATTGACTTCCTTCTTGTCAGATTTCGATGTAGTCCCGTTGGCCTCTTTTTTGGCAACCTCATCAGCACCAGCAACAGCCAAGCCTTGGTTGTTCTTCAGCTTCTTGAGCTGCTTCTTGCTCAACTTCTCACCAGAAGCAGCCTCGCCAGACTTCATTGATTTTGCAATGAGATCGTCAAGGGTAGAAGCATCCTCCTCCGAGTCTTCGGCAGCGCGCTTATTCTTGCCCTTCTTGTCCTTTTTCTCAGCCTTAACAAGCTTTGGGGCCTCCTCTTCCTCACTTTCAACTTCAGTGACGCGGGGATCAGCAATGTCGTCGAGCTCATCAGATTCCTCATCATAATCATCTGAATCCTCATCCATACCTCCCAAACCTCCGTAGAGATCCATCTCATCGTCATCTTCATAGTCCTCATCATCAGACTCATCTTTGACATCAGCAATGTAATTACCGGTCAAGAACACGCTGTGCGTGCCAATGACCTTGAAGTAAACCTGCTCATTTTCGCTGACGGTGATGTCAATTGGTTGTTGATAGTGCTGCGTATGTTAGCGTATAGCCATGAGGATTACAGAGACAGTCTAACCTGCGTGGTGTCAAGAGTACAGATCACATGCTCCTCCAATTCACCATCCTCACTGTCTGCCTCATCGGAGTCGATTTCCTCGTCGTCGTCTTCATCGGACGCTTTGCCTTTGCCTTTGTTTTTCTTGATACCGTTGACACCGTTGGACATGTCATCAACGTCCATATCGTCATCACCAATGAGCGCTTCAAGGATCTGCTTGACAGCAGCGTCTTTTCGAGCTTTCTTGGTTTTTGCCGGATCGCTTGGGCCGCCATTTACTTCGTCGTCACTTTCATCATCCTCGGAGTCTTCTTCAGAGTCCTCGTCGGACCCGCCGAGAGCAGGTCTGAGACGAGCTTCCAGAGCAGCGATATCGTCGGAGTCGTAATCGTCCTCGTCGTCTTCGCTTTCACTCAGCTCAGCACTTATGACCTTGATGATCTTCAGAGTCGCGCGAGGGACGGTCTGATCGGCTGGAGCCAGGTCGAGCTGTGCGGGGGCACTAGGGTCAATGGCCGCCATTGAGATGCGTATCTGCATATGTTTAGTTTCTTATTCAGTCTGAAAATTTGCGCACAAGTAATATTAAAAGGCAGAGAATGATTAGACAGTACATACAGATGCAGGAAGGTCTTCGAAGCCCGCTGGGATGGGCATATCGCCAGGCGGGACCTCAAGGGCGTAAACGCGCACAGGTTGCTGAACCATGGCGTCGGAGTACTTCGATTTAGGAATATGGGTTGAGTCCCAAGAGAAAGGCTCTCTTCTGTGAAGAAAGGATGCTATGTGAAGTAGGTAGCGACAGCAGTAAAGAGAGCAGTCAAAATGTCTGTATGAATGCGTTGCGGGTTTGGAGCGGGAGCAACGAGCACGAGAGAAGAAAAATGAGAGCTATGGACATGGAACTTTTGAAGCGGGCGATATTTTTTTGCCTGCCCTGCTCACCGCCTACGATTACCGGGGATCGCGGGCTGCTAGGCCTAATCACGTCTAGCCCTTCCATCGCATCCATTTGATCCTCGTCTGTTCCATTGGAATAGCTGCACCTGTACGTGGCCCCCTTGATGTTGGTGATGCGATTGACGACATTGACTAAAGGGCTTCAAGAATATCTTCTCGTGGCGATAAGTCTGCATCAATCAATATCCATGAGTTTTATATAAATGTGTGCAATCCTTTATGTTCTCTCGCTTACTTGGCTCGTGCACGACTCATTTAGGTCGCGGGCGCGTTCCCACTTTGCAGCGCGTCATCCTGGTATCCATCTCATCTGCGTCTGCAACATTGACCATACACACCGACAGCTCCATGAGGTCGCATATAGTCTTGCCAAAGCTATGAGGCCACCTTGCCGTCTACTTCGAGATGGGCTCGAAGTTAGAAAGCAATTCCACAGCAGTGCGCAAGCGCATCGAAAGCCGTAGGTATTGCCCAGAGGCCAAAACCTGTACGCTCACCACCTCATAGATACATTTGACAATGAGGAAGGAGAGGAATATGAGCCATCCAAGTTTGGAGGCTTCCCTGAATACTTTCGGCGCAAGAAGATAAAGCTCCAGAACCTTGATGCCGAACTACGCGCCAAGTCCGCTGACAAGCCCGCTGTATTCCGTGGTGTCGTTGCGAACGTCAATGGGTACACTCAGCCATCCTTGAATGACTTACATAGGATGATAGTCGAACATGGTGGTGGTTTCATGCAGTACTTGACCGGCAAGACGGCGGTGACCCATATAATTGCGAGTAGTCTTACGCCTAAGAAGGCTGTAGAATTCAAGAAATACCGGATAGTGAAGCCTGCATGGGTAGTTGATAGTATCGCTGCTGGAAAGCTGCTGCCATGGGACGCCTATCGTGTTGTGGACGAAGGTGTCGGGCAGAAGATTCTCGGGTTCGACAGTGGCAAGATTGTCAGCCAGACAAGCAAACAGTCCAAAGGATACAGGGACCAGTCAGATACCAGCTGGTACACAAGCCAACTGAAGCAGTCGGCGTCCACCCCTAGCTCAAGCAGACCGAAGTTTCGGTCACAGAGGCCTCCGACACCCGTTTCCGACGATATTGATGGCGAGGAGCAATCCGATCCTGACGACGATGTGAAATTGAGGGAGGCTGTCAACTACGATGTGCCTGAAGGTTTCTTTGACGGTGCCACCCCGAATACCCCCCCGAAGACCAGTCCTGTAGAAGAAACCCCCCAGAGAGAACTGATTCCCGAAGTGGATAAAAGTACGGAGAGCAGGACTCCTGGTGAGAAAGTACGAACACCCAGTATAAGGGCCCACAAGAGATCTAGAAGCCCCTCGGCAGATGCTGCGGCTAAAAGACCAAGATGGACTTCAGAACAGAGTGGCGCTCTTCTTGATTCTCCCTCGAAACGGAGTCACTTGACCGCCGAAGAACATAACGCCATCTTACTAGCGGATCCCAAGGTCCGGAAATCATCTGTTATCAATCCAGAATTCCTCGAGCAGTACTACCGCGAGTCACGCCTGCATCATCTATCTACGTGGAAAGCTGACCTCAAGTCTCAGCTACAGACGCTTGCGGCGGAAAAGACATCATCCCAGAGAGTTCGCCAGAAGCGAGCCCCCGGTGCTAGAAGGTATATACTACACGTCGACTTCGACAGTTTCTTTGCAGCCGTCTCTCTCAAAAAGCATCCAGAGTACAAAGAAAAGCCTGCTGTGGTTGCACATGGCAATGGAACGGGATCTGAAATTGCTAGCTGTAATTATCCAGCTCGCAAATACGGAATCAAGAATGGCATGTGGATGAAGCGTGCGTTAGAGCTATTCCCAGACCTAAAGGTTTTACCATACGACTTTCCCGCCTACGAAGAAGCAAGTAGATCATTCTATCAGTCAATCATGAACTGCAGTCCGGAAGCAGTAGTTCAAAGCGTAAGCATAGACGAAGCATTAGTCGATGTCTCTAACAGCTGCAATGCAGCTGGAGGAGGCAATGGGGTCCATCCAAGTAAAGGTGCCCTATATCGTGAACAAGAGCAAGCTAATGAAATTGCGACCCGACTACGTGACGAAGTTCTCGCAAAGACTGGTTGCAATGTTTCAGTTGGCATTGGAGCCAACATTCTACTTGCCAAAGTCGCTCTTCGCAAGGCTAAGCCCGCAGGCCAGTATCAAATCAAGCCCGATGAGATGCTGGATTTTGTAGGGGCACTCCAGGTACAAGACCTGCCAGGTGTTGCTTGGAGTATTGGAGGAAAGCTCGAGGAGATAGGGATCAAATTTGTGTCTGATATCCGTCAAGTTACGAAAGAAAAGCTGGTCAACGCTTTGGGACCCAAGACTGGTGAGAAGCTGTGGGATTACTCTCGAGGCATCGATCGATCCGAAGTTGGTGACGTGGTGGTGCGTAAGTCTGTGTCTGCTGAGGTCAACTGGGGAGTACGCTTCGAGAACCAAGAGCAGACCGATGAATTCATTGAGAATCTCTGCGGGGAGCTGAACAAACGACTGCTCAAAGAGAGAGTCAAAGGCCGACAATTCACCATGAAGATCATGCGTCGCGCAGCAGATGCTCCTCTCGATCCACCTAAACATCTCGGCCATGGGAAGTGTGATACGTACAACAAGAGCATCGCATTAGGTGTTGCGACCAACGCGAAAGAAGTCTTGACTAAGGAAGCGCTGTCCATATTAAAAAGCTTCAATATCTCCCCTGGTGAGCTCCGAGGGATAGGGGTTCAAATGACAAAGTTGGAGCCACTGAGAGCCAATCTCGATGGGAAAATCGAGACCAGCCAACGTAGGCTCCAATTCAAGACTCATAATGCTGTTGGAAGGCCACTGCAAGAGTCTGTATCCGACGAACCGGATGCAGCAGACGATTCCATTCAAGACGACGTCGTCACCCCAAAGAAGCCAAAAGCTCCGCCTAAACAGATCAATTACGGCCCTGCTGACCTTCACCAAAGCACACCTCGAAAGAAACCACTTAACACGCTCGGAACGCAATTTATTCTGCCCAGCCAGGTTGACCCTACCGTGCTTGAGGAATTGCCTTCAGACATACGGGCTAAACTTGCTAGGCACGTCCGTCAAGCATCTCCTTCGCCAGCGGCGAGGCCCAGACCTCCAGCATCAACAGTCCTCCCTAGTGAGTCACAACTCGACCCTGAAGCTCTCTCTGCCCTCCCAGACGACCTTCGGGCAGAAGTGCTTGCACACTACGCCCAGGATCTCGAGAAGTTGCACACAGGCGAACATGCCGGTCTTCCCCAGTCACCACAAAAAACTCGTATCTTCGCACCTCCAAAGAAACCTGTCGTTCCCGTAAAGCGTGGCCGTGGCCGTCCTCCGAAATACGCCATCGCACCCACCTCTGCCGCTACAAGCAATGCGACTTCATCTACTTCATCAACCCTCACCCAAGCCAACTTCATCACATCCCGCCCGACTTCCCGTAACACGGATGCTCTGCAACAAGTCAACGCTGCTGACGTTGATGTCGAGTTCCTGGCCGCACTTCCTGCATCCATCCGCGCCGAAGTCCTTGCGCAGCAACGGCTCTCCCGACTTAATAATAAGTCAGCTCTCACTCTCCCTCGCAAAGCTCCTCCAAGGCCGAAAGCTCCCGTCACTCTACTTCCCTCTCAGCGTACGTTAGTATTACCACCAAGGAAACCACGGCCAACATTCACGACGCAGAAGTTCACATCAATCGAAAACCTGCGTACAGCAATATCCTCATGGTGGGATACGTTTAGCGATGAAGGTCCATATGACGAGGATGTCGGTGCGCTAGGGAAATACCTCTCTGCCGTCGTTCGTGATGAGATGGACATGCACAAGGCAATGAAAGTAGTACAGTGGCTGGCCTGGGTTGTGAGTGAGGGATACGAGCAAGACGAAGGGACAGTTGAAGACAGCGACGGATTTGCTGGACTGACGGCCAGCCAAGAAAAGGGGAAGCTCAAGTGGGAAGGTGCTGTAGAGACTGTCAAGGTCGTCGTGCGGAAAGCAGTAAAGGAACGTGGGCTGGGGGAGATAGACTTTTAATCAGGAGTTTTTGTATCAATTATCGGCGTTGGGAGATGGAATTGTGGATCTGATACCAAGGAGGCACGACATATGGAAACGGAGATTATGTTTATGTTCCAGACTTCAGTCCCACCGTGTCGTGTGTCGATAACACCGGAATATATTTCAAAACTGTGGCGGTGTCTTAGCTGTGGTGTGGCTAGTAACACTCACATTTCGGAGCAAACCGCGCAACACAGGCTCGTAAATAATACTCGTGACGGGAACGCGCCGGTAAGAACAATGCTCAATTGCGTAATCTCGTCCATCGCGTCTTTTGACTTCAGACTGCAAGTAGATGAATACCAGACTGTTTCGTTCTGACAATTGCGAACTCGCAAGACAGCCCTCCCATGTCCGACTTCAAACAAAGAGGCTGTGCCGTCCATGCATCCCATACCGAAGTGGAGACCTCAAACACCCACCTCCGGTCTAGCCCGCTGTCTTCAACATCACCACATCTGTACCTGTACCTAGCTATATACCCATAACTCCCGCTCGCGACGTTGTTCGAACCCCTCGGATCGACTACTATCCCTGATCGTCCGAGTCTGATGTTTTCACCACTACAAGCCTGACACCTGCCATGCAGCCGCCCTGAGTCGTGAAGAACACGCTCCACGTCGCTGTCCGAGGCAAGCTGCTTTGCGATACTGCACGCTTCACTACCATTCCTCCGTCAAGAGCCTTGCGCGCATAATACCGAGACCATAAACCGTGATGACAAGGAAAGAGAATGTTGGCAGGCATGGTTCTACGGAAAGCTCCGGAGCTGATAGCTGGCGCTCGTCCGACACTATCAGAGGGTCACCGGCAGGACGTGCGAGAAACGCGCCGGTAAGATCGAGGCCTGGGAAGGAAAAAGAGTACGTGCTGTTTGATTTCCATTCTGTTTGAGCATCCGCTGGTTCTTGCTGTCGTGTCTAGCGGCGATCTCATGGTTTGAAGCCGTGAGCCTCGAGAGATTGATGACTGAAAGAGTATCTGAGAGCGCTGTAAACGCGCGGTTATAGTACAGACCACAGTTGTGGAGGGATCCTTTGTAGCCAGCTCTTCTGATAGCGTCCATGTGGTCTCCGCACGAGTCTCGCGCGTCGAATGATCAATTACGCCCGTCTTCGCACTCGGATGGCGCATTGTATGAGCGCACAATGCTGACATCTTAAGCAGAGCTGATATCGACGCTGATATTTCTCCTGGAACCAGGCCACGAGTGCCTGCGCAGAGTTCTAGATCAAAGATCGCCCCGTGGGAGACCTCTGGAAAGACGTCAGAATTCAACAACTACAGGAAAGAGCTGGCAGTATTAGATGCGCCGAACAGTAATCCAGCGCCGAACTCACGCCAAAGGGTACATAATGCGAACTCGGATTTTCCACCTTGGGCTACTGGACTTGGTGGTACACCGAACGTTTCCAGTGTCTTCGGGAGCATTGGAAGCTTCTACAATGATTCGAACGAGGACCTGACCCAGCTCTCACCTGGACTTCGCCCTGGCAGTAGTAAAGATGAGGTGGTTTATCCTGGTGATGATCGCCGGCCGTCCATCGCTAGCAACACCACTGTGAGCAGTCAAGGATCTAAATCGAGCATTGGCCGCGGGTTTCATAAAAAGCTGCAGGGTTTCTTCGGTGAAGAATTTCCAGTTATCGACTCCAGACAGAGCTCTGATACTAGCCTCGCCTACAATGCCTTTGCTGCTGCTGGAGCTGGCAATAATAGCGACAACTCGTCTCGAGTACGTCCCCGAAACAATTCAATGCGGACCGCTGTAGGGGAGGGCTTAAACAGCCGACCAGTATCACCTGCAAGCTCACGCCCACGTACACCTCTACCATCAAGCGAAGTTACCCCTTGGGAATATCAAGATCTCAAGGTAAGGAGCCATTGGGGAAGACGGTTGAGCGCACTATGCTGTTGTGCTTTCCTTGCGTTCCATTTTGATTGTCTCAACTGACGACTTGGGCAGGAACTCCCAGGCTCCATCAGCTTGTCACGCCCCTCAACGGAACATTCGAACTCCAAGTTCTCCAAATCGCACAAACTCCATCTACCTGGACACCGTCAAAGAGGGAGCAAGGAGGACAACAGAGCCGAATCTAACATCGGATACACATTACGACCGAGTCTCAGCAGAGAGGAGTCGAGCGGAAGCGCGCGCAAGCCAGATAGTCGACTTCATCAGCTCCCAGTGGCACTTAGCTCGGCTTTCAACTCTAGCACTACGCTCGGTCGACCTTCAAGTCCAACGCCCAGCGGATCAAGTGCGCTCAGCAAGGAGAATATGGCTCAGCGCTCCCCGGGTGGCAATGGCAACCACAAACGCTCTCTCATCGACCGATTAACGCGAAAGCACAAGGCCGATCGAGTCGTTGCGGATCCACTCAGTGACTTGTCCCCGTCCTCAACGTCTTTACATGCCCAACTGAGAGCCCCGAAGCTTCCGAAATCTGAGCCCACGGGAAACACGCGGAAACGGCCTGGCATAGAGCCCCCGCCAAGCATTCGTAGCAAAGAATCAATTCCGAAAAAAGAGCATGCCAGTAGGATACCTTTCAAGAGCTCGAAAAGAGGCCACCTAGCTGTCGAGCCATCAGCAAAGGATCCAAACGAAGCGCGGGCTTCAGCCGTTATGAACGAAGCTCTTTGGAATCTAGACACAGACTTGACACAAATGGAGGGTATCATCGGCAACCCCCTGCTTGGGCCCTTGACACCACCTGTGGGGGACGTATATACAGCCTTCCCAGGTGACGATGCGTACAAAGAACCCAAGGAATACGAGGCACCCCCTGCGATATGGGATGCTCCGGATTCCTGGGCAGTGAAGCGAGTCGGGGATGAGAACATGGGTAGGCTACGTGAGCTTGACGAGAACGGCGATATTCCTAAGGATGACAACGTCGGTCCACCATATTGCGTACGCATATTTCGAGTTGATTCGACTTTTGCTGTCCTTTCCGTGGGACTAAACACAACTGTTGCTGAAATCATAGCGATATTAGGCAAGAAGACTTTGCTGCAGGACGAATTGAACAATTACCAGATCGTTATGCGGAAACACGACACTTCGCGGCAACTGCAACCCCAGGAAAGACCTGTCGTAATACAGAGGCACCTCCTAGAACAGGCTGGCTACACCGACTCTGATCGTCTTGAAGATGTCGGTCGAGAGGACAACAGTTATCTCTGTCGTTTCACTTTTTTGCCGTCCAAGATGACTGGCTACTCGAGTCTCGAAAAGGATCCCGGCTTCAAGAATATGCAAAAGTTCAGTCATATCGATCTCCAAGGCCGAAATCTAGTCACTATTCCGATCACACTATATCAGAAAGCAACTGAAATCATTTCTCTGAACTTGTCCCGCAACCTCTCCCTCGACGTCCCAAAAGATTTCATACAGACATGCACTAATTTACGGGACATCAAATATACTAGTAATGAGGCTTGGCGGCTACCTCCCAGTTTAGGCTTGGCCAGCAGGCTTACCATGCTAGACGTCTCCAACAACCGCTTGGAGCAGCTAGACAACACGGAGCTTAACAAGCTGCACAGTCTACAAGGCCTGCGTCTATCAAACAACAAACTTACGTCCTTGCCCTCGTATTTTGGCCAGTATAAAGCTTTGCGAAGCTTGAACCTCTCATCGAACTTTCTGAAGGAGTTTCCAGACTTCCTCTGTGAGGTTCGAACACTCGTGGATCTCGACATAAGCTTCAACACGATTTCCAGTATTCCGAAGATCGGACAGTTGACCTGTCTAGAGCGACTTTGGGCGACAAACAACAAGCTCACCGGATCATTTCCACCATCACTGAAGAATCTCGTCAACCTCAGGGAGATCGATGTGAGATTCAACAGCCTAAACAATATCGACGTCATGTCTCAGTTGCCGAAGTTGGAGCTTCTGATAGTTGGTCACAATTCAATATCTGCCTTCGAGGGCACTTTTGAGAAAGTCAAAGTGCTGCACATGAATCACAACCCAGTAACAAGATTCGGAATCACCTCATACGTACCGTCACTCTCCGTCCTAAATCTTGCATCCGCAAAGCTGGCGCAGCTCCCAGAGGACTTGTTCCAAAATGTACCCGGCCTTATTAAGTTCATCCTAGACAAGAACCATTTTGCATCTCTTTCTCCACAGATAGGACGATTAACTCGCCTCGAGCATTTCAGCGTTGCAAGAAACAATCTAGAACACTTACCAACCGACATTGGGCGTCTTATCGAACTCAGATTTCTGGACGTAAGAGAAAACAACTTACGGAAACTACCACAGGAGATTTGGTTTGCGCGCAAATTGGAAACTCTCAACGTCTCATCGAATGTCTTAGACACATTCCCTAAGCCACTCTTCCAAGCATTGAATGTAAATGAGCCAGCCGGTCTAGATGGAGGATCGACACCCACCCAAAACAATGCGACAGGTCCCGAATTCGAAGAGCTTGGAAAACTCGAAGACTTCGCCGCTCGGCGCCCGAGTCAAGCTTCCGGTTACCTAAGTGTTGGTAGCTCTCCAGGGACATCAGTTCGTAAAGGGTCGATGGCCTCATCTTACGCTAGCGGCAGAAAACCTTCAATTATGTCCAGATCGACTGAAGGGACCCTGACGCCTGTCACACGGAAGGACTCAAGCTTGTCAAATAGACTAATGAGTACTTTTGCCGGATCCCTGCGGCACATTTATCTTGCCGACAACAGGCTGAACGACGATGTCTTTGATGAACTCGCACTACTTCCAGAACTGAGAATTGTCAATATGTCTTACAATCTGCTATACGACATTCCACCTCGTACGATTCGAAGGTGGTCAAATCTCGCAGAGCTGTACTTGTCTGGCAACGACCTGACATCGCTACCAGCCGAAGACCTCGAAGAGGTCACCTCCCTGAAAGTATTGCACATTAATGGAAACAAGTTTCAAGTCCTTCCGGCCGAACTAGGGAAAGTTGCCAAGCTGGCCATTTTAGATGCGGGTAACAATGCGCTGAAGTACAATGTCTCTAATTGGCCATATGACTGGAACTGGAATTGGAATCACAACTTAAAGTTTCTCAATCTGTCTGGAAATAAGCGCCTTGAGATCAAGAAAGCCCTGAACGCTGTGGGAAATGCTCGAGAGGGCAGAGATCTGACCGATTTCAGCTCTTTGACTAACCTTCGTGTTCTTGGTCTGATGGATGTGACAATGATCGGCTCAAGCGTTCCTGAACAGTTTGAGGATCGAAGAGTCCGCACCTCGGGATCAACCGTAGGATCAATGGCCTATGGAATGGCCGACAGCCTCGGCCGCAATGAGCATCTTTCTACGATGGACCTCGTCGTTGAAAGGTTCCGCAGTCACGATGATGAGACTCTCCTTGGCCTGTTTGACGGACAAGCGTTGTCTGGTGGCGGCTCCAAGATAGCGCGCTATCTTTACGAGAATTTCAAGCTTAGATTCACCGATGAGCTGGAGAGACTACGACCGCAGGAATCTCCTGCAGACGCTCTCCGTCGGACCTACTTAGGGCTAAATAAGGATCTTGCAACAGCTGCCACTTCGTCGTACGAAAACAAGGCACACACTTCCCAGGCTCCTGGCGCACATCGCGGCTCAATATCTCTGCCAGAGCTCGGAGAGGATGATTTGAACTCTGGCAGTGTCGCTACTGTGCTTTTTCTCAAGGAAATGGACCTCTTCGTTTCCAACGTGGGGGACGCACAAGCTCTCTTGATTCAGTCCGATTACACTCATCGCACAATCACAAGGAAGCATGACCCTGCAGAACATGGAGAGAGGGCACGGATACGTGAGGCTGGCGGATTTGTCTCTCGACAAGGCAAGCTGAATGATGTACTGGAAGTATCGCGCGCCTTCGGATACGTGCAGATGTCCCCATCGGTGATTGCCGCGCCCCACGTGAATAAGATCACACTTAAGGAAACCGACGAGATGATCGTAGTCGCCTCAAGAGAATTATGGGAATACCTTGCAGCGGACTTTGTTGTCGATGTTGCAAGATCAGAGCGCAATGATCTCATGCGAGCAGCTCAAAAGCTTCGGGATCTGGCAATTGCTTTTGGAGCGGCAAACAAGATCACGGTGATGATTATCGGAGTAAATGACCTTCGCAGCAAGCAACGTGCCAAGCACCGCACTCACAGCATGTCCATGGGTCCGTCAGGTTCCCCTGATGAATTCACGAGCAGACTCAAGAATGCCAAGCGAGCGAAGGATATCGTCGCAGACTCAAAGTTGGCCCGGCTGGACCAGGAGGTCGACGCACCTATAGGCGAAGTCAGCCTTGTCTTCACGGATATCAAGAGCTCGACTCTACTTTGGGAGACATATCCAGTACCGATGAGATCCGCTATTCGCATGCACAACGAAGTCATGCGACGCCACCTACGCATCATCGGTGGTTACGAAGTGAAAACTGAAGGAGACGCATTCATGGTCGCCTTCCCAACTGTGACGTCGGCATTGCTATGGTGTTTCACAATTCAAAGCCAACTACTGGAGGTGCCGTGGCCACAGGAAATCCTAAACAGTGTGAACGGCCAAGAAGTCTTGGATGCTGATGGTAACGTGATATTTCGCGGTCTTTCCGTCCGAATGGGTATACATTGGGGTACTCCAGTGTGCGAGGTTGATCCAGTCACGAAACGCATGGACTACTTCGGGCCAATGGTCAATCGGGCCTCGCGTATATCATCAGTGGCAGATGGTGGACAAATTACAGTCTCATCTGACTTCATTGCGGAGATTCAGCGGCTGCTAGAGACACATATCGAGACTGACCGCAGTGGATCAACAGGTTCGGAAGACACAATGACCGAGGATCCCATCAACCAAGTCATTCGACGCGAATTGAGGTCGCTCAGTAGTCAGGGCTTCGAAGTCAAAGACCTTGGAGAGCGAAGGCTGAAAGGTCTTGAGAATCCCGAATACATCTACCTGATGTATCCTCATTCGTTGGCAAGTCGCTTGAGTGTACAACAGCAACGAAACGAAGCAGAGCAACAAGTACCTCAGCAACAGGGAATTGCTGCCACTAAAGTTCGAGACAGTACGTTGACAATTGACACTGAGCATGTATGGGATCTCTGGAACGTAAGCCTACGTCTAGAGATGCTATGTAGTGCCCTTGAAAGTTCTAGCGGTCCGGCGCAACTGAAGGCGCCGGAGACTGCATTACTTGAAAAGATGAAGAACAGAGGCGGCGAAATCACGGACCGGTTCTTGATAAACTTTGTCGAGCACCAGATTTCACGGATTGAGGTATGTTAATCTTTTTTCTTATCTTAGATGGATCATGACTAACTAAAAGCAGAGCTGTGTCACTACACTAGCACTGCGGAATCTCATCCGACCGTTCGGGCAAAATAGTCTCCTCGATCAAGCCTGCCCAATGGCCGACATATTTGCTGCTCTCACCTCTCAGCTAGACGAATTGAAGACTCTACAAGCTTCCGCGGTGAACTTCTAGATGGCTTCTTCATTATCGCCCTCTAAGTCTGTCTCGGTCCTACCATAGGCACGGATCCACGAACTTTTCACAATGGACTCGCGGAAGATGCATCGTTCATTGCAGCCTCCCGTAATATGTACAACACATGATTCGCTACTATACGACCGTCAGCTTTGCGCGCATGAATATATTATACTTGCATGATTGTGCGTTGCATTCAGATAGCATTCGAGGCGCAAAGAGCTCTTCTGGGAGGGGTAAAGGTTCATAAGGATTCTCTGAGAACCAGATTTTGCTATCACATGAGATTGGCGTCGGCACTGCGATATAGGGGCGGTCGTCACGCTTTACGAGATACCTCAATGGGAGAATACTGATACGTTTTTCCTTTTCCAACGGTCTGTGGAGATTCTGACCCAGCATGACGCAGTATTAGGGGGCCTGTGTGCGGTTGGGTAACCACTCTATTACCTGCTTATTAGTGAAGGACGCATTGAATGATATATATGAAGTCATAGAGACGTGTATTTGTGATTAGATCCGATGCAGCAAGGAATCATTAAGATCAGGACTTGACCAAGGCCCTAAATGTCACGCAGGTCCCATTTCCCAAGCTTCGTCCCAAGCACCATTCGTGCTCAGGGGGAGACCATGCGCTGACTCATCCATCCGTTACCGTACTGGGGTCCTTGCCCATGCCAAGCAATCTCGCGCGTGACCCTGACCTCGGAAGGCTTGGAAGACGACATCAAGATCCATCACGTCCTTGACGACTCATTGCCTTTGTACTGCCACCTCGACAACTCAGCCCCTTTATACTTCCTTTCATGTGTAGGAACACTGTATTACACGTATATATATACGCTAATTTACCACCAACGTTCTTCGGTACCAGACCATCATCCACACAACCGCTCTATCCACAAAAGATTCCACACGATCGTGCAACTACTACTACCCCGAAGCTGCGCGCTAAAAAGGAAATGCCATTGGAATAGTTACACCAGATCAACACCACGTACTCTCTTTGTAGTACGCTGCCGCGATGCGGTCCACTCTATCCCTGTACTCGTCTGTCACCGCCATCCTTTTTGCACTACAAGCCACAGGTCAAGATGTCAACAGCAAGGCAGAAGTTGGAATAGAGGTCTTGCGCACAGTCGAGTGCTCCAGAAAGACGGTAAATGGAGATGCTATCAAGGTTAACTACCGTGGCACGTTTCAGAGCGATGGCAGCGAGTTCGACAACAGTTATGACCGTGGCGAGCCGATAGGGTTCACGTTGGGGAAGCACCAGGTCATCACCGGGTGGGATATGGGCCTACTGGGGATGTGTATAGGCGAACAAAGACGTTTGACGATTCCTCCTGAGTTAGCGTATGGCCATGATGGTACTGGTCCGATTCCACCGGAAAGTACACTGAGTAAGTTTGATAGTCATATATAAACATGTGTTGAACGAGACTAACCAAGGATGTAGTGTTTGACACTGAGCTGATGGATATTGCTGGAGTTGGCGTCGGTGACTTTACAGATGCAGACGGTGGCCCTGATGCGCAACCTGCTGAAGACAAAGAGCATGGAGGAGATAAGCCTGAAGGCGATGGTGAATGCCGTCTGCTGGGACCGTTCGCATTGATCGTCCAAGGAGCATTGGGTGCTCTGGCTCTGCTCTCTCTGGTATTCAAGCGGTGGCGCGAGTCTCCACGGCGTCCGATCAAGGTTTGGTCCTTTGACGCGTCGAAACAAGTCGTCGGCTCAATCCTTCTTCACGTGGCCAACCTTCTCATGTCAATGCTATCGTCTGGAGATTTCGATATCGCCGCAAAGACAAAGGAAGCAGTGGAGAACAAGCAACCCAACCCTTGTTCGTTCTATCTCCTCAACCTGGCTATCGACGTAAGTCTCCATCATAGCAGCCGCATCAAAGTTTAATGCTAACCAAATAGACTACCCTGGGCATCCCCATACTTGTTATCTTGTTGAAGGTGCTCCATCACGCCTTCCTCCTCACTCCTCTCGCTCGACCACCGCAATCCATCAAATCCGGCCACTACGGCTCCCCACCTCGTGTGTCATGGTGGGCCAAGCAATCGCTCATCTACTTCCTCGGCCTGATTGGCATGAAACTCTGCGTCTTCTTCATCTTCAAGCTGCTCCCCTGGATTGCGTGGGTCGGCGACTGGGCACTGCGCTGGACAGAGGGTAACGAGGCAGTACAAATCACCTTTGTCATGTTCATCTTTCCGCTCATCATGAACGCCATGCAGTACTACATCATTGATACTTTCATCAAGGACCACGCAGGTGGAGAGGAGAGCGGGGAGTATCAGCAGGTAGACGGCGATGAGGATGAAGAGACGAGGAGAATTCGTGAGGCAAGGGAGTGGGAGGATGCGGATAGTGACAACGACGAGAACGAACCATTGACGGGCAGGGAGACACTCAAGGAGGCCAACCCGACTGCAGTGCCGGTAAGAGATCGGGATGGAGGGCACAGCAGTTCGAGCAGTAGGAGTGAGCGGAAAGGTGGTTTGCTTGGAAAGGAAGCCAAGACGAAATAATCAATTTTGTTAATATTTGTACGATAGACGCGCCGAAAGCCAATACAGTTTTTTGAGATTCAATATGTCGCTGAGCAACAGAAGCACGCACGGCCTAGTAACCCATCATTTGCCACTGACCACATCTGGATGGACGAAACATAGACTCACATTTCAGGAGGACTAACATCATATCGTGAGCATCAAGAAAACCAGTGATATATACGATGCACGAAAAGTATATCCGAGAATTTACGTAAAACATCGCAAAGTCAAGGGAAGAAAGGTAATTGGTGTTATTTCATAGCAGTCAACATATAATCTAATTTCTTTGCACTGTTGTTAGAAATCATGTGGAACCTAGTAGTCAAACAGAGATTTGCTCTTAGAATGCGATTTTGAGACCGCGTAGAGAGGGCGGGGATCGTTCGGACGAGGGAGGACGATTATCGCTCGTAGTATACATGAAAGACCGATCGACCGTTTTCGCCGTAGGATACCGTAGATAGTTCGCCTCGAGCCGCTCGTAGTCGAACTGCTGGTAATATCAATTTTGTGAGACTAAACACCCCAAAGTAGTACACGACAACCAGAGACGTCTCTGGCGCTTGCAGCTTGCCACCGGAAACAGAAAAGAAAGCAAGGAGATGAAAACCTAGTCAGACCGCGCGCGTCCATGTTGTTTAGATTCGGTGCAGAAACATTTCGTAACAATGCCTTTCTGGTTTTGACACCGCAGCATCGTGGTAAGTCTGATATTCAATCCTCCTACTCAGCCGTGTCAAGATCATCGTGGGCTGGAGGAGGGGATTCGACTTGGATTGTTAGCATTGACTTGAGTGCTTGTGTGTAGAGAGGTCCTTAAATTACCTTTGCGTTCTTCTCCTTCGACTCCGTTCTCACGCTCTTCTGGATCGCGGTCCTTCATCTCACGGTCACGATCGCGATCCTCTGGAGTCCGCGACCGGTCTCTGTCTCGGCGGTCGTAATCGCGATCACGTCGTTCTTCCTTACGAGGGGAGTAGTCACGCGACCGGATGGGCGATCTACTACGGCCACGACGGGGAGAGCGCTCACGACGTCCACCACGGTCGCTGCCACGATCGCCTCCACGCTCACCAGGTTTAGCATCGCGACCGGAGTCAAATCGCCAAGACGCGGAAGGTGGCGTACGAGCCCACTAGTGCTCGTCAGCAACTGCAATATCGAGAATATAATGAACTGACCTCGATCTTCAGAAGATCATCACGTCCGATTCGCTTGTTGTGCATCTCATGGTATGCATCATCAGCGTCGCGACGGCTCTCGTATTCGACGAAAGCGAACCTACTTTCACGTCAGCCGTTCTTTCCTGGATGGAGGAACTGATAGCTTACAGTCTGCTGGACGCTGAGCGTGGAGCTGGAATGTCACAGCGAACAAGCCGTCCATAGCTGAGAGGATACGTTAGATGTGTTTGTGCACGATCATAGATGGTGGATGACGGGATGAATAGCAGTGGGGAGAAATCGAGCTCGACAGCAGCCGTGTGTACAAGATAGAGAGGGACGAGGAAGGCTAGGACTCTCGGAGCGATCGATCGAACGACATTCGAGGGAAGGTGATAAGACGAGGAATCGGGGACTATCGTGCAGTAACGGCGACGAGGTGATCGATAACGATGACGGATCGATTTCAGAATGCGTTCGAGACGTACCGTTCGAATTCGTAGGCAAGATCGCGGGCGCGGGTGCCGTGGCCGAAGCCCGTAACGTAGAGGGTAGTACCGCCACCTCGAGACATGGTTGAGAAGAGTAAATGACGGGCTGTTCGTATCGAGAATGATGTGTGATAAAGTGACGACGCGAGGCAGGGGGATGTTGAGTTTGCTTAGACCCAGATAGAGAGAAATAAATGATTTGATGTGGTGAAGGCATTCTGGTCGTCATGGGCTGGGACTAGCGCCTGCCACCGAGGTTGGGCCGAAGCCGCTCCTTTCGACAGTCTGTCTTGCGCCTACCTCACTTCTTACAAACAGTCACTTGCAATACTCCAACCCGGTCTCCAGCCTTTCTATTATATCTACGTCTTTGAAACACGGATAGACACTCTCTTGACGCAAATCGCAATTTTACTCCAATACTAGGCGCAATCTACACTACTGTGGGAAACTGGATCATCACCACGCGCCACTGAACCTCTCCCCGAGCGCTCTTCTTGTTCGCAACTCACATCCACGGACGTCCTGTCAAGGATATACTCCCAAAATCTCTCAATGGCTACTGAAGTGAGCCAAGGTTCTGCTCTCGCCGAGCAACTGCAAGCTGTAGTACAACCAAAGCTGGTAGAACTTGGTTGGAGCACGGGCGGACTCGATGACTCTGCGCTCAGCGAATACATCATTTTGATGCTAGTGAATGGGAAGAGTCAAGATCAGATAGCATCGGAACTCTCTGAAGACTTGTTGAATCTCGGACCTGAAGATGCTGGTGCTCAAGAATTCTCGAAGTGGCTTTTCGTGCAGGTTAACGCATTGAATGCGGGCTTACATGGAGGCTCGTATGTTGCGCCAACTGAATCCACAGTATCAACAGAAAGCGGAATGAAAAGTGAGGAGAAAGAACCGACTGCGGATGCTGAGATGAACGAAGCGATTGATGGAGGTTCAGGATCAATGTACATACCAATCCTTCGTTCGCACAGACAAGAGCTAATTTCTGCCAGACCAACTGGACCCAAGGCAATGCGTAACGGACACACGAACCCTCGAGATAAGCGTATGCTTGGTAATATCAACAAAACGCTAGATCGCTCGGGAGACTCTCCCCTTCATCGAGTGCGCGGAACGACGGGTAGTGGACGTATCAATTCCCATTCCAGGGAACCACCCAAAGGACCGCGAGCCAAGCTCAATCACCGAAATATTCAGCAAATGGCGGGTGGCACGGCGCCGCAGATGCAGATGTCAGGCATGATGTCGAATCACCTAGCGAATGGCATGTCAAGTCTTCCACCTGGGCAACAAATGGAAATGCTCGCGTACTGGGAACAAGGTGCCCGGATGATGCAGCAGCTCATGTCAAATGGTGGAGTTCCGAATGGTGGGCCGGTCTTCAATCCTGCGTTCCAGCGGGGGAACCAACTACCGCAAGGGAAATCACTCTTTGACAGAGTTTCGAAGCCCCGTCGCCAACCAAAATCAGCCCCCAAGGATTCCGATATGGGAGGAACAAATGATGGAGGAACAGGTATGGACTTTGAGTTGTCCCAACCCACGAAGCCAGCCTCCGAAACAAGATGTCGCTTCGATCTCAGCTGTACGAACCTAGACTGCACGTTTGCGCATCAGTCGCCAGCTGCCAAGCCTGGCATGACTTTGGACATGTCCACAGACTGTAGCTTTGGTGTAGCATGCAAGAACTTCAAATGCTCCGGGAAGCACCCGTCCCCAGCAAAGCGGACTTCGTTCCAGTCGGAGAAAGATTGCGAATGGGGTCCTATGTGCAAGAATCCGACATGTCACTTCCGCCATTCCACAATGCCTCCCTGCCGCAACGGAGGCGATTGCACAATCGAAGGCTGCAAGTTCGCACATACACGTGTTACTTGCGTCCACAATCCTTGCACAAGACCTGGATGCGCGTTCAAGCACGCAGATGGCCAGAAGAAAGGAAAGTTTGGAGACAAGGTTTGGACAGCGCATGGCGAAGGGAACTCGCATGTCAGCGAGCGCAAATTCGTTGATGAAGAAGGCGAAGAAGAACTTATCATACCCGGTCACCAAGTCACGGTTACCCCAGGGGAAGCAATTATTACGTGATGTCATTTCAACAAAGGAGTTTTGGTATGGGACCTACTCTTGGCGGCAGATAGGCGAAGATACCTTTTCCTGTACTTATATGAATTCTGGTGCGGCTATAGTACATGTTAGGCAGGGCTACATGCCTCAAATCAACGGAGAATTAACAGTCACCCTGAATCTGGTCATTCAGTCGGGGTTATGAATATATACCGATTTTCCAAAGCTTGACTTGTAGATTAAAATATAATGTTTATATGTGAGCGTTGACACGAGCCCTCGCGTTCACGCTACTACGCAAGGTACCTCCGCGTACGCATTTCTGTACATTGCATCACGTCACTGCGTCCGAGCGAACCGAATCGTCACCTACGATCGTACATTCTTTTGAGCTCGAAGACAACACGCTCTATGGCCCAATCACTCTTGTGTCTTCTTCTCGATTATTGCAATGCTTCAAAGAAGCAATGCTCTTCGATGCCTGACGCGAGCGTCCTATGGACGCTCTTCAAAACCCTTCCTCACTCACCTGCATAACCCATGGTTCCGCCGCTCATATTCGCCGGGGCCCTCTGACGGGCAGCCGTATGAGATTGCAGTTCTAGGTGGGGGTATCACCGGCCTGTCGACGGCATACTGGCTCACGAAGAAGGCACCCAAAGCCAATATCACAGTGTACGAAGCTAGCAAGCGTGTCGGGGGATGGGTGCAATCGCTTGAAATGGATGTGGATGGAGACACTGTTGTGTTCGAGACCGGGCCTCGGACCTTGAGAACAGGCTCTGTTAATGCCATGGTCACACAAGCCATGGTGCGTGGCGGGAATGTCGTTCTATGCATAAGCTAATCTCGAGTCGCAGTTGGAGGATCTTGATTTGGCAGACGACATCATTTTCACCTCGAAGGATGCTGCGTCATCTCGAAACAGATACATATACTACCCCGACCACCTTGTGCGCATTCCATTCCCAGTCGATGGCCTACTGGACACTCTGAGTACCGTATTATTAGAACCTGCCTTCGAAGGAATCCTATGGCAGGTACTAAAAGAGCCTTGGAAATGGACTAGACCATCACATCTTCTGGATGAGAGTGTAGGGGAGTTCTTGACCCGTCGCATAGGCAAGACGGCAACGAATAATTTGGTATCTGCTGTGTTCCACGGGATCTATGCGGGAGACATCTGGCAACTAAGCGCAAAAAGCATAATGAGGAGTGCATGGGAACTTGAAGGCTCCTTTGGGTCATTTGGGCGCGGTCTGTCCGAGTGCCTGGAACATGGGGCTCTTGTTGATGCCAGGGACGCTGAACTCAAATCAGTATTGGAGCCCTTCCTGGACGGGAGTCAGTTCATGGACGATTTCAAATCTAGTAGCGTCTTCGCTTTCAAAGGAGGATTATCGCGGTTGACTGAGGCACTGGAAACCTATCTTGAAGACTGTCCGAACGTAACATTGATGACCAATTGTCACGTTGACGACCTAACATGTGAGGGTGCATTAGACCTTCACAATAGTGGTGTCTTGACAGATGGCAAGGTCAGAGTATGTTCATTTTAGCTCATGTCCGTGTCGTTCATATGCTGACATCTCAAGTTTAACGTCACCGACATGACTGATGAACGTCGTCTGAGGGCGCCACAAGTTGTTGACAAAGATCTTGTGATCTCTACGCTCCCGTCCCGGGTTCTAGCCAGCATGTTCGCATGGAAGACAGAATCTGGGATTTCGCCCTACCGTGGTAGGCCCATCCCTTCCATTGAAATGGGCGACTGGGCAACTGTAATGGTAGTCAACTTTTACTTCCGGGAATCTAACATCGTGCCTGTCAAAGGCTTCGGATATTTAATCCCACAAAGCGTCCCTTTCGAGAATAACCCTGAGCGAGCTTTGGGAGTGATATTTGACTCGGATGCAGTAACTGGCCAAGATACTGGATCTGGTACCAAACTCACGGTTATGATGGGTGGCCATTACTGGGCTGGGTGGGACAAATATCCCTCTCCTGAACATGCCACTCAGATGGCCATGGATCTACTTAAGAGACATATTGGTGACATCCCTGAACCTGCGAAGACAATGGCAACACTACAAGAGAACTGCATACCTCAATACAGAGTCGGTTGGGACACAGCAACGAAGTCTGCGCACGAACAGCTGCTTCACTATTTCGGCGGCAGACTGCGAGTGGCAGGTCCGTCTTGGCATGGGGTTGGTCTTCATGACTGCACGCGTGCAGCATACGACGTAACTGAGGGTGCGGACGGATGGCACAGAGGCAAAAGCGAGCCTAGAACGGGCCTCGAGATGTTCAAAGAGGACCCTGTGTTTCTGCACAGCAAAACAATGCAACAACCTAAGAAAACGCGATTCTACTAGCATTCCTCTCCTCTTTCAGGAGACCAGGCCACGATTTCGAATCAGAGAAAACGATCTTGTCACTGTATAACAACCTGTGTAGATATTGTAGTACATAGCGTGCAGACGCATTTACCGTAGATGGCTTATACTAGTAATGCTCAATAGCTTTCGGCCGAAGTCTTGAATCGTGCTTGTCAACACTGTGTCAACACTGCAAACTCTGGAATTACATCACTATCGACTCAGAAACTCCCGTCACATATTTCTACGGATTGCGGTTGCTGCGCACGATAGCAGAACGCTTCGTACAATCAGCGAAGTATGTTTATATCTTCTCATCCATTCGTTCAGAACGATACCCAGACAACTCCAATCAGACAATTTCCAGACCAATACAATCCTACATCCACAAACACAATTTTCCACTAGCAGTACCTGCAGCAACCCAGTCCCTCTCCGGATGAAACTGGGCCACCGCTGGTACCGCCGTTATCAGCTCCGGGTCCCCTAATTGCGCCAACTGCTGCCCGCTCGCCGTATACACATCTACAAAGCGGTTCATGTTCCCAATCACAAATCGCTGCACGCCATCCACCGGGCTGCGCTGCCACTGCGGCCGCAAGATCGTTACCCATCGTCCAGTCTGGTTGTTGTGCGGGACGACCGTCACAGGCGCCATTTTGGCTTCTGAGAGGGCTAAACCTGCCGCGCCCGAACCTGCTGTCGCGAAATCGTATATCTTGACTGTATCGTCGTAGGAGGACGTGGCGAGGTGGCCGGATGGCGCGAACGCGGCGTGAGAGACGGACAGACGCGACTCGTGCTCGCCGAGAAGGGCGGGCAGTGCGTTCTCGCCTTTGCCTGCGATCTTGCGCAGGTCCCAGAGTTTGAGCGTTCGGTCTAGAGAGGCTGTGGCTACGACGTGTGGCGATGTTGGGTGCAGTGAAAAGCCGCCTATTTTCTTTTCGCAGAGCTGGTATAGAGGTGAGGACGCGGTTTCGGTGGACGGCGTACGGGTGTCGTGGTGTCCGAAGGAGCCATCGAGGGTGGTGAAGTAGACAGTGTGCGGGTCGGAGGGATGGACTTCGATGCCGGATAAAGGGGCGTCGTGGGAGGGATCGGGAGGGGCGTAGATTTCGACAGCGACGCCTTTATTGAGGTCCATGCGACGGATTGTGGAGTCGTATGAGGAAGAATAGATGTGGTGGGCGGAGGAAGGGGAGCATTGCAGGGCCGAGATTGTACGGGTATGGATCTTGAGAGTCGTAATGGCAGGAGAGCGATCGTCCTCATCGTCGGAGTCTTCCTCCTTTTTGACAGCTGGAGCCTGTGGTGAGCAATCGCATATGCCCAGATTGCCCATCTTATCGCCAGCGAGAACGAGAGGTTTGTCGGTTGTGGGATGAAAGCTCATTGCGTAGATGCGCTCAGGGGTGATTTTGATCTCTTTGATATTCGTTAGCACGCGTCTCTTGTAGGACATCTTGATTCATCATAACTATACCATTTGGTGTAAAGTCTTCCCACAGTTCAAGACTGCTCATCTTCTCCCTCAATGCCTGCAACTCTTTGTCACTTGTTTCCTTCTTGGCATCGAAAGTCCTCTCATAGGGCCTTGACGCTCTGATATCCGCAATCGCAGTCCAATCATTCCCGGCAACCAGCGCATCTCCAAGATTGATATCGCCACTAACGCGCTGTCTCTTTGCTCTTTCGGCCTCTCGGAGGGCCTCGTGCTCGTCCTCGGCTTTCCGTTTAGCTACTTCGCTGTCTGCGACAATGCCCCTCAAGCGCGATGATGTTCGCCGTGGGCCTATGTCTTCTTCCTTTATCTTCTTGGGGGCTGGCTTCTTCTTCTTTGCCGCACCGTTCGACGCGGCTTTCCTCGCCGAAGGCGCGATTCCTGCAGAGGCGGCATCAAGGGCAAGATCCCTTAGGAGAGCCTGATTCTTCGCAATCTTCTCTTGTCGAGCTCTTTCATACTCGCTAGTTGCAGCAGATGTCCGCGCCATTTGTGTTGCCTCGCAAGAATACTCAATTGTGTGACGCGCAGCAACTATAGGTAATGCGGTCATTGAACTTGACGCGTCGGAGGATACCCGCAATCACCTGACTTGGCGTTTTGCCAAGATTTCCCAATTAGACATCTAGGTATTCTTTCGGACTTCGTGCCGTGATTCCTCACTTCTCTGCAGTCACAATGTCGTTACCGTCGTGCAGTAGGCGATTTGCCTACAAGATCACGGCCGATATATTACCTAGTCCTAGGACGTCATCCGGTCTCTCTTTCTTATACAACACTCCTACTATCCTAAGCCAAACAGTCTCGCGCCGCCGCAATTTACACACATACTCCCCGTCAGACTCAGTACCGTTCGATGACGCCCAAGTCCCAGTCGCGAGAAAGCCTCGCAATCTCAACGACATCATCAGCGGCAAGAGAGGGACCAGCGTGACTGAAGCGGAGAGGAAGGTCTTCGAACAGATCTTTTACGATGCAGAACAGCAGAAAGACGAAACGTCATCTGTCGACCAGCTAGTGTCGAACGAGGAGGACCTCGACGACGAAGACATTCTCCAAATCGAAGAAGAAGAAGAAGATCCCATGGACATCGGCCGGCCCCGTAGGGGCAAGAAGGCGTTCAGCAACGACACAGACGACTTCCTCAAAGCCATCGCCGGCATCGAGAAGAATCGCAAGAAAACCCTCGGGCCCTCCTATCTCTGGCCCCAAGAAACCCAAAAGACAATGCAGCACGCCGAGAAGCAGATGAAGGCAAAGATCGCCCGCAAGGCACCCAAGTTCCTCACGCATACCAACCTTCTGAAGCAGCGACAGCAAACCGAGCGCATCCGCGTGAGCAACCTCGTCAGGCGAGCCCGAACCGATTTCGAACTCTGGAACATCCTCGAGACCGAGGTTTTCGCCCCTGTCCGCGCCTTGCGACTCGACGACGACGACGCCGCCGCCGTCGCCGCCGCTGCTTCTGCTTCTACTGCCTCTATCCCCGACGACACAAGCACAGACGCCATCCCGAAAACAGTCGCAACACTCGCCGATCTAGCACAATCCCGCAGCAGAGCATCGTACACCAACGCGCCGCATCTCGCCATCATCGGCCCAACCTACCCATCCGTCATGGTCCTCGCGCTGCGCGTACTACGACACCGCTTCCCCTCCTCGACCCTCCCGCTCAGCGTCCTGCCAGCCATGCGCTCGCTCGGCCGCAGCAGCTTCGTCCTCGGAGCCAGCACGTCGCTCTACCACCAGCTCATCATCCACTACTGGCTCAAGTACTCGGACTTATCGGGTATCAACGCGCTGCTCGAAGAAATGGCGAATGGCGTTGTGGAATTCAATCACACGACGCTCGACCTGCTCCAGCACATTACGCGCGAGGTGTTCCGGGCGCGGGACGGGCAGTTGGGTCCTGTTATGAAGGCGCTGTGGGGCATGGATATGTTTACGGATGCGTTGGGCGAGATGTGGCGGTGGAGGGAGCGGATCACGAAGGAGTTGCCGGATGAGAAGCCGGTTCAGAATTGGGATTCGGGTGAGGGGTCGGTGATTAGGCCGGTTTATAGGACTTTTACGAGGAAGGTCTTTACGGCGCCTAGCACGTTTTGAAGCTTTGAGAGGGATGTATCGCTGTAGATGGGATTATGGAAGCTAAATATATGTTGCTCACTCCGCGTGCAGACAAGTATGCAGACATGGCTGTGTCGCTGCACACTTCGCACAATCCATGTCTCATAAAACCACCCGCCCTGAACGTCGGCACATCACCCTCCTACACCATCCCACTCCCAAGCTTCTTCGGGCCCCTAGCAATCTTCGGCGGTCCTTCAGGCTTCACCGTGACCTTCGATTTCCCGCTTGAGGGGGCCTTAACTGCAACACTAGGTACGACCTTCGTTGATACCGTATTTGGCTTCACAACATCACTGTGCCCTTGCTCTACTGCTGCTTGTTTAATCTTCACCCCGCCTTTCGTCTCGATATACCCCGTCTTCATGTTGCTCCCTTGTGCTATGCTAGCTTTGCCTTGGCCGCCAGACGTCTTGATCCGGACTCCGCCTTTAGTTTGGAGGTAGCTTTCTGGTATTGTGGGTGTAGTAGGCTTTGCAGATGGCTGGATCTGTACGCGAATGCCATTGATGATCGCGTATTGTGGTGAGTCTGGGTTTGCCGATGTTTGTTTTGTGGGTGGGAAGGGGACGGGGACAGAAGTCTCAGGAATATGAGTTCGTCCTGGTGTCGGAGCAGCAGATTTTCCTGGTGTTCTCGACGGCGCGGTTCTCGCAACTGACCCGAGAGCTGTTGATGATGCCGGCACTCTCTGCGAGGTTGCAGGCCTAGAAGGGTCCTTCGCCGCGGTACCCGTCCTACTCTGATTCCTCTGAAGTCCTGTCCTGACCCCGCTCATCGCAGCAGCTCTTGCCGCCTTTGTATCCGGCAGCTCCCTGACAAATTTCCCAACTCTCCTCCTCTGCTCCGCCTCGAGCCCGACCTCCTTTGGTAGACTATCCTTGAACAATTTCAGATACTTCAGTTTCTTCTTCTTGTCCTCTTCCGTGTTACCTTTCATCTGTACCTCCGGCGGACTCAGGGGTGTTGACATGCCCGGTACGCCGTGCTCGAGCATCTTTTCGAGATCAGCGGCGTTGGTGGGTAGTGAGACTTGACCCATCAGCGGGCCGAGGGCTTGCGTGAAGTAGGACATTCCGTTTGTGAACGGAAGATCGGACGGTGATGCGCCGTATGCCAGAAAGAGTGCCATGGCCAGCGCGGTGATGGGTGCGAAGATGCGTATGAATTCCTCTGGACGGCCGCTCTTGATCTCTGTCTCGATGGACACGGCTGGGCGTGCAACGCTCCGAATGCTACTCTCACTCTTCGAGTCCGCTCCTTGTGCAAGTTGGTCTTTCCAGTAGCTCGTGGCTGGAAAGCGAGTGTGCTTGGCAAAGTACGCGAGCATGTAGTCCTTCTCGCGCCATCTGTTCCTGAGCCAAGCGTCAAAAGCTTTGGGCCCATCGAGAGGTATATCGGCGATGCGGAAGCGGCGCCAGTGCATATTCACGCTCTTGGGTGGGCGGCCTTCGAAGAAAGAACTGCGTAGTGTGAAGACGTCCTGGCCATATGCGCCGGCAGGGACGCCTTCGTAGGCGATCGTGCAGTCATACAACCAGTCTGTGGATTCTCGTAATTCCTTTAGGCAGAAACGTAGGCCGGTGCTGCGAGGGAGTAGCTGGTGCTTCATGTCCTGAAGGTTGTTCTTCTTCGCCCAAGCTGTGCTCTTTTCGCGTGTGCCCGCGCTCAGGTTTGTACCTTCAGGGAAGATGATGAGCCACATCGGGTCAGAAGGCTGTTTGAGATGGGACAAGGATTCGCGAAAGCGCGGCTGGTCCTCTTCCCATTTTCTACTCAGGAAAATGAAGTTGTAGAACTGGCAGCCCCAGCCTAGTATCGGGATCTTTTTCAAGGACTCCTTGAGGATGATATAAATCCGGCCATGCATCTTGTTGGTATATGCAATCCACCAGAGGTATAACCAGTCCGTGTATAGCTGATGATTGGCCATAATTACGGTACGGTCAGAGAAGTTGCATCGCAGGCTACCATCTGAAAGTTTTATAAGTTGGCCTTTCATGCTCTCGTCGCCCGAGACGCGTACTTTCGTTGGAGCCCACCATTGTGTCAAAGATGTGATGAGTACTGCAAACGACTCTTTGGTATAGGCCATGTATGCATCATAGAATGCTGAGTCAATAAATTTAAGAGGGGCTCCAAGAAATTGAGAGGCAGTGATTCTGGTCACCAAATCAGATTTACCTCGGTGCAACATGACATTTACTTACGCCAGTACTCCAGATATGAACGTTGATCCGAGCGTAAAAGCTCTCTCTGCCTGACCAAATTCGCCATGGCGAGGCGGCCCAGACGGATGTCGGCCAAGTTTGGTAGGGCCCAGATTCAATCCAACGCCAAAGTCTTTTTTTGGTTTCATTGCCATACCAAGACGATGCACATATTCTACGACTACCCTTCTGTCTTCGACATGACGGCTAAGCTATCATCATGATGGAGAACTTGTCGCAATTCCTGCTCCTTGGAAGTGACCTGGTTCCTGATCCCTGACCCCAAGCAACTGTGGCGGCGTTGTGACGTCGTTTGTAATACCAGGATGCCTGCATGCCATTACCAAGATTGCAGCATCTCCTCCTTTCGCAAACGAAATGCACACATTGCTGCTGCATCGATAAAAGTCGCAGAATCGCAAACGCTCCCGGAAAGTCTGGTCGATACCTTTGCTCGGTAAGTTGACTCTTACTATTTAGCGCGAAGATTTCTTTGTATGGTCTTCAAGCAGCCGTGTACCAGGGACATTTACTGCTTTCAGTATTATGTTGTGCTCAGGTGGCCGTACACTGGATAAGACTCCGAATATACTAGGGATTCAGGCTTTGCGCAGTCTGTCTTGCCGAACAATCAAGCTGACACACCAGTAGAAGACATCGGATCATTAAAACACCAAACCAGATGCCTACCTCATCGGTTTCGAAGACAAGCCAGGCGGCCAAACGCACACCGAAGACTCCTCAGGTCAATGGAGCTGTCAACGGGCATATCCCTTCGCCGTACGAGATCATGGCCGGAAGGATTGCGAATCGTGTGGCAGAGATGGCAGAAAACATGACCTTCGTCGAACGTGAGAGGTAAGAAGTCCACGTCTATGTGGTGATATCTCCTGCTAACCCGGTCGAGATAGACCACAGCAGCAGCCTACTCCGTCATCGCCTGTGCCACAGCAAAAGAAGCCGCCACGCAAACTGGAGATGAGGCTCCAGAAGTACGCACAAGCACAGTCTGACGTCACCTTTTCAGCGCCATTCTTGGACAACACACTGTCAAAGATGCTCGATTTACAAAACCGCATGCTGAGAGTTGGCAAAGATATCGGTGCGGATGAAAACGTTAGTGAGGAGATTAAACAAGAACAGTTCAAGCAATCTGCTGAGCTCAGCCGGATCATTGCGTTGATATGTGCAGAGAAAGCTAGACAGGGAGCCTAGAGAGGACGTGATTTATAGGTGCTCGTCTCATGGCGGCTGTCTGGACAACATGATTGTTTCGTAATCCTACTGATTTGAGGATGAATGGTGCTCTTTGGACGGTGTTTAGCATGGAAAGCTGCACGATATCTGGATAATTGGCGATCAAAGACTTGTACTGTATGCTCTAATTAGTCTCTTTATCAAAACATGGAGGTATTCTTGAGCAACGTCACAAGGGAAGCGTCCCAAGCTCAGCGAATTCTTGATTTGCGCCTGGTACAGCGACCAAGACGTCGTGTTTCATCTAATGATCGCTTAGACATGGAGTATAGAGCAATCCATAGAGCAGTTATGCACTTTTCAGCGCAGGATATATGCCTGCCCTTGACCCCTAGAAGGCTCAGATCGTCCGGAAACGAGCCCGAAGGGTTGACTGGGGGACTTTTTAGATCAGGAACAAGCCGAGCAGAAGTTGGCAGGAGGCGCCGGAAAGGATGACGGCTGTAGCAATGATCGACAAGCGTTTTGTGATGATGATGATGATGATGACTGTTGCGATGATGGTTGGTATTGGTTGGCATTGGTTGGCATTTTGTTGCAGGTGAAAGCTACCAATGAAGACGCTGGGAGGACTCCTCGGTTAGGATGGCAGGCGATCAATCACTTTCTACCTGCTGTTTTCTGTCAGGTAGAAAGCATCAATCGTTGTATGATGGCCTGTGGTTTATTACCATCACCATCAAAGAAACGTCGAAAGGCCGTGGGTATAAGCTCTAGGAGCGAATGAGCGTTGTCGTTGTTGACAAGGCTGAAGAATAGGCACGCAGGTGTGTTTCCAAGGCTTCCCGAGGTCCAGGACGACAAATACAGTGGCTAGCACTGAATAGTACGCACGACCCCGCAAACCAGCAAACGCTCCAAGCCATATCCGATGCAGAGTGGTGTGTTTTGGCGTGCTGATGACGTTTGCGTGCGTATCCCGTATCCCGTATCGCCGTCCTAGCAAGCATTGTCAGCCCTGATAATTACTGTAAAGGTTTAATAGGTTTGGCCAAGGTCAAAAGTAATTAATTACTATGAGTAGCCAGCAACACTTTCTAGTTGTTCTCAAGAATTCTGCTCTCCCGATACTACCACCAAATCCTCACAAGATCACAAGATTTATTTATTGCTCAGGTGAAACATGCATCGGTAGCGGGCCCACACGCGCTGCACCCTGACCCTGAGTTCTGACTGACTGAACCCGTTTTTTGGCTGCGCTGCGCCCCGTTTCTATCGATTCGTATCCGCTCAACTCGCTGCTTTTGGGCACTGACTGGCCGCGACAAGCAATTCCAATAGCGCTGCCCTTACTCATTTCTTGCCACCATCACAACAACTTCTTCAGCATCAACAACTCTTCCCACCGCCTTTTCATCCTCCATATACATCTTCCAAGCACGCCGCTGGACTTTTCTCCTGTTGGCTCTTTCGTTCGTTCTGTCTTGTTTGCTTCCAGGTCTCTCGTTTGCTTGTTCTACCACTAGCTGTCCATCCATGGCGACCCTTCCCGCAGACCCACCCACGCCGCGTCTTTCAGTCTTTCGCGAGGTTGGACTGGACGACGAAGACGACACGACCCTCTTCACATCTCTGCCACTACAGCGACCGCAGCTTAGAGTTCGCTTTCGAAGTCACAACTCCATAATAAATCCCAATGGTGAGGACAACGCAGACGACTCCGACGATTGGGAGAGTATTGACCATGTTGAAGGGGATGACTTTGACTGTCAGTCCGACGAAGATGTGGACGTAATCACAGTACAGTCAAGAGCGTCGCTACCGTATCGCTTGACACTCCTTGCCTTATTCGTCGCTATTGCCTTACCCATCGTCCAGAGTGCACCATATCTGGTCTCTGCAAGAGATTCACTGTGGAGGCCTTGGACAACGGTAAACCCCAGCAATAATTTGCAGAGAAGAGAAGATAGCCCGACGAATATTTGTAAGAGATGGAGCCATCAGAGTGCCGTGGTGAATGGCACCTTGTACATGTATGGTGGGCGGGCAATGAGTGACAAGTCACAGACATCTGACCAGTGGAGTACGTCACACGAGCACCGGATCTCTCGACGTCACTAACACAGCCAACAGATAACTACTTCCTCTCTCTCGATCTGACAAAGACTTGGCAAATCAGTGATCCTGCCCTCACTGGCTATCCTCAACCTTCCGGTCCTCCTCCTGTCTCGAATGGCTTCCTATGGAACTCTCACGATTCACTCTACCTATATGGCGGAGAGTTTTCTGATACGCCCATAACATCGCCCGTTCCATTCTCCACGTGGGAGTACGATATCAAGGCTGGAAACTGGGTGGAGCATGAGGATCCAAAAACATCCGCTGGAAAAAATGCCGAACCCGAAGGCCAATCAGTACAGCGTGCCGCCGAAGGAGCAGGAGCCGGCGTAGCGGCATTGGGTAGGGGATGGTACTTTGGAGGTCATCTGGACTTCCTGACGACATACGAATGGAGCAACCAGGTTGCCAGGGTCTACATCAAATCTTTGGTCGAATTCACGTTCCCAGGATACTCCAACAGTGCCGTTGACACTATTTCTAGTAGCCCGGCTGGAGACGATGGTGTCTGGCGTAACATCACACAGGGCGGCGTACAAGAGACCGGCGGGTTTCCCGAACGAGCGGATGGTCTTCTTGTCTACGTGCCTGGCTTTGGAGCTGAAGGTATACTTTTGGGTCTTGCAGGGGGGGACAACCAGAGCTTCGTAAGTCGACTCGACTACTCCTTCCTCAATCCGACGACATACTAATCATCCCAAGACTCAAATGAATGTTATCGATGTGTACGATATAGCCAATTCGACCTGGTACAAGCAGTCAACCGCTGGAACGACACCTGGAATACGGGTCAACCCTTGTGCTGTCGTTGCAGCTGCTCCTGACGGATCATCATACAACATGTACATGTACGGTGGTCAGGACTTGAAAGCTAACAATAGTCAACAAAACCAGTACGATGACATGTGGATCCTGTCTATGCCTTCCTTCACCTGGTTTGAAGTCAAGACGGACTCCCAAGTTCCCCCGGGCCGCTCAGGACACACCTGCAACGTCTGGGACGGTCAACTTGTTCTCGTTGGCGGCTACGTCGGCCAAGATCTTCTTTGCGATTACCCCGGAATATATGTTTTTAATCTCACCAGCTTAAACTGGAATAATCAGTTCACAGCCCTTACCGGCTCTGACAACATCAACAACAAAGACGCTGCCGACTTCAACCCCTTTTCCCAACAGTCGAACCAACTCTCCCACAAATCCGACTCCGGCACTGGCGGTCTCGAAGGCTCATACGGCTACCAAGTCCCCGCGCAAGTGTATTCTGCAATCGGCGGTAATGAGCTTGGCGGTGCCACTATCACCAAGCCCGTCGCGACCGCAACAGCAGGCCCTTTTGCCACTGGCTCGCCCATCACGTACACTGTCACAAACCCCGATGGTTCCATCGTAACGTCTATCACCGGGGGCGGCAAGTCCAATAATGGTGGCGGCACGAATGTCGCCGCAATCGTCGCCGGGTACTTTGCCTTCTGTGCCTGGATTTATCGGAAACAGCTTCAGCTATACAAGACTCACGCCGCAATGATGCAAGCACGCAACGCTAACGAGAAAGACGCCTTTCTACCGTCAGGCACCTCCATGATCGGAGGAGGAGCGGCGCTCGGCACGGCGCTAAGCAAGAGTAGCTCTGAGCGGGCGCAAGGACTGAGACCGGACAGTATTGCGAATACGGTGGGGAGCCACTCGCGTACTGCGAGTAGTGGAAATGGAATAGGTGCAGGGACGGCGTATGCGGGCGCAGGTGCGGGAATGGGGAGAGGCAGTATGGATTCGATGGAGGATCTGCTTGCGGACCAGGAGCCGAGCTTCTGGGGAACGAAGGGGGTGTTGTTGAATCCGAGAAGGAGTCTGAGGGTCATTAATCGGGATTAATGATGGAAGAGAGAGAGAGAGAGTAATAAGGAAGAGCGGGTATGTGAATTGTCGTCTGTCGTCTGTCGTCTGACGTTGTAGTTGTGTGCGAATACCCTGAAGATTTGTTTCGGAGGACATGTATAGAGTATATTTCAAGACCTGGATTCGAGGGTCGACAGGCATGCGCGGGAAACAAGATATGAGTACAGGACATAATGATAATGAATAAGAAGAATTAATACGATCATCCCATATATATATCTATATATGACCGTATATTGATGCTGCGATTTTATGCCACAACGCTTAAATGCTCAGTCCTCATCAGGATCATACAGATCCAGCCCTCCATCATCAAACGTCTCCACCGCCTTCCTCTCCTCCCTCCTCTCGCCCCCATCCTGATGCGCCTGTGCCTGCACCTGCGCCTGAGCCTTCGCATACGCATTCTCCCGCCGGGCCCTCTCCTCAGCAGCAGTCGCCTCCCGCAGCCGACGCAGGCGCTCCTCCTCCGCGGCCCTCGCCCGATCCGCCACCGCCTGCTCCTCGGCGCTCAGCACCTGCCACGGATCCAGGCCGCTGTCGAGCATGCGCTGGATCGCAAACAGGTTGCCGCTGCGGATGCGGTCGTTGCTGGGCCAGGGCTCCCAGGGCGCGGCGGCCATGCTCGCGAGGACGTCGCGCATTTCTTGGGATAGGCCTTTTTGGTTTGTGGGGAGGGTGGGGTCGTGGGTTGGGTCGAGGAGGGTGGTTGTTTGGGTGGGTTGTTGGTCGTCTTGGGGCAGTGTGGGGGATTGGGTGGTGCCGTTGGGGGGGTCGTCTGTGGTTATGGCTGTTGTTGTTGTTGTGGTGGTGGTTGTGGGTTCTGGTGCTGCTGCTGCTGCCGCAGCAGCATTGCGGACTGTGGGCGGACGCGTGGTTTTGCTGATGAATTTGGCGTACGAGAGGAGCTCGTCAAAGGGGACGTCGCGGGAGGTGCTGGGAAAGGTGGTGACGGGTGTAGCGACGAGCTCTCTGCGGGTTTCCGCGATCGTTGCGAGGATGGATTTGAGGGTGTTGTCGAGCGACTCGGCGGTCTGGCGGAGGGCGAGGATGCGAGTGTGGTTTGCTTGGTGCTGCTCGACTTTGGGACGTCAGTGAGATGAGACTGGGAGAGAGTATAGTTTATGTGGGGGGACAGACGTCTTTCGAGCTCCTTGTTGAGGCCCTCGTCGGCGTCCATGAGCTTCTTTGCATCCTCGATTAGCGGGTTGTAGGCGGTGATGGAGTCGATGAGGGTGCTGAGAGAGGATTCGAGGCGCGTGAATTGCGCGTCGAGCGCAGCTTCCATGGTGGTTGTTGGGCGTGTTGAGGGGTGTGTGAACTTGAATGATAGTGAGCGAATTGTGTAGATGCTTGGAAGTGTAATGTCGAGGTAGTAATACTGTATGTAATTGTAGGTAATTCGACCAGACGCCGACTGAAGCGTGCATCCTCATCTTTGGAGCCGAAACACGCTAACCAGTAATTAACCACACGGGCACTTGCGGGCAACTGGAGTAAAGCCGCATGTGCCAAGACTGCGGCCCACTAAGGTACAGTAATTAACTACGCCAGCGGCTCCCACCATGCATCCAGTGTCCTTCAGGTGACAACTTAATCGATTTCATCATCGGAATCTCAGATAGCGTGGCATAAGGCAGAATTAGGGGCGGCCGACAAAGACCTACATATAACCATATCTAGGCAGAGTGTATGCGGCCTTGTGGACTGATTACGTCGCCGCTGGTCTATCTGGTCAGCCATTCAGTCCTCAGTTAACGACCTCGCGAACACCTGGCGTCCTCCACCTCTTTGTACATCCATGATAGACTTGACGGGTGACGGAGGCGTGTGGCACTAATATGGACGAGACGAGAACGGTTTATGTGGAATGAGTGGAATGAATGGATTATGACGATGCTCCACAACTACTGCTGCCACCAGGCCGACACTCAGCTGCCTACCTCTCTGCCACTGCCTAATCATATACTAGTATACCTTACATGTCATATCCATCACCCCCGCCGCCATAATGAATGGACGCCCACCTGCATTACCCGGGAATCCATTCTTAATTACATACAGCACTGAAGAACTACCTATATATCCTACACTATTAGCTACATACATGCCACACACACACACACATCCGTCTCTCCCATTCTCCATTCTTGATTCTCCATTCTCGTCCTACTACTAATTACTATTACTCCCTCCGCCTCGAAAGCCAACCCCAAACCCCCCCAAACCCAGTCGGGCGGCGCTCCCGTAGTCCCTCCCTGCCCATCATCTCTTTCTTGTCGCACCCCGCCCGCGCGTCATTTCGCCTCAGCTTGGGTCCCCGCCAACTTTAACACACTGCTGCACCCTCTCCCATAACCATCCAGATCTTCCAGAAAAAAGTCCCACCCGTCCAGTTTTCCTCCATCACACCGCCGTTACCAAGCTTTGCGCCCCCTATACCTGGTTTTTGGGCCCTCCTTGCAGGGAAGTCTTTGCAGCTATGGGTAAATCGTAAGTCTTCTTCCCTGTTCTGTCCACTCACTTGGCTTCATCACAACAAACCTGGTCGACCCTTGTGCCTCCCTCCTCCAACATGTTCGACTGATTCTTCACCATCCTTCCTTCCTCGTCTTCGAAACAGTCTTGAGCAACGTTGCTGTATCTTCTTCTCCACCGACCGCCACTTTTCCAGCGCATCCTCATGCCGGACCAGGACGACTGCTCCTCGTCTCCAAGAATGGCTCCCGCACGAAGACACAGCATACCGCGATATGAAGACACCGCTGGGCCTCAGCGCATGTCCGTCAAGACAAGCCATGACGTCCCTCTCTTGTCGAACAAAACCTCTCCCCTCAACCTTGCGCGACCCCACCATACCCACATACCCAATCATGACGAACGTGGCTACGACCAGTACAAGGCGCAACGCGACTTTGTCCTGGAAAGGGCAATCAAGGAGAGAGCACACGACCTTTCACGACACTGGCCGATTGATCACATTGTCCTGGCCAAGAAGCTGATTATCCATTATAGCCAGAGCAAGTTGTCGCAGCAGGAGCTTGCCGATCTGCAAAAGGCCACACATTTCGACAAGAAGGAGTTGCAGCAGTGGTATAAAGGTCTGTTGGTCCAAAGTCTCGTCAACAACCCTGGACTGAGGTAGCTGACACACCCGTCAAAGGCTTTCTGAAGGACTGCCCTTCTGGCATGCTCACGAAAGAGGAGTTTCAGAAGATCTACAAACAATTCTTCCCGTTCGGTGATCCGTCAAGTTTTGCAGATTACGTCTTCAACGTCTTCGATGCGGACAAATCAGGATCGATCGATTTCAAGGAGTTCATTTGCGCTCTCAGCGTGACAAGCAGAGGAAAGATGGAAGACAAATTGGACTGGGCGTTCCAGCTGTACGATATTGATGGCGACGGCAAGATCAGCTACGATGAGATGCTAGCGATTGTCGAGGCAATCTACAAAATGGTAGGTCTATGTGCCGAGCCTGCGACATAGGGCGCTGATGAATCCGATAGGTCGGATCCATGGTCAAGCTCCCCGAAGACGAAGATACCCCTGAGAAGCGCGTAAAGAAGATCTTCAAGATGATGGACAAGGACGAGAATGGCAGTTTAGATATGGCTGAGTTCAAGGAGGGCTCCAAGCGAGACGAGACCATCGTGTCAGCCCTTTCCCTCTACGACGGTCTCGTCTAATAATCAGTCAATTGAGCGTTTCCACTATACTTCATTAATCCATGACTGGGTTTCTCCTCGCTCTATTCGCTCTCCGGTACAAGCACCATCTTTAGCTCAGCTCATTGCACTGGAAGACAGTACCGCAGTTATATCTGCTCCATTACACGTATCATGGCATGTCGGAGGTCGTTTGGGGGTTTGGTTCACTGTGAAAAGAGCGCCTTGTACGTACGTATCTTTCCTTCGTTGGTTACCGGGGCTCTTTGCTACTCTCTGTCAAACGTTAGGAATGCCTCTAGTCAGAACACCTGTCATAAGAGGCTATGAAAACACTATAAAGTTGATTCGAGCCTGTTTGCATTGTTAGCTTGTTGCGTTGCGTACTGGTTCATTTCCTTGCAGTGTTACCGGCGTACTTGCTTGGGACATTGCTGTGGCATTTATGCCGCCATTTGGGGAGCAACATCTGTCGTATTCTCAGGGGTCTAGGATCCTAGGTGAGTAGCAAAGAGCAAACAAGTGTCTGGACAAGTGTGAGCTCGCTAGAGTGAGCATACATACCGACTCTCTTCAGTCATACAACATCGCGAAATTCTTCTTCTGGCTGGACGATGAGCTCTCGTCCAATGCAATCTTGGTTGGTGATTTCAAGAGTGGTCAGGATCAATTCCTTCACACAAGGGACCGCAACTTCTTTAGGCTTGACGACTCAAAGACAATAAGTTATCAAAGCCTGCGTCGGGTACTCGGTAATACTGATACTCCCTCGAGGATTTATTCTGCTCCGATCAGTGCACACTAATATCCGATGATGATGCTCTCCATTAACAGACTGACGATATATGCGATGGGGGTTTCACTGCAAGTGTATCACTGCAAGTGTAACGCGCTTAATTACACGAAGCTCGTGTCTCCTCTGATCCTATTCATGGTCCGACACTCCAGGTCTTCACGAAGTTGCACGCGGAAGCCTGTTCGGTCGCTGGACCACCTTCGAACCGAGCTTTTATCCTCGGATGATTAGGCAATAACCATAACACGCTTGGGTTGCCTGACGATTCCACATACTGCCGGGTTGATGCTATATGCATCTCCGTGATAATACTAGCGGTGAAGATGGCGGTCGACTGTACAGGGACTTCTCAATGGCATATTATTGTTCGTGGCATAGGACATCTATTCAATCATTTACTCTCTTTGGTCTTCTACTTATTCTTCCTACATATATATACTTCTGGCTTCCAGGTACAGTCTCCTCCCTTACCATCATGTTCCTCACAAGCCTTGCAAGTATAGTCAAGCTTACTATCAATCATGAATCTAGAATCAGACAACTGGAACGCAATCGCTTTGCCAGCCAAACTCTGTCTCACGACTACTCAATCAACGTGCAAACAGAGCACTATGGCAAGCTCCGCTGGGTCGTGCTTGTGTAAGCTCTACTGACAATCGCAGGTGTTGACCCCTGGTCCAAGTCCACAATCTGTGTACTCCGAACCAAGTAGGGACGGGTGCGGTGGATCGTCTGAGAGCATGATGGATCTCCACTCCCTCGCATCGCACGAAGACATCGATTGGCATCATTTTGAGCAGCATGTGAGCGGCCTTGACGACAACTGTTTCTCAAATCTGCCTCAAAGCTACACTCAAAGCTCCATGGATGTAGCACACCATTTCTATGGCAACTCAGACCTTAATGACTTTTATGGTACACTGACACCGCCTTACGATTCGCCGCAATCGCGAGACCAGTCTATAGCCACAGAGGACACAAGCGAGGGGTTCGGTACTCTCACCCAATACCATCCATATTGTACGGACCGTTCCGAAAGCGGGGCCTTGTATACGTCTTGTCCATGGCCAACTAACACGACAGACGCGTGGGCGCTTGATACCTCTGATGTTGAACACCTCCACCCGCATAGGGCTGACAGTTGTCAGCCTCCCGATCTTGGCGACCCCACTTTGAAGGCTAGCTGTGCGCCCGTGCTCAAAGTCGAGATGTTTGGCCCTGGTTATACTCAACAACCTCAACGGTCATCACACTCGGTTTCTACGCCACCCGAGCAGTACTATTCAGCAACCACTCCTGGTCTACAGACGTCGCTCGATGTCTATGATCCGTATCCACAGCGTTCGGCGCGCTCGCAAGAAGAGCTACATTTTAGGGCCATGGCAGATGTTCGTTCAGACTCCATAAAGTATTCAAGTGTACATCATGCTAACACAGACCAGAGCGATGATGAACGTGCCTCGCAACAGATCATGTCAGAACACCGACAGAGCGTGCGATCATGTATTCCCCCCACCGATCCCCTCGATGCGACATTCTCTTCTTCTCCCCTGGAGAGCACTTCGTCCCATGGTCACCTCTCAAGACCAGCAGTAACCTCCCCGAACCAGACGCAGAGACCTATCGCACAACATATAAAGAAGGGTACAGGAAAAGTCGGCTTGAAGGTACTCAAGGGCCGCTATGGGAACATGCTCTGCTCAAGTCCAAGCAATGACTTGTTCGACGACATGAGCTCCGGCTCGGCATTGCCTTTGAAACTGTTTCCATCATTGTCCGTGCACACTCCACTACGACGCAGAAAGCATGTCGCGGTGGCGTCGCCGATTTCTGAAGAACGTGCGATTGAAGAGACTATAGTTGAGAAGTTTGCTCGTGCGCCTGTCAATGTGCCTATTGCAGATTCATCCATCGTCAACGCCACCACCGATGACGGATCGTTCGGGCCAATCACTAGCGACGAAGACGATGGGCAGTTTTTAGTAGAGGAGGTTCTCGATAGGCGATCAAAGTTGATGGCTGATGGCTGTGAACACTTCGAATACTTGATCAAGTTTGTCGGGTATAGCGCCAAATACAATGAATGGATTCAGGCCGATGATCTATGCGCTGACCTGCGTATTAAGTTCAATATTGAACATGCTGGGCTAGACTTTGAAGGACAAAATACGTTGGAAAAGGTCTCGGTCGATCCTGAGGAAGACCTTTTGGCTGCCATCGAGCGATGCGGCGACCCTGGCATCCGCATCGGCAGTGTTGCCTTGGGCGAGCCTGACTGGGATGAGATGGATCTGGAGAGCACTCAACGGCTCGCGGAATCTGCTGCTGACGGAGACATGCAAATGGAGGATGAATCTGCCGGTGAAGGTACGAACAAGATCTCGAGGGGCAAGCCTCAAAAGAGTCGCAAAGCCTGCAAGTCAGACAAGCAAGTCAAGCCCTCCAAGCCCGCAACCAATCGTGGATCTTTCTCGGCAATGGAACGGGCTGTCATACAGCGACGTGCCAACCAGATCTGCAGAGAAAGAGGGATCACAGCATATGAATTCAAGGAGGCGATTCAGGTTAAACGTTACAAGGCAAAAAGTGACGTGTCTGAAATATGGCAGTCTCTGATAAGTGCGCTTCCACTGCGCAGTAGAGTTTCCGTTCAGAAATACTGTAGGAGACAGTTCAATAATGCCCAACGCGGAGCCAACTGGACTGCCGAGCAAGATGCTATCTTGCTTGAGTATGTGACGGAGTACAATAACAGCTGTGGCTCGTCCAAGAACATTCCATATGCCATCATAGCCGAAAGATTGCAGCGCCGGGCCGAAGATTGTCGCGACCGCTATCGCGACTATCTCGAATACCCCGATCGGCGCACGGATCCATGGACGGCTGAAGAGGAGGCAAGATTGCTAGACGTTGTCGAGAATGTCATCCAGTTCGACATTGACTACATCAAGGAGAGCGGGACGTGGGACGCGTCACGGTATCCGCGAGAGGCCCTTGAACGTCGTATAAATTGGGACGTAGTTGCAAAGACGATGAAGACCCGGAATCGCCTTCAGTGTCATCCTCACTGGTACACTCTGAAGAACGGCAACACCCCAAGACAGCGAAGAGAGAAAGCCAAGGCTAGAAAGCCCGCCGCTGAGAGGGCCGAGGCCGAGTCTGCTGCGGAAACAGACGTCGCTTCACTCAACAAGCACAATCGCCTCTCGCAGGCCACCACATTGCCGCCGACAGACCAGAGTAGCCCGGACGCCATCTCAGCAATAGGCCAACCCCGACACGTCCGAAGGAAGAGCAGCCTGGAGCTTTAAGCGGTTCCAGCAGTTTGAACTCCATCAAAAACGGATATCCAGGAGGCCAGATGTCGGATTTGCCTGATCTTGACCTTGTGATCTACGGGGGGCCTTGGGGGCTACTTACGACCTTACGATGTTACGACTCAAAGAATACCTCTGTTTACCAATTTTCTTTCCGGGTCCTCTTTTCCGGCGGTTGTCACAAATGGGCTGCGTGTTGTTGATTCTCAGTTGTCGGAAAGTTTTGCGTCTCTTGGTATAGCATGCATGCATGCATGCATGATTGTCCCGGTGTAACGACGACGCTGCACTGGTCTTCTTTTGGGGATGGATGCATACTCGGAGGCTCTCGGGCATTGGGGATGTAGTAATATTGGGGTTGGGGGGTGGGCTTTCGGGCTTAGGTGTTGGTGGAGTTTGTTGCCTGTTGGGTCTACTTCTCTTTGGTTAATTAGTTGTTTTAAACTAACTGTGGTCCAAACTTCTCATCATTACTGGACAGTGGAGTTTCGGCTTTGGGCGTTGGTGGTGTTGTTTCTTTTTTTCATGTATTATACTTTTCGGTTCGATAGGTTGTTTTGTTATAGTTGAAACTTCTCATCATTACTGTGTTTTCACGAAACCCCCCCCCCTCCCTAGCAGTCCAGGAAGGAACCCCAGAGCGCTATAACGACCTGATGGATCCAGGAATGAACAGAGGAAACAACACGGAAACAATCGGGAGGGCCCAAAGCGATCCAGAGAACACGCCTGCCGGAGATCCGGATTCACGGGATAGATTTGTTAGTCAAGGGATTCCCTTGACTAATAAATCCATCCATCCATCTACCACCTACACGCGCGCTGCGCCGGGGGCAGGCAGGGCAAATACCGGTTATATAGGACGTGGACCCACTCAACCTCAGGAGAGTGTTATATTTCTCTATCTTCTCACATGGCACACTGACTGTATCGCGTGTTCAATTCTCGATTTCAGTCGCTGGGTTTTGTATATATGGCTTGACTGGTGCGGAAAAGGCCTACGCTGCGTGATTGATGGGACACGCTACGTCAAGGGGAAAAGTGTAGATTGATTTTCCAAATTTCTCAAAGGCGCGATGGGCAAAGTCGCATTATCATGCCATAAATACAAAGAATAGTAGCGACTCCATCATGGAAATCTAGTAGTACATCTCACACACAATCATCACTCTGCCAGACCAGCTCGGCATAATATACTACAACTCCTCCATCATCCCATCATCCCCTCATCAACCTCTACGCAATCGACCGCGTCCCATTATCCCCCTCCTCTACCCGCAGCTGCCCGCCCTCCCGCCGCCAAAACTCAATATCGCCCACCTCCCCTCTACTCTGCTCCTCGCCCACACTACCCCTCACAATCCCCTCATCATTCTGCCCCCTACTCAGAATATCCTCGAGCGTGGTGCTCTGGTCCGTAAAGATCTTGAGGTGATCGGCTATCAGATGCCGCGCCTTGCAGCTCGGACACGCGATCAGCACCGTGCCGCCGTGGTAGCCTTGCTTGGAGATCCGGTGTGTCGAGCGTGTGGTGCAGGGCTTGCAGGTGAAGGTGAGCTGGTAGTGTGGTACGCCTTGGAATTGGGGCGGGATGGCGGTTGGGTCGGCGGGTGTCGCAGTGGGGGTGTCTGAGGATGGAGATGGGGAGGAGAATGTTGAGCCTGGTGCGCTGGTGTGGGTTGAGGAGGAGGAGGAGGAGGAGGAGGAGGAGGAGGAGGAGAAGCGCTGTGGGATTGGAGAGAGGCGAGGAGGGATGCTGATGCGGCGGAGGGCCGGAGGTGCGGTGGTGGTGAGGGTGCGTCGGGGGTGGAGGTTGGCGCGGAGGCTTGCGAATGTGCGCTGGCGGAGGGCGCGCGTGAAGAGGGTTGTATGGGACATTGTTTAGATGGTGGTGAGCATGGTAGTAGTGTGTTGGTGTGAAGGTTGGATGGAATGAATGAATGAATGATGGCTCTTGGAACATTTTTTCTTTTCGGGCAAGGAGATCCAGTGACGTCTGAGGACAGGGTCCCGGAAAGTGGGTCCGTGGGTGGATGGCCGCCTGTGTGTTCTAGCAGAATTCCATTCCGCATTCTCTAGAATCCCACCCTTTGTTCCCACAGAAACCTCGGGATTCTCTCTGCATAAAGCGATTCTGAACGCTTTAGAGACGTGACAGAGACTTGCTCGCCTTTCCACAACTCCGTGCCCGCCCTACCTCCTCTACCCAGCAACACACGTCGGAGTATAGCGCCGTAGCCCGCGATCCTCCAACCCCCGCGTATTTCATCAGGTTGAGCCCGCGCGCCAAAAGCCAGGATTCGGCTCTGAAATCCGAGGACCACCGTCGACTACTGGCGAAAAGAACCGGACGTGTTGCGTTTGGCGTTTTGAGGCTGCGAGCATGTCTTTGACCTCGAATCGGACTAAGCATAGAGTGAAGCCTCCCCGAAAGGTATGTCATTTCACTGTTCTCAACCGAGTACACACAGCACGCGTCTTTCCCAGACCTAACCTTACCACTATCATGAACTCTTACTGACATCCGCTTCTACGCACAGGGACTCCAAGGCGATGCCGGCGGCTTCGAGCAGATGTGGCCCGAACTGCGCGATGCGTTTGGCGAGGTGCACAAGAAATGCGCGTCCAAGCTGTCCTACGAACAGCTGTACCGCAAAGGCTACACCCTGGTGCTGAAGAAGATGGGCATCCAGCTCTACGACGGCATAAAGGAATCAGAAAGTGTTTGGCTGAAAGCAGAAGTACTCGGTGAGATACGGGCAGTCTTGGCCGCGGGACAGTTCCAGACAAGCTCGGGCAGGTCGGAGAACGAGCAGCGGATATATGGGGAGGAGTTTCTGAGGATCATGAAGAATACGTATAATGATTATATGACGTCTATGAGTATGATTGCGGACGTGCTGATGTACTTGGTAAGGGCTGTTTCGTGGCGTTTCTGACGCAGAGAACAAGGCTGACATCGGTTGTAGGATCGTGTGTTTTGCAAAGATCACAGATGCCCGACGGTCTTCTCGATGGCTATGGGTCTGTTCCGGAAGATCGTGCTCGAAGAGTCGGCCTACCCGAACGACCCGGTCAACGTCCTCCGACACCTCACAGACATCATTCTGTTTCAAATACAACTGGAGAGATCGGGCGAGATTATCGACAAGAGCCTGATACGGCAATGTGTGTACATGCTTGAGGGACTATACGTGACGGACCAGGAGCGGGAAGAGGACAGACTCTACGTGAACGCTTTCGAGCCCCACTTTCTAGACACGAGTCGAGAGTTCTACAAGTCCGAAGCCGAGCGCATGCTTTTCGAGTCCGATGCCGGGGCCTACTGTCGCATTGTGAGGAAACGCATAAATGAGGAGCAAGACCGGTGCAGATCGACGCTCTCTGACTTGACGACGGAGAAGATTGTCAGGGTCGTCGAGAATGAGCTTATCAAGAATCAGATCGGTAACATCATTGCGTCGCCGAGCGGCGTTCGACATATGATAGACAATGATTTGTTTGATGAACTTGAGCTCATCTACGAGCTAGAAAGCCGTATAGATAAACGCAAGGGGGAATTGAAGAAGGCATTGCAGAAGAAGATTGTGGAGGCTGGCATGGAAGTCAACAATGCCGCGATCGCGGCCTCACAGGCATCTGCCGCACCAGCCCAGGCAGGTGAGGGCGGCGAATCGTCTAGTAGAGCGCCCGCCGAGAAGTCTGGGAGCAACCAGACTGTTGCAGCCCTGACGTGGGTCGACGACGTGCTTAAACTGAAGGACAAGTACGACTTGATCTGGCAACGATCATTTGACCAAGACCAAGACCTGCAAACAGCCCTTACGCGGAGCTTCTCTGACTTTATTAATTCAGCCACATTTCCTCGAGGTTCGGAGTACATTTCGCTGTTTATCGACGAGAACATGAAGAAGGGCATCAAAGGTAAGTCGGAAGCTGAGATTGACCAGCTGCTTGACAAGGCTATCACGCTACTCCGATACGTGCTCGACAAGGATATGTTCGAGAGGTACTACAAGAAGCACTTGTGTCGCCGTCTGCTCATGAACAAGTCTGTTAGCAATGATGTTGAGAAGCAGATGATCTCACGCATGAAGATCGAGCTTGGAAACAGCTTCACGGTCAAGCTGGAGGCTATGTTCAAGGACATGACCATCTCCGAGGAGCTCACCAGCGGTTACAAAAACTTTATCCACAATATGGGAGCAACCGACCCGACCAGAGTGGACCTGTCTATATCCGTCCTCACGAGCATGACCTGGCCATTAGAGTCTATGGGTGGTGCGATTGAGAACAGCGATTCAGGGGGCAGATCGAAATGCAAATTCCCTCCAACAATCGAGCGAGTGCGGCAAAACTTTGAACGATTCTACTCGGAAAAGCATTCGGGCAGACAGCTGACGTGGCTATCAAACATGGGCACGGCAGACATCAAAGCAATATTCCCAAAAGTGCAGACAAAGGAGGGCTACAAGGAGCGGAAGCACGAGCTCAACGTCTCCACCTACGCCATGGTCGTGCTCCTGCTCTTCAACGACCTGCCCGCCGACCAGAGGCTCTCCTTTGAGACCATCCACGCCGAGACAAACATCCCCAAGGCCGACCTTGTCAGAACGCTGCAGTCGCTCGCCGTCTCGCCCAAGACGCGCATCCTGGTCAAGGAGCCGATGAGCCGCGACGTCAAGCCGACAGACCACTTCTGCTTCAACGAGGGCTTCAAGAGCCCCTTTGTCAAAGTTAAAGTCGGCGTCGTCATGGCCGGCAACAAGGTCGAGAACGAGCGGGAGCGGCGCGAGACGGAGCAGAAGAATGAAGCGTCGCGGGGGTTTGTCATTGAGGCCGCGATTGTGCGCATCATGAAGTGAGTCGACGTCCTCTTTCCCATAATTTTGGTATCTAGTAGTAGCTAACATTGTTGTGTCGTGGCAGACAGCGCAAGGAGCTCAGCCACCAACAGCTCATCGCCGAGGTGCTCAGCCAGATGGCCGCCCAGTTCAAGCCCGAGGTGGCGATGATCAAGAAGCGCGTCGAGAGTCTGATTGAGCGCGAGTATCTGGAGCGGCTGGACGGCCAGGACCTGCCTGCGTACCGCTACCTGGCCTGAGAGTCCGAGAGGTGGTGGGCATGGTGGGTTAGTAATCGACAATGGTAAAAGGGTTTGTGGGAGGATTGGGAGGCAGGGTTTGCTATAAACTGCCCCATAAAAATCTCAATGCATTTTGCTTAGCATTTGTTAGTTTTCTTTTCTTCTTCAACGTTTCATTTTTCGGTTTTGAGCGTTTCTTGTCTGTTTTGTTTTTGGTTATTTGATTCCTCGCATGCATGCTACAGCAAGAAATGAAGCTGAGCAGCAGTGGAGAGAGGAAGGGGAGTTCAGATCTTGAACTTGCATTTTCGGAGTAGGAAATTTTTTTTTTTTTGGGAGGGGGCGTTGGTTGACATTGTTTGGTACCGCTTGCAATCTGTGTCACATTGAGCGGACGAGGGTTGAATTGCGGCGTGTATGGATGGATGGATGGGTGGAGAAATGAAAGGTGGTTGATGGCGATGAATGATGATGATAGGGCGGGCATATCCAGATGGTAGGCGCTCTGCTACTACAGGCAGGTTCAGATTGAGGTTTTGGTAAAGATATATATATACTACTATCTATACTATACCAATATATACGACATGATTTGTTGGGGAGGGGGGCAATGATGCATGCATTGCTGTCTGCCTGCCTGCCTACCTACGCACTACGCACTACGCACTACGCAGTATGTATGAGGTCTGTCGAGAGTTGGTTTTGAGCTCCTTTATCTTTGTTTTTGGTTTCCCCTCTTGCACACGTGGGCGTGGGCGTGTGCATGTACGACATGTATGTATGTATGTACAAAGCCAGAAGCCAGCCAAGTATGCACGGAGGAGTCAGTCAGATATTCAGACAGTCAGTCAGATATTCAGACAGCCATACAATCAGACAAACGAACAAACGAAAAGCAAGCTCATCTCATCTCCCGTCCTCTCGTAGCTCGTATATGTAATTAGTGCTAATTACTTATCTGGCGATACCGAAGGCACGGAAGTGCTATCGCCAGCGAGCGCTTGTTACACGGCGTAATCTCGGTGGCCTGTCTGTCTGTCGGGTGTGTGTGTGTGTCTTGTGTGTCTTGTGTGTCTTGTGTGTTCATGTGGTACGAATACGGAAGGAGACGGGGATTGGAGGGTGGTATATGATGTAGTAGTTGTATGGTGTGGTGTGGTGTGGTATGTGGTATGTGGGGGTCATTGTGCGGGATGTACATTTAAGGTATAGAGGGAAGGAAGGAAGGAAGGGTGGATGGGAGAAATGGGGAAATGGAAGGAAGGATGAAGAGGTGGAAAGGAAGGAAGGTGCGCAGGATGATGTCTCTATGAGACTACCTAGAGAAGCAGATGGATAGGTAGATTTGTTGACTGTTTGCGCGCAGACCGGACAAGCAGTCTAGACGATCTAGACAGTCTATCTAGATGGTAGTATGGAGAAGGTTCGTCCAGGGCCTGGTAATTAGGTACCTAATTTCATTTAATTTGCTGGATGCCAGGTGCTGGGTGACTTTGGGTAATTTTAGTAGTGGTGTGTTTCACGCGTTCCTTTGGCGGCGGACCCGGATGGGTGGATGGATGGAATGGATAGGTGGATTGATTGTTACCAGGTAATTACAATCGTTTTGTACCTTAAATTATGCTTGCCCTGCCCTGCCCTGTGCAGCGAAGGACCGGTCAAGCAGCACTTGAGAATGGGCTCGCACGAGGTTTGTGTCGATCTGCTGTGTGTATGCATGCATGCATGCATGGAGTAAGTACTGTAGTACTCAGCTTTTTTGTTTGTTTGAAGGACTGCTTGGTGTAAGTAATTAAGCGAGTACGGGCGGGGACGAGAATGTAGTGGTTTGTTTGACAAACGGCGAAGACGGGATGGATGGATGATGATGATGTGTGTATAACGAAGAATACTCAGCAAGGGCTATGCTAGCTAACAAATAATGAGTTCAGTGATGTCGGTTTCAGCCACGACGGGAAAGAAGAAGACGAAGAAAGGTAATTAATAAGACGGGTTTCAGGTTCTTGGACTCCAGCAGACTGTATACATAAGAGCAAGTGCCCCACTAGCAGGAGTGGAGAATAAGATGTGGGTGGAGCCGTGGTAGCTATTAAATACTAACTACGGTTCCAATGGACGCGATGGCGGCGGCGCTCAGTAAGAAGGCTCTGCGATGCAAAAGTCTTCATGTAGTATTATTAATTAGACAAAGCACAGTATGGTAATTAGTCGTGGAGGTGATGAATGTTAATGACAATGTCAAGGTAGAGTTGAAACGGTGGCGCATCCTACTGACGGTATGTCTCCATGTCTTATAATAATAACTTACTTTTTTTTGCATGCAATGTGTTGATGCAGTCAGCAGATATGTCTACTCGTCGAGAATGTGAATATCGTGAATCGGCGCTGTGCGATCAGAACTACGCGTGACAACGCTAGGGAACAAACAGCAGACACGAGGCGGAAGAATGCTTGTGTTATGTTGAATTGTTCATTGTATCGTGTCGTGTCGTGTCGTGTGGCAGCACAGGGAGAGCGAGGCATGGCAAGTCCAGTATTCATTTCCGATCGGGACCTCAAAGGGCGTGGAGAGCTGCGGTGCCTATCAAAGTCGCCTATCAAGTCGCCTATCGGGGGGGGATGCTTGCATATCGCCGGGCGATTCTGCAGCCCCAGACGGCAGGAGGCTCGCGTACCTGATGCTAGACCACCTTACACGCCATTGTCGCCCGTTGATTGGCTGCAATACCGATCCTGACAGACTTTGACATACAAAGCACGGCCGTCCCTGTGTTTCATCCTACGCGTCCGTCGTGACTTCCTGGCTGGGTCTGCATGACGAATACAGGGCAGGTGCCAGCTGTGGCAAGGTCGACATCCATCCGGCGCCCTCTCATTGGCTGCGTTGCCCCCCCAGTACTGCCGCACCGCCGCAACCCACAACTCCCGTCATCTCTACTATATTCTCTCCCCTCTCTCCTCTTCCTTTTCTTTCTCTTCCACCTTTCTCTCCCTCTCTTCCCCCTCTTGCTATCGCATCGCTCAGGTCGTGCTCTTTGGCACCTTGCTCTCTTTTCAATCACTCTTCGGAGTACAGTCCTTCTTTTTTTATCACTCAATCGATCCACACACTCTCTTTCGAGCTTTGCCCACCTTTGCCATTCCTCGTTTCTTTTGCCCTGGAAGGCCACTATCCTTAAGAAAGCACTTCGAAAGTTGCTCATCCCCGCCCTCTGTTGCATATCCACCGCCAATTGACCATCTTCCACGTTTACGACCCGATCAGAAACGATTTACGCAAAAAAGTCAGTTATCCAATCTACCAATCATGTCGACCAAGCTCGCTCTTCTCGCCCTGCTCTCTTCCGCTCTCGCCGTTCCGTTCGATGCCCGGCACCCAAAATACCCAGCTGGCAACACCACGGCTGTCATGCCCACTGGTGGCTATGGCGGTGATCACTCTACAGTCGAGCCCACCACCTACATCACAAGCACCTCATACATCACCCAATTCATCACCCTGACCAGGCCGCACTCTCCCAGTGCCCCTGAGCAAACCCCCACCCCCACTCAGGAGCAAAGTGTTGACGCCGAGGCTACTGGTGGTGCTGGCAGCGATTCTGGTGCCAATCCGGGCGGCTATGCCAGTCAAGGCAGTCAACAGTGTGGAGCTGTCGTCACTTCAACTGTCAAGCAACAGGTCACCGTCACTGTCACGGCTGGATCCGCCAACACTCCCGCGCCTGCTCCTCCCGCTGCTCCGTCCGCTCCTGCTGAACCTTCTGTCGCCCAGAGTCCAGTTGCTGCCCCGTCCTTTGCCACCTATGCTCCCGAGTCATCTGCCGCCCCGCCCGAATCTCACGCGCCAGAGGCCACTCCTTCCCCGACTCCAGCTCCAGCTCCGGCCCCAGCTCCGGCCCCAGTGTCCAGCGTTGTCCAGCAGCCAGCCCCCAGCAGCTCCACCGAGGAAGGTTACAAGCCCGCCCCCACAGCTGGTAGCTCCCCCAAGGGTGGCAAGCGTGGTCTCGCCTACAACGATGCTTCTCTTACGACATGCTTCAAGGACAACGCAAAGGTCTCTTGGGCCTACAACTGGGAGGCTACTCCCCGCAACCTTGACTCCGCCTTCGAGTACGTCCCAACCATGTGGGGTATGAAGTCCGACTTTACCTCCACCTGGAAGGGCTTTGCCGACGCTGCCATTGCCTCTGGCTCAAAGCACCTCATGGCCTTCAACGAGCCTGACCTGACGTCTCAAGCCAACATGTCGCCCGCTGACGCTGCCAAGAACTACCGTACCTACTTCCAACAATACTACGGCAAGGGTCTCCGTCTAGGTGCTCCATCCGTGACCAACGGAGGTGGAAACATGGGCCTGACCTGGCTGGCCAGCTTCATGAAGGAGTGCTCCGACTGCCAAATCGACTTTTGCCCGGTGCACTGGTACGACTCCTACCAGAACATTGACTACTTCAAGAGCCACATGCAAAAGGCCACCGAGGCTTGCAACGGCAAGCCAATCTGGCTTACCGAGTTTGGTACCAATGATGGTTCTGATGACCAGATCAGCGGCTTCCTCAAGACCGTCCTCCCGTGGTTGGACAGCCAGGACTACGTGGAGCGATATGCCTACTTCATGGCCGGCACTGGTGCACGCCAGCTCGTTACCGGAACTGCCGCGAGCACCATTGGCGCCGTTTATGGCTCTGCATGATTCTTTTTAAACTTGTCATGAATCGATATCGTCTGGGTAGATGTGGTGCCTCTCTGTCTCACCCGGACGGGCACCGTCGTCCCCTACGGTGAATGAATTCCTCTTTATACTTCGTGTCTATACTTATTTAACACTGGCAAGAGTCGCTTTAGCGAACGGGGTTTCGTCGAGTGCTCTGCCTTTGGGATTGTGTTGTCATCAGCGCATTGCGTGGGCTGCGAAACGGCTTGGGTTCGATCATAGACTGGTGCAGAGCGCAGTATGTCCAAGTCAAATGTTGAACATTGTCTATCGACTTGTCTTTTACTCTCGTTGATTTTGCTTCCTCGTGTGACCTTGCTCGTGATGTTGCGAATTGAATGCAAGCCTACATCTCCACGATACTCGTAGCCCTTGCTGACGGTCCTCTCAGTCATGGTAGCACCTTTCCACTACATTTGTGTATCATACATACAAGCCATGTGGCCAACAGCCCTTTACCACTCCGTATCATCCACATCATGCCCGCCATGCGTGCTTGACATGTCCTCCCACCACACCAGATTATCCGCCACATGCCTATACTCATCAAACCCCATGCCCAACGCCTGCTCATACTCGGCCGCTAAGCCAGCAAACCCGGACCTCGTCGTATCGCACTGCCTGAGCTGGTGCTGCTTCACCTTCCGATACCGCAGCAGTCGAAACGCAAGCACGCTGACGGGCGCCCACGAGCCCTCCCGCAGCGTAATCCGATCCAGGTCCAGCTCCGTGATGCGCCGGTGCCGCACAAGAAACCGGCACAGCTCGTCCGACGTCAGGTCAAGCGAGCCAAGGTACAAATACGCCAGATCGGGCCATTTCTCCGTGCCGCTGCCAACGTACGCCGTCAGGGGCAGCGCATAGTTTGTCGTCGTCGTTGTATCTCCGCCGCTCCGGTCCCGCCGCATCCCGCTGTCCGAGAGGTTGAGTTTGAGGCGCTCGAGCGCGGCGCATGAGCCGATGAGGCGGCCGAGGAGGCCCGTGGCTAGCAGGGCGCGGAGCTGTGTCTGCGAGCTTGGATAAGGGGCGTGGATCGCGCCGTCGTGATATTCGCCTGGTGCGTCGGTGCTTGTCGCGAGTGCGAGCTTGAGGTCGCGCACCTGAGCAAAGGAGGCGCAGAGTGCGGCGAAGCGCGCGGGCACGCGCTGTGCGGCGGCGAGAAAGGAGATGTGCATGTGGAGGTCTAGAGTGCGGATGTTGTTTGGTGTGCATGATGCCAGCGCGGCAAAGAGGTTGAACAGCGGCCGGAAGTCGAGGCAGTCGATGCCCTCGCGCGCGAAGCCGATGGGGAGGTTGGCAAAGTGCTTGTGTCTGCTGGGCAGTTGGGGCCCGCAGAGGTCGGGCTTCCAGCGGTGATCTTCCGCGTAGGACCAGAAGATGATCTTGGAGAGGCGCGGGAGGGCAGGGAGGGCGGTTTGGAGGAGGACGAGGGCGTCGTGGGCTTGGGCGCGGATGAGTTCGCGCTCTTGGGCCATGGGCTTGAAGAAGGTGTCTGTTTGCTTGGAGGGGATGTATAGTTCCTTGATGATCGCGCAGTAGCTGCAGCACTCGTTTTCGTCGTCGTTACTGTTCTCAAGGCTCCGCTTCGCGCGATGCAGCGGATCAAGCCACGCATTGCAGAACCCGTACGACGCAGCATCATACACGAGCGTGCGCACTCCCCTCGCCACAAGCGGATGCTCGTCGCACAGCCTGCGCAGCCGGTCCAGCGGCGCCCTTTCCGACGCAATGCACACCCGCTCGAGCAGCAGTGGCGCCCCCGCATCTGCAAACGTCTTGCACACGAGGCGGAGGTTCTGGATCGAGGCGGTGTCGTGAAGGCTGTATCGCGGCCCGTTGGACTTGTAGTATTTGCGGCGTGGGATGTGTGCGCGGCTTGGCTGTCTGACGTGTGTGAAGATGAGAGTGGTGAGCTCGAGGGGGAGGGGGAAGGAGGATTGTGGTTTGGGCGGAGGGGGTGGTGAGGGGATTGGGGATGTCATTTTTGTGATGATGCTGCTGCTGACGTGGGAGAGAGGTGGTAGATTGCGTTTTATGTAAAGTGGTAGTCGTAGGCTACAGGATCGCGCTATATCTTCGCGCGTCTACCTATAAAAGCGGGTCGGAACTATATCTACTCTTGGCATGGTGTAGGACGACTTCGGGAGAGTAAGCTAGGCTAGTCATGTCTTGGTCTGTATGGGATTCCCGTTCGATATATATGTCGACGCATCAACAGGTGCAAGAGCAAGAGCAAGTTCGGATGCAATACTGTGGCCGCTTCAGTCTGATTTCTTCCTGCGTTCATTCGCTGTCTTTCGCCTCGGTTGAAGCCATCCATCATTGCCGTGCTGTATTCAATATCGATGCAAGTGCTCGACACAACGGTCAGTGGTGATATATTTATGATAGTATACTCTCCTTTTTTCGACACGCTGTCGGTCAAATCCGTACAGCAGGGCTCCGGGCAATTGCTCGACCACAAATATCACACGATCCAGGGCAAGATGATTGTAGCGACCTATAATTCCGTCGTAGACAGGGGTTTCGAGCTGCATAGAGAATCCTTACAATGTCAGGTTCAGGAAAATGCAACACCCGCGACTGAACCGGAAGCCCATTATATATGGATGTGCCTGGATATATCTATGAATAGGAGATATTGCTCTCTGCGAAGTCTTGGAAGAACATGGCTGCGTAGACACAGTATGATCTTTGGAACGGCACTCTACACTGGTCGAAGCATGAACTTGACGACACGAAGTTATTTGATTGATGCATAGTACTACTGTACAAGCAACAGTCATCAGGTTTGAAATACTAGAAGAGAGTTTGCGCCAAGGATGATACTCAATCACGAGGAATTCAGATTGTAATGACTAATACCAAGAGTATCAAGATCTTCTTCTCCCAAACACCCTGATTCTCTTCACACCTCCGTCAGGAATAATGACCAGTTTGACATGTGAGTACGTCTGTCCCTGTGCATTGCTCAGCTCTTGTGATCCATACTCGTGCTCGCGATCTGGCCCTGCTTTCTGTGGCGACAAAACCTCCTGCCATGCACCATCATCTGCATCAGGATCCTTGTCAAACCTCCCAGCAAACACCTGCACCTTCTGCGGGAAGTTACCACGGAAATGAGCAGTGTCAATAACAATCCGCTCGATCTCCCCCGTAGTTCCCAGTCTGATAATTGCCCAATCAATATGTGGACCCCTCGTGCGCTTGGTCTCCCAGCCATCACCCATATCCATGCCTCGCCCTGGCAGGAGCAAATTGTCTTTCGTGCCAAAGTGTTGATCCGAGCAGCTGACAGCGACTCCACCATTCACAGTCGCAGCAAGGTCGAATACCGCGTCAACATCCTGCGGGAACACCGGCAGCGCCACTCCGAACAGCTTGAAACGTGCAATGCCCCCATCAGGATACATCAGCAGTCTGACGTGTGTGTATGCCTTCTCCGTAATCTTGCTCAACAGCCATGCGTGTCGCTGGCTCGGCCCGCACTCCTGCTTTTCAAGTATCGTCTCCCAGCCCGCGAAGCTCTTATCACTGACCTTTGCGTCATCATTGCTGAAGCAGCCCTCGACCGCGATTTCAGGGGCGTGGTTCCCGTTGAAGAATGCCGTGTCTATCTCCACGCCTTTGACCTTCCCGCTGGCAACGCCCAGTCTTATGACTACCCAATCGAAGGGTTCGGTGTTGTGACGCCTCGTCTCCCAACCATCGTACCAAGCGCCTGCATGCGTGAACACTCCTGGCTTGCGTACAGGCGGTGTCGAAGTCGTAAGGTTCTCGGCCGCAGCAAACCATTCATCAGAAAAGGAGAGGATACGGGAGCCTAGTGGCTTGGAGATGAGGTCTGACAGTGTCGATGTCTCAGCAAGTCTCTACTCGTGCGTGTCATTCTTGGAGATTGAGTTACCTATACTAGTCGAGCCAAACGTCTCTTGGATCTTCTCGGGTGCGACTACTGTAACGTCGCCTTCACCTATGGGCTCGGAAACAATTGCTTGGATCTCCATGTTGTGCGACGATTGATGGATGTACAGCTAGAAGCATGGAAAAGTCTCGAGGAAGACGGCGCCTTCTGAATAGCTCTTGTGAATGTCGGCGTTTGATTGTCCCTGTCATGGCGGGGCAGGCGGCGACCCAACCCCCGCGTAGGGCTGACTAGCTCCTGAAATCAGCAGCACTAAAAAGCCTTCTAAAAGGCTGTGCACTATACTGCGTCCAACGTCTCTAGGACATGATTGTTATCTCTGGGAACTAATTTGCCTTCGAGCTTTGAGCCCGGATTCCTGCTAGTATCTGCGAGTGATCTGATGTTCAAGTTTTCCGACCAAAAGTTCAAAAAGAAGGTCGAGCATGTAAATTCAAAAAGGAAATTCCGAATAGGGGAATCGAACCCCTGGCTGCTGTGTACTTCTTGGGAGACCCAATGAGAGACAGCGATGTTAGCCACTACACCAATTCGGAAATGCTTAGAAGAGTTTTAGTATTTTTCAATATAATCTATGTCTATACTATTTTACACATGGGCCTAATCTGTAACCTTAATTATATAAATTAGAATAATTTAAGTAAAGAACTATTATAATAGCTGCTATAACAAAGCTAACGACACGTAACTCTCTACGTGGTGTCCTATAGGAACTTTAGTAGAATTTACCGTGATTAACGTAATTATCTAACTAGTTTAACTACCAACGGTCCATATATACAAGCCTAGTACTAGATAAGATCTAGTTTGGGAACACCGAGCTAAATCGCAGCCCATGCCAGCGTCTGCAGCGCTTGTGTGGAATTGAACTCTACGGCTGTCGCGCTTTGGAGAGTGCATGCTATTAGCTTCTTCCCTACCATACCAACCGTGCAGCGTACGATGGCAACTGTTGGCCATCTACTTATCGCCTAATTGGCAGTCTATAATCAGGATCCAGGTTCTGGCATGTTCATGCGGCGTGGTAGTTAGCTAGTAAAATATCCAAGTCCCTTTACGGTACGCCAGGATAGCGTACTTCACTCTTCTATGAGGTAGCAGCGAGTAAATGACTCCAATGGCATTCAAAACCCAATCCAAAACTCAATCGAGAGTATGTCTTAGCTAATAAATAAATCTTCATACTAACAAATACGAGTAAGATTATACTATTACCAACTTTCAAAGAGAACAATAGCGTACCTCAATAGGTAGCTAGCAAGACCTCCTAAGGAGGGCTTAGACAACATCAGGGGGAATACAAGAAGCACTTACAACACTCGCTAGTTCTATTAAAGAGCTTGGTAATGCGATGGAGGCCGCACAGTTACTTTTTAGTAAGGCTTACCGTAGTAGATTAGGGTCATGCTAACTCGATAGGCGTATCCATAACGCAAGCGGACCTCTGCAGATCATTCATTGATATGTCCAATGACAACTTCGTTGCTACCATCGATAATATGACCGCGCTACCAGGCATCGAGACGTTCGAGTTCGCTGAATAGAAAACTATTATGAAGGAGCAAGGCACAAAGAAAGAAAAGGGGCCGATGATATTAGATACTATACTAAATAGAGATAAGTAGTAGAGTCAAGCATAACATATGCGATAGACCAGATCTACGTCGTCCTAACAGACTATCTAGAACCATACTACTAGGGTAGTGAAATTAAAGTACACTTTGCTAGAATCTTATCGTATCAATCAAAACTTCTTCTTTCACCGATTATAGTACTGTTAAGCCTCTAGATCTAGATAATGATAACTTCGGGATAGTGTGAGGCTGTAAAGGCAGCTCTATTTCTAGATCGCCATGAGCGTAACCAGGATCCACTGCTAGAGTCTGGATCTGAAGAAGAATTCGGCGAGGTTTATTCATAATTGTAAGAAATGTACTAATAACCCCTTGAAGAGAAACATGCCCTTTCAAAACCTAGAAGCTAGTGAAGCGAATTGTATGGAGTTTGACTAGCTTTATGCGAGTGCGACTTTTGAGAACCTAGGAGTAGATTAGCTTTATTAACTTAGCATGCGCACGACGTGTTACGTACAAACAAAGCCAGTACTTTTGAGGGATAGTGGCAAAAATCCGTCGTGTCAAGAGGATATTTCAGACCTGAGCCAGCGATGTTCAGTCGGAGCTCTTTAAGCTGCTTTAAAGATGAAATAAGATCCCATGCATACCTCTAGGGCTACCGTGGTGGCTTCATCGAGTTCAAGTACAAGCACCGGAGAGTGCCTACATGCTTCATGATTACAAGAGTACTCAAAGATAGCCGTAGGTTGGAAAGATCGAACTAGATGACCTTCAATCCGTCGATAGCAGTAAGCAAGCTTTCAAGAACTTGCACGACGCGTTACAAGGATCTAATATAAAGAATATAGGTGAATGTTCCCAACTTAAGATCGGAAAAAGAGGTTAGAAAAGATTCTACACGGGGACACTAGATGACCGCCAGGTGACGTAATGCAGATGAACAAAGTATTTGGTGCAAGTTTAGGTCGACTCGAATTAATCGTAGAGAATTCAGTCCTTGCGGCACATAGTTCCAGATATTTCTTGGGATAGTGCACGGAATATACGGGAAGCTCTCGTGTTCGTCAAGTCGCTATAGCCTTAGAAATGCGGCCCTTAAGTTACTAGGTATCGATGATATAGAACTGACTTAGACACTAATCGCTAATAGGTTATCCGAAGAAACGACTGTACTACATAGTCGGTTCAACTGGCAGTGACTTAGGGAGCGAAGATCAAGGTATCGCAATTTCCCATGCGTACTAAGGAATGTGCGGAAGCTTTACACACCTACTTAACTACTCGAAAGATAACTCGTGATCAAATCGCGTGGACTATGGCGAATATATTCCGTAACTTAGCTACTTTCGTACTCCCGCAGACGAATAAATCCTAGGATAAGAGTAAAGGTCGAATTGAATGATTAGCTAAGGCTGCCTCGTCGAGTACCACGTAAAAGTGTAATAAGCTCGTCGCACTAACACTAGTTCCGCGTAATACTAAGCGAGCACTTAGAAGACCTTCTATTAGAAGCTTTTCTAATTAGCTGTTCGCTTCTACTATATAACTTAACATACCTAAGCTAAACATATTAGAGAAATAACTCCATTGGTATACTAGATAAGCTATGCCCTTAGAGGCGACTGGATTTGCATGGTTACTAGTAAAGGGAAAAAGCTAAGGATTCCAAGCTAATCTTACTATATGTACCTTTACATGGTTCACCCTATGTAATAGATTCTTACTAGACAATTAAGAGAATAGTTACTTTATACATTTAAAAGAGATGGGACTTAGCTAGGATTGGCGGGACTTAGTAGGGCTTAGTCTAAGTTAACGGGCCGTTCCGTGTATCTATAAAAGATGGGGTCTAAAAGCTTGTTTGTTCGTGGTTAGATGCGCACGGGAACATGTATCATCTATGTTTATTATAAGTCTAAAGCTCGAGGAAGCTGTCCCTGCCCGCTTACCATGGAATCCAGTCGTCCTCTGTGCCGATAATGATGGCCCTAGTTCACTACTATTTCGGGTTGCTTCTATATGGAGGACTTATGGCGCGGTTCACATTAGAAGTTCTATGTAGAACAATAATGCGGGGATCTTGCGTCGTGGGAATGGTATGCTGGATTATTTCCAAAGCGGTATTTTGGTACTCTGCATTAATTAGTCTAAAGCTCTGGGTGCTTCCAGTCGGCGATGCTCGGTGCTCGCATTATTACATCGCGTTTCTCCTAATCGACTCCGTCCTCGTAATATGGGACTATTCGCATCATAGAAATAGAGTTTTGAATAACCTCTGTGGCGTGATTTTTTAGTCCACGAACCATCGATTGCTTCACGGAGTGTAATTAGCGAGTTCTGCTAGTGGAGCTGGTGATATTAGCGGCTTAGCCCCCGGTCAATCGCCTCGCGCTCTGCGTCCGCTTTCTTCGCCCGTCGCAACCCTGCCAATCTTGCGCATCATTTCCTTTGCAACTTTACAGGCTTCGCATGCCCGCGATAGACCATGGCATCAGGCTTTCTTGATCGATGCATATCGCGCCTTCTACATAGCCGAACTTCAATTGCGAAGAAGATCTGTGGCACATTAGGTCCCAACGTCGTTCGAGTAGGTCGACATCGACTCGTTAAAGGTCCCTGCCATGAGGCCGAACTGGAAGCCTTACAATTCGTCGCCAGATCAACATCTATACCTATACCCAGAGTTCATCGGACATATAAATACAAAGATAGGCTCTACATCGAAATGGAATATGTTCAGGGTCAGACTCTCGCGTTCGCTTGGATGAAAGGGCTGCTATCCGAGGATCAAAAAGAGCTATTATTGAAGAGCTCGCGAATTTTGTTGGCCAACTCCGGGGGCTGAAGCCACCGCAGGATGGAATCGTTGCATCGGCAGAGTCGCATTCCTGCCTGGATTATCGAATCGGGAATAGACCTGTTGGACCATTCTCTACCTACGACGAGTTTCATGCCTTCCTTCGAGGCAATATCCCATTTGATTCTAGTGAGCAGATTTTTGGGCAGCAAGTATCAAAATGTCATTCGCGCTCCTATCGTACCCTCTTTTCTCACTCAGATCTTGCTCAGCGTAACATTATAGTCAAGGATGGTAGGATTGTGGCTATTATAGACTGGGCATTCAGCGGTTGGTATCCTGAGTATTGGGAGTATACAAAGGCGCATTATGGCATGATGAACGTGCCAGACTGGTACTCGGAGTTCGAACGTGTTATGCCTAAGTACGATGACGAGTTGAAGGCTGAATATCTTCTCTGGGCTCTATATGAGGAGCCCGGGAATCAAAAGCATTGGCGCGTTCCCGGACCCGAAGGAGCAGTTGTTCAATAGGCACACTATCTATCATACTACGAACCACAGCTCCCCTATGGTCGTATCATAGACCTCTAGGCGTAGACATATATGTTTTGCGGACTCGATTCGCCCATCCAGTGGTCCGCCTGCCGAAGAGCTCGGATTAGAAACTGAGAAATATCAAACCCTCTTACTATCCTAGCCTCCTGAAGCATAGCTATAGCCGCCATTGTCCAAGTGACATAGTTCTGCTGCGGCGTTGCGTTTTTGACGGGAACCGGTACAGTAGCTAAGATCGCCTGGATCTGATCGTTTGTAATATCGTTAGGCACCTTTCCTATCAGGACCCTGCCAATAAGATGACCGCTTTGAAGAGGATTAACTCCCTGCTTGGCCGAAATACCCAGTTACGGTCGGGATTTAGGTCTTGCCTTGCTACTGGATCAAGTACAATCCCATCGGACACATCAATCGCAAAGCAGTCGTGACCGGTCGATTTTTTTCGGTGTGATAAGGATGCTCCAGTGATAAGCACTATATTGTAGCTCAACCCGGTTCTGTCCAAGTGATAGTTCGTCACGATGATGGATCGAAACGTAGACTCGACGTTTATCGCTCATAGTCAATCTGAATTGTTAGCTCGAGGCTATATACAAGAGAAGCACTGCTTACAGTGTGTTTCGAAGACTAGTTGTTAAGGATACTCGTTGTGCGGGCCGTGTGGACTGTACGTAGGCTTTCTTGCTGGAGGCTTTCTCGAAATCCCTTCCTACTTATACACCGTGAATGGCGCTGTGCTGATTAGCCTGCCTAGTACCCCAAACTTAGTGTTAGCATATTCATTGGATAGGAGCCCATGAAAGACGGTACTTATCTCTCCAGCCTCGTAGGAGCTCTCTAAGTAGACTACACTAGGCAGCAGTTAGTATAAACAATAGTACGCTGCGCTTATGTGGCACAGTGCCAGCACTTGCTTTTAGACTACTCTTGACATAGATAATTTATTGAATAACGTTGGGATGAGGATTCCGTTCGAGGAGTTCCAACGCCTTAGCGCTTACCGTATATAGGGTTCAGAACCTCCATTAGTATATAATCATCGACCATGTTCGTGGTGAAAGTGCGAATTCGGGTATACTTCCCTTTTGGTCCTTCACCATAAATGGCGCTTAAACTTAGTATTAGCATATTCATTGGACGAGAGGCTATGAAAGAATGTACTTGTTTTTCCAGCTTCTCAGGCGCTCCTCAACGCCATGCAGTCTATCACCAGGCAGCAGTCAGTACGAACAAAAGTGGGCTGCGCTTATGTAGCACACTTGCTTTCAGCCTGCTCTTGGCATAGATCTTCCATCGATTGTCGGTTTGACTGATTTGGTATGCAGCTTAAGCCGAAGTCACAATTTGGATAAATGGCGTACATAAGCCGCTGCTCCGCGGCATCAACAGCAAACTTGCAACAACTCTCAAAAATAACTTCCAACATCGTCATGTATGTGCTATCCTTAATTCTCTCCGCTTAACCTAATTCGAGATAGGTGTCACAACCGAAGTATCACGGTTATATTGATCGTTAAGGGCAGCCCCAGAGACTCTATGAAGTAGTCATCAGCGACTACAGAAACTCTTAGTATGTGGGACCGGCTAACAACCCAGCAAATAACGAGACTACAAACTATCCGATCCAGCTTTGCAAGCATATTGGGCGCAACATCGGGCCACTGGTCAAGAGATTGCTCGTAGCAGCTATTGATCTATCACCTTGGCGCAGTCGATCATGCTTCCTTATCGTGCTGCTGTGATGAAGTCTTCTATCCTGCGTCTCTAGTAACGACTAAGCTTTCTCTAATGAGCATATAAGAGCCTAGATCTATGAGATTCCATATGTCGTTCGCATGAATTATGGTATTACTGGGTTTCATATCGTTATATGCAAGGACAAAGGAGTGAAGATGTGTCGCTACGGCCTTAAATTCTATTAAAGCAGAGGTCGATGTTAATTTCAGAGCTAGCAGTCCGAAGGTATTCCTCGAGTGTATGGCGATATCATTCCAAGGTAAGACTAAAAATACAATCGCGATGAACCAGATAGCCGTGATATCGAATAATATCAAGATAAGGATTCCGTTCGAGAAGTGCCAACGCCTCGGCTAACCCCCTGAGCTCGTTGTAGAACGAGAGTGGAGGTCCTTTCAAGACATAGTTCGTGTGATTTGTAGCCGCTCTTGTGATATGTGTGGGAGCTGAAGGATAGACGTCTTTTTCTGGAGCAAGCTTTAAATTTTCTCCAAGTATCTTAGGACGAAGTAGGCATCGTAGACCTGCCAAAGTAAACCCAATGGTCGTTATCGATAACGGTAAACGTGGAGTATAGAAATCGGTGCTCACCGTTAATAGACTTAGAGTGCTCGCAAAGTGTCTTTAATTGTTCACCTTTGGACGGGCATTACGTATTATAAGAGACGTCTATCCATGTATGGCGGCGTAGAGTTGAATGAGCGCTAGAAGTACTATCCATTCGCTTAGTCTCCGCCACTAGTAAGACTAATTAGTGTCTAAAGCTAATTGAGAATCCTTAGAAGATTTCAAAAATACATTTTAGAAACCTAGAAATTGTTAAGAATCGAGATAGATTGCGATATTAACTACTATGAGCCACTACACCAATTCGGACAATTATGTTTAAAATTCTCAAAACATGTATATATCAAGCGGAGTACCACACTGAATTATCGTTTTCGCTACATGCCATCGGGTAACACTCACGTGTAATCAAGGGATTCAGTCGTCCTTGTTTATACTAGCCCACCACAGAATTTATCACGTGCAGAGCTGGATGGCTCGGATCTTCCAAGCCTCAAAATATACGTTATTGAGTTTACATATATAGATATCTATACTCACTCTCCCTCCAACCGATTCGTTTCGATTTAACCGATCGATTCGACACTTCGAATCGGAATCGAATCGAAGTATACTGATTCGCTCAAAACCATAAATCGGATCGTGAATCACCGATTCTGTGGGACCTTGAATCGCCACTGAATTGATTGATGCCAACTCCGGCCGTACGCTGAATCAAATGTATGCCTTGTGGCGTAAACAGTGAGATGAGACATGGAATCATCAGGCCAACCCAGGCTGACGAATGAGAGCGGAGTTGTCTTACGAACGCAACAATTCCCGCCTGAAGGGTGTCCTAGGTGATAAGGGCGCCCGTATCGCGTGGGTCGCTATAAACAGTTCAACAGGGGGCTCCCAATTCATACTCACCAATCGCCAATATATATCCGCGTGCAGGCAGCATCACCGGAATAAAGCTCAAAAACGTTAATTAATTAGATAGTCACGACCTATGACCATAAGTACTAGTCTTATGGCAATAAGCCTGGCCTTTGTAAGTAGTACTCAATTATAGGCAATACTAGGGCATGTTATCATGGTTGAAAGATACGTAGAAGGATATGAGGTCCGCGATCGGTGAGTATTGGTAGCCCCTGTTGTTTCTTATGCCTTGTGGCGAAAAAAGTGGAACGAAACCCAGAGCAAGAAGGATGATAACACCAGAGACAGAGAATGGCTTTCAGGGCTTGTTGAGGCGTTATAAGAGTTAGAGATATACCCAGTAATCTAATTTATTCCAAAGGTCCTGCATCCTTCTTTCACTCAGGTTCTTCTCATTTTCTTCTATGAATTCATTCATCATGCCAGGTCTTTCTTTCCTCCTATCCATGCGATCTGCTGCGCTGGGACTCGGCCTCTTGGCTCTGTCACCCGCGGCGACAATCGCTGCTCCACTATCAACTGTACCTCGTCAAGATGCTAGCTCTAGGCAGCGGGCCGACGATCTCTGCAGCTCCATGAATGCTGACCCTGCAGATGGTTTCCAGAGCATTACCACGCTACCTACGGAGTCTGGGTACTCCACTGGAATAGATATCAACTGGTAAGTGATCTATGGTACGCCCCCGCCTGGAAGCATATAAATGAACCTCTGTAGGTCTGCCACTTGCCATAAGCAGGCCAGCTGTATCGTGAGACCCGAAGAGACAAGTCAGCTGCAGCGACTTGTCCAGAGGTTGGTCGAGAACGATGTAAGATTCGCTGTCCGCAGCGGTGGCCACTCGCCTAATCTACTCGCGGCGGCCATAGAAGACGGTATCCTCATCGATATGTCGGGCTTCGACGAGGTCACCATTGACAAGGATAACGGTGTCGTAGTCGTTGGCTCCGGACAGAGATGGGGAGACAAGATCTTCCCGGCACTCACCGCCGAAGGCCTGATGGCCGTTGGAGGTCGTGTCCCAGCAGTCGGTGTTGGTGGCTTCTTGCAAGGTACTGGTCTATCATATCTATCCGGCCGTTACGGTCTTGCCTGCGATAATGTCAAAAACTTCGAAGTTATCCTTTCCGACGGTTCCCTCGTCAATGCCAACACGGACGAGAACCCCGACCTTTTTAAAGCCATGAAGGGTACTGGCAACCAATTTGGTATTGTCACCCGGTTCACCATCTATACCTATCCTCTAGGCCAGATCTGGGGTGGTCAGAAATTCTACGGCCCTGAACAACTCCCCGCGCTCTTGCAAGCTTCCCTCGAATTTCAACAAAACGCTGCTTTGCATGACGTTGACGCCAGCATAATGCTTCTATACTTCCCGACTGGTCCAGACGCTGGCGGTGTGCTGAGTATGGTCTACCTCAAACCTGAGGCTAATCCTCCGGCCTTCGCTCCCTTCGAGAACATTCCCACGACGGACGATAACACAAAAATCCAGTCTCTTACCTCGATGATTGCCGGCGCGCCCGTGCCCCCGAACCCACGCTGGGACTGGTGGAACGTAAACTTCAGGCCTACAGCGGCGATCTATGATCATTTTCAACCGCTCCTCCAGGGTCAGCCTGTTGAAACCATTTCGTCTGTTAAGAACAGCACAATCGCGGTTGGGCTCAACTCCATCGGACCGAACGTAATTCAGCGTGGCATAGACATGGGCGGAAATCTCCTTGGCAACACGGTCGAGGCGCAGACGTGGTTTGCGATCAATGCTGGGTGGGCGAATGCAGCTGACGATGAGACCGTACATACGGCGGGCGGAGAGCTTATCAGGCAGATGAGAGATGTAACGATCAAGGAAGGCGAGCATATCGAGTGGCTGTTTCCCAATGAGGCGAATCATGATCAACAGGTCACCGGCTCATTTGGCGTACAGAACGTGGAGGAGCTAAGGAGGGTGAGAGATAAGTACGATCCTCAGCGCGTCTACCAGAGGCTTTTGCCAGGGGGTTTCAAGATTCCAGGCTCGTGATGGCAGAGATCCCTTCGCGGAGAGGGTCTCTAGAGTGCTATCAGCAACAACACAGCTTAACATAGTATACATATTGCTCGAAGACTAAGAATGGAATCAATGGATACCATTGACTGAGTCCGCTTGGGATCCTTTGGGCCCACCTGTCCTTGACCCGTCTCCCGAATGTAGCAGAAGGGCAGTGGATCGTGTATGGTGCTAGATGTTGCCGTTTCATTTGGGTAAAAGCGCAGTACGTGGGGTCCAGGCAGTCAGCCTTAAGCAGGGTCGTGTATCCACCGCCACCGAGGGAATTCCACGGGCTAATCATCAGCTTAGAGAGGTAGTGCCAGCGAAATTTCCCGATTAGAGACCGACCAGTTTGGGCATAAAAACGAGTCCTGGTATCGGGAACTGAGAATCTCGGGGACTCAAGATACTCACTAAGAATCCCACCATCCTCCCGAAGATCCAACGGAATTGCTCGAGTCAAGCTCGCAATCCGAGTGGTAACCCGCGGGTAGTCATCGCATGCAGGCCATAGAAGGACCAGCCATTTAATAAGTGGGCAGTAATCTCAGCTTCCGCTTTCCAGAAATGAAAGCCAACTTGAATTTTGGCTCAGTGAATGCACGACCGGTCTCATTACCATCCTCGATTTCATAATGCCGTTGCAAGCCGCAATTTTTGTCATGTCCCTCGAGTGCTCGCCTGCACACTCGTTCGCGCACAAGCTTGATATGGCCAAGAAGTACGTAATCAGCGGCATTGAGCTGTGGTGGGAGGATCTTTTGGCAGTGCGCAAGCTGCGAGGCATGTGTGACAAGCATTCCTTGCAGATAATCTCGATACAGTCGTTCTATCATTACGAGGGGCTTCGGGACCGTTCCATTCACGAGCAACGTACTGCTCGGCTCCAGGAGTGGTTCTAAGCAGCACACATCCTTGGCACCGACCTGATCCTGATTCCGTCCAACTTCCTGTCTGCAGAGGAGCTGACTGACGATGCGGCGGTTCGGCTAGCGGATTTGCGAAAGGTAGGTTCCAGTCCACCTCCACCGTCCACTGTTCAAGCATGTCGACGTCCATTGCACCGTGGCGTTCAGCCTTGCTCCATTTTGAACACTTTGTCATGCAGATGGCCGACTTGGGACTTGACAAACGACCAATAATGAGGTTTTGCTATGAGAGCTTAGCGTGGGACACAAATGCGGATACATGGGAGAAGAGTTTGGAGGTGGTACAGCAAGTGGACCGCCCCAACTTTGGCATCTGCCTGGACGCCTTTAACATTGCGGCCCGGGTCTTTGCCGATTCCGCCGCGCCAAGCGGATGTGCCCGTGATGGCATGAAGGAACTCGTGTCTAGTCTCGAGCGTCTGCGGTGTAGTGTTGAGCCAGCGAAGGTGTTTCTAGTCCAGCTTGTCGACGCAGGACGTCTCAAGGAGCCGTTGGTAGAGGGACATGAGCTCTACCAAGCGGCACAGCCAAGCCGCATGTCTTGGTCACGCAACTGCCGCCTGTTCTATGGGGAACACGGTGGATATCTTCCAATCAGGGAAATCGCCTGGTGTTGCTTCATGATCTAAAATATGACTGCTGGGTTAGTTCGGAATCATTCAACCGGCGAATGTCGGACGACGATACGGGAGTTGCTGAAGAACTCGCCAGGCGTGTTCTATCCCAGGATATGGATAGAAGGCAGACCGGGGGATTGCCGTGCCATGGTGGTTTTAATCGTGATCTTATCTCGCATTTGAATGCTGCCCCGTTGTAGGTGCAAGGCTCGGGTAATCTATGGTGTATCATGCATACATAGCATTGGCCCCTTCGTTTAATATCAATATGCAGCGGAGAGAGTATTGTTGAAAGGTGGATTTGTTCCCAGAGAAAAAAGATTATGCATCCATCGCTGGAGACTCGTAGAATCGGCGGCGTAGTGAGCACTAGTTACTGCAGTAAGAACACAGTTTTCAACATGGGTTGATCATGATCGCGTTCAAAACGCCAACTTGAACAACCTTGGATCTAAGGCACGCAATTAAGGCTGACATGGACACCTTAGGTATTATTAGGGCGTGCCTGGTGTGAACCTTAGTGCTTTAACGTCTCGCTCGCGGCTCTTCCAGTAATCCATCGTGATGTTCACGACTTTCTCCATCAAAAACAAGACCGAGGACGTGGCTGTTCGAGCTGATCAGCCTCGGACCAAAAAGAAGCCCGTCCCACTCGCCTGCGAGTATTGCAGGAAGAATCGCGTCAAGTGCGACAACGCCAAACCCTGCCGACACTGCACCTCCAGAAAGCTGAACTGTGTTTACTTGGAGCATGCTGACGTCCGCGTCCTGGTCAAGTATGTCCTTTGCAATGTCTTGGAGCGCCAGACTGACGTCAGCAGACAGGTACAGTGCCTGGTCGGCAAGGTCCGCCATCTCGAAGACCGCCTGGAAGAGGAGCAGCAGAAGACGAAAGCCCTCGCGGTACAGCAAGCCTACAGTCAACACGATGCAACGTCCATTCACCTCCGTCCCGCTACCGTCAGTATCTGCTCGGATGATCTAGCCTCTCCCACCGACGAGCCCTCGCTCCGGCTCGACCTGTCCACCAATGCCTATGCCGCAAAGATTGACACCATCCTCTCGCAGCAACAGGTGTGCGTCCCTCTCAGCGTCGCCTCCATAACCTCCGGAGCTTCTTTCAACATCAGCACGCACCAATTTCTTCCAAGCCCTCGTCTTCCTCTGTCGCGCAAGCTGCAGGACCATTACAATCGACTCTATTGGCGAAGGCTTCACCAAGCACTTCCAGTACTGCAAGCAGACTCGTACAAGGCACATTATGCCATGCTGTGGCATTCGGATGGCTCGCGCCACATATCTTCCCTTGTAGATATCGTGCACGCGCTTGCCGTCCAGTCAGAGTACAGTTCCAAAGTCCCAGATCTTTCCGATCAGCCAGGGCTTCTAGAGACCGATAGCGCTAAAGACAAGGCTCGGTCTCTAGCTAGCTCGCTTTTCCAATCGTGCTCAGACGTACTCAACAAGGAGCATGATTCTCCGACCTGGACTACTCTTCAATGCTACATCCTTCAAGTGCATTACCTCCATAATGAATGGAGACACAAATCTGCTTACCAAGTCCTAGGCCTGGCAATCCGGGCCGCACATATCCTGGGCTTGCATCAGAGAGCGCCCCAGGGAACTCCAACTGATGACCTGAATACACAAGACCGAATGCGAGATCTCCTCTTCTGTCTCGATACGCAGCAGCTCATTGAATATGGTATGCCATGCGGCCTCCCAGATCGTACCCCAAAACGATATATACCACCACCAGATCCTGAGAATAGAGACTTCTGGTTCTATTACTCGAGCATGATGATCATTGCCAAAAGCATACACAATCATTTGAACACAGATTTACAACCTTTAGCGTCACGTCCTACCACGGGTACGAATTCGGAGATCGGTTTCGATGCGTTGAAGCGAATGGAAGTAGCTTTGCCAAAGCTGTGTCTTGTGGTGGAAGCATGGGCAGAATCTCTCCCCCCCAAGTTTCAGCTGACTCAGGCAAATGGAGAGACATCCCTGACTATGAAGCCAGCCATGCGCATTGATCCTGATGTACCTGTATGGCATCTTCGACAATATGTCCTGCTGGATATCTCGTATCATTGGGTTTGTCTGACCCTGGTGCGATGGTTCTTGGACCCGAAGAGCAATGTTGAGCCATCCGAGGTTCAACCTTTCGACCAATTTGCAATCCGGGCAGCCCAGCACGCTACAGCTATCGTGAAAATCTTAGATGTTACCAACAACGAGACAGAAGCGCTGCAAGGCTGGCTCATCGCTCATCGGATCGTATGGGATGCTGCGCTTGCTCTGATCGGATTTCTTCATGGTAGACCCGGACATTCGCTTACCGCCGAAGTCATATCGGCGCTTACCATGTCGGGCACAATCCTAGAAACACAGGGCACGAGGTTCGCCCACGCTGCCTTTCCTGTTATTCGTGAAGTTCTCCAAAACATGGAGCCACAGAGCAGCGGTAGCGAAAGTTTATCAGCGGGCAGCTCGACACTATCGTCCTCTCGTGACATGGCACAATCACCTCCATCCTTGAGTTATCCTGACATAGACCTGGGTGACATTATGAATGACGCACCTCACGAGATATTTGATTTTCCTTCGGTGGACTTTGACCTGATGCCGATACTCGGACCGGCGCCGCTAGTCTTGCAAGACCATAGGACGAGACTTGAATCCGAATTACTTGATTACATCACTTAGCTCTGTCAGTATTCGGGATATTAATTCTCCCAATTGTAAAGTCTTGAGCGTTAGTCTCGGCGTTGTGGGAAACGCTTTCGCCCAGGTCGCGATGAGGGAAGCGACGCACTCATTAGGTACCCGTGTCTGACGCATGTCTCTCAACGATGGATGATGCGCCGTGCATTTCCTAGGCAATGCACCCCTGAAGGCACTCGGGCTCTACATAGAGATCTGCCGCTAAGCTCACGCGAGACTGGCTACATATGGTCTTCCGATGATGGCCCAATTAGGCTAGCCTGAATAGACCTTGCAGTTCAGGCGTATAGACCATGCCTTGCCTTTAAGGCGAGGTCAGCAATTATATAACTCTTTTACTTACAAGACTATTCTGTATGCTGGTCAAGGTACATCTCCGGCTATTCCAGTCCTCTCGTGAATTCCTCGCATCCTGTCGCTTCACGATGAATACCCATCCTCATGTTATTATCATCGGAGCAGGTATTGGCGGCTTGACGACTGCGATAGGTAAGCTATTCAGTTTCTTCCTCAATGTAGCTCTCTCTAACAGGCCCCCAGCACTGTGTCAAGTCGGATGTAAGGTCACCATTTTGGAGCAAGCTTCTAGGCTTTCCGAAATTGGAGCAGGTATACAACTTGTAGGCGCAACGTAACTAGCTTTTTATCCTAACTAATGTCATACGGGCCCCAAACGCTACACGCGTACTTCAAAACCTGGGCGTTCTTGCAGAGGTAACTATCTATGCAAATAAACCCGCCGGTCTTGTTGTGCGCCGCTACGATGATGATTCAGAGATTGGACCCCGCTCACATAGCGATGGCCTCGACAAAAAATTCGATTCTCCAATGCTAGTCATCGTGGGTGCGCGCCAGACCAATCGTTTGGAGCTCTGCTGATACTTTCGTAAGCATCGAGCCGACCTTCAAAGAGTACTGTTGAAGGCTGTCCATGCCCAAGGCGCCCGCCTTCACATGAGCGCTCGTGTCAAAACTGTCGACCCTGATTTCAACGCCAAAGTTGAGCTTGAGACAGGACAACAGTTCGAGGGTGATCTTGTCGTCGGGGCGGACGGGATAAACAGCCAAGTCAGGGCACAGATGGTAAGATATTGGGAGATCCCAGACGAACTCACAGCGACCGGCGATGCAGCATATAGAGTCACTATACCGCGGCACAAGCTGCTTGAATGTCCCGGCCTCATACAAGAAATTGATGGCAGAGTCAGCAGTCGGTGGATCGGCCCTCATGGCCATATCATGGCATATCCACTCCGTGGCAACGAGCTTTATAATGTGGTCATGGTTCACCGAAATGAAGAGGCTGGACTGGATAAATCAAACATATGGACACGCCGAGGACGTATGACGGCTTTATTGAGGTTCTATGGCAGCTGGAGTCCTCTGGTGAATATTCTGGCGAAACAAATCAACACCGAAGGACTCGTGCAGTGGCCATTAGAGACCCGTCCACATTTGCCAAGCTGGTCCGTCAATCGAATCTGTCTTCTTGGAGACTCAGTCCATGCCATGCTACCATATGTGTACGTGCATTTCTAAACGTATTGTCTGCTGGACTCCTTCATAACAAGTTTCGAACAGCGCCCAAGGGGCTGCGCAGGCTATCGAAGATGCCGCTGTTTTAGGCACTTGCCTTTCACAGATCAGTGATATTCCGCAGGTCCTTTCGATATACGAGCGTGTCCGCAAAGCAAGGGCAGAGTTCATTCAAAACTCTGCTTCTACGATGCGGACAGTCCTACATTACGAGGACGGAGTCGATCAGGAGAAACGCGATGCCATAATGCGAGCGCCGAGAATCGCCGGCTGGAAGCACCCGGATCTTTGGGCTGATGCAGAATACCAAAATACCGTTTGGGGTTATGATGTAATTGCGGAGACTCAACGAGAGTGCAGCAAATGTCTAGAACCCCCAAATAACGCAGAGAGGCAAGTGAAAAGACGGTCAAGGCAAGTTGAGTACGTAGTAGTCTTCATTCTTGTGCTCTTATTAGAGTGTATGCTTAAATATATCTGGTGGGGCTCCTGACATGTTTATGATTACGGACTCCACAACGAAGAGCACAATGGATGAAGTCTCCATGAACCTATTTCAAAGCCCCTTCGATAACTCAGCGTTTCTAAGCACTGCGGGTGGCACACTCTCCGACCTGAGTCCACCACTGCCTTCCCTTATTCAACTGTAAGTTTACTCTGATCTTTAGTCCCCCCACGTCGTCCCTCTTTGAAATTACGACCTTTTCCCCGCGTCCTCATCACCGCCACCTCAATCCGTCATAATAAAAATCATCTGACGTAATGTTCAGGATGTTTTCTGTACCATTGCTACCCAGGCCCAAGAGACTCTACGCCAATATTTTAAAGAACGATAAGCTCTCTTGTCCAGGGACCATGGTCTTACTCTGACGACTTTTTTAATTGTATCAGCGAATCAGCACTTCCGTCTGGCTTCACGACTCCAACCATCTCCAGAGACTCGTCTGCCCGTTGGAACAGACCCTCCCAATCCTCCAGGGTTCGCTCTTTGCCGCCGAATTGGACCATCATTTGCATATCTAAGGCTCTCATCACTCGTTCCCGCTCTCTGTCAACAGCTCCTGGCATGCTCATGACCTGTTCAGCGACGATGATGCTCGCGCCTGGTTTCAAGCACTGCGTCAATTGACGTAGAATCGTGATGCAATCTTCGTCAGCCCAATCGTGAAGGATATGTCGAAGCAAGAAGATGTCAGCGCCTCGGCTAGTCGATTTTTGAGGTTCAAAGAACGAATGCGGTGTGAACGTTACGCGTCCTTTGAGATGCGCTGGGATTGTTGCATCAGCTACCTCTTGAAGATTGGTGCTATCCTGAATCATCAAGGTAAGGCTTGGAAATGCGTCAGCAAGCATCACGCTCACGAAACCATTCGCTCCTCCGATCTATCAAACCGGCATCAGCGAGTCCAACGTCGACCAACGAGCCACGAACTTACGTCAACGACAAGAGCCTCACCTAGCGACTCCCACGCAAATCCTCTTACGACATGGCTTACGTCGTGTGGACCACCGTTCGTGATCAATTCCATGTACCGTCCATAGCCTTGAATAAGGCTCGGCCGCTTTCCAGCATACTCCCACCATGAATCTTCCGTGTGGTGCGCAACCTGAAACGGAGATTTTATCGCATCCTCTTGTCCCTGCTTGAGCCATCTGATGAGACCTAGTGAAGATGGCAAGCAAACTTCCAGCTGGTATGTAAGTAGGGGCTCCAACCTCGGTATCTCCATGGAAGTCACTGTGTGTGAAATGTATCCATTGCGGGGCTCTCGGAAGACCTGATATGTCATTGCTTGTCGCAGGATCCGAGCGAGTGTATCGGCTGGCAGTTTGACTTTGTCTGCCAAGGCTTCGATACTGATGTCACCATTTGCTGGAACTAATTCGGCGATTCGATAATGGTTGATCGTCTGTAAGGATACCAGACTATGCTTGTCCTGCGTTTTGTTAGATGCTTTAATCGCAGGCTTTGATGCAGCTTACTACGAGCGCCATATTTTTCGAAGTCTCAGTAGGTCCCTCCAGCGCATTGATCAAAAGCCGACATGCCTGCACTAATCTTGTACGGGCGTTCAGGCTTTCTCTAAAGCCATTCTCCGTCTTGCTGGGTCCCTTGGACTCATTGACTGCCTTCTGTTGCTCATTCTGGAGACTAGCATCATGTCGTAGGAAGTAGAAGCAGCTTTTGATCGTGTCAACCAAGGTATCTATGGTATCGACCTGTCGCGGCGGTGTAGTAGCTGGCGAAACAAGTCCAGTGCCAAGCGAGCCCATAATTTCTCTGTTCATGTGTCTGTTTAGGATGTGTGCAATGTGAATGTGGCAGTGTCAATGGTTCAAGCAAGCCTGGTGTCTTTAGTCGATGTGGTTAATGGCAATTCCGTCTTCTGCCTAGACGAGGTATCTAATGCCAACGGACCGTTGTGCCATACACGTAACGTGCAAGCTGTGCACAATCCTCATACCGCCTTCAGCGTTACGCCAGTCCATAGCCCGGTCGCTCCTAGGAGCAATGTGCATTGGCTACCCTAATGGCTACCTCCGAAACATGAAGGTAACGAGCGCAGGGGGGCAGATCTCCTGTTACAGATTTAAGCACTACTACGAGTAGTATAAGTCTGGTGAGATATCTTCCATTTGGGGTTAGATTCATTTCTGGAGAGGGCCGGAGCCCAGTCTAACCAAAAATAGAAGCTTCATGGACGTCCTCCATTCGTCTTCATTTGGCGTACGAGGTTGGTACACGCAGTACGACGCCATTCCACCTCGATGATATCTTGCTCACATCTTGACCGCGACTGACGACATGAGCAGCGTCTCTTTGACTATCCCTTCACTGCCAACGCTTCAAGTCGCAATACCATTCCCATACCCGTTCCCGGTCCCTCCATCCCATCCGCCAGGATGTCTTCGACCAAGACTCTCCAACAGCGGAAAATCTCGAAAGCCACCACAGCTGCCACTTCCCCAGGCTCCGAAACAGAAACTAAACACGCTGGGAATTATGGTGGCAACAGCGTCAAAGGCTGGGTAGGGTATCTCCCCCAATCATGGGTCCCATATATTCAGCTTGCCCGCCTCAGTCCCCCCGCTGGCCTCTTCCTGATCTACTTCCCCCATGCTTTCGGCCTCCTTTTGGCCGCGATCAAGCAGCGTTCCGACCCATCCGACGTCCTTTTCGCAGCGGGCAAATTACTCGCCGGTTCCTTCTTCGTCTCAAACGCAATTCACATCTGGAATGACCTGATCGACGCACCGCTCGACGCCAAAGTCGAGCGGACACGCCATCGTCCAATTCCACGTGGCGCCGTCTCCCCCTCCGCCGCGCTCGTCTTCACGGCAACGCAGGCTGCCGGCGCTGCTTATTTCCTGCCCACCATGGAAGGTGATACATGGCAGAACTTTCTGTACTCGGTGCCTGGGATATTGGGCTGGACTTACTACCCCTATGCGAAGCGCCAGGTGCCCGCTCCTCAAGCCGTGCTCGGATTCTGCCTCGCATGGGGCAACGTTATGGGTGAGAAGACGATGGGCGTCGAAGCCTTCACGACTGGACTTCTAGGCTCGAATTCCGTGCCCGCGGTTCAGTATGGGTCCGCGGCGCTGTTTGCGGCAGTACTGCTCTGGAGCATGATCTACGACACCGTGTACGCACACCAGGATCTCGAGGACGATCTCAAGAACGGCATCTTCAGTCTGGCGGTATTGTGCCGGGGAAAGACGAAAGTGCTGCTGTGGCTGCTGCTTGCGCTCATGGTTGGGTCGCTTGTTGGGACCGGGATATGGGAAGGACTGGGAGCGGTGTATTATCTTGGAGCGGTAGGTGGTGCGGCGGCGAGCTTGGGAAGCATGATTATCTTTGTAGATCTAAAAGATAGTGAGAGCTGTTGGTGGTGGTTCGGGAATGGGTTTTGGTATGCCGGAGGTGCAATTGCCACGGGATTGGCGGGTGAGTATGCGATGAAGGCAGGGCTATTGGATCTTGTCCTCGAAGGCCTACGAATGGAAGGGATCTAACGACGCGAAGTGATGCGATATCGGACGTGGGTATTCTCGAGGAGAGAACGGGATCTTGGTGGGTCGTCGACAACTTACAAGGCCTGATATACCGAGAATGTAAGCAGGAACAACGTCCAATTGGAGTGAGTAGATGTACAGCATGTTTTGCGGACCCATACAATGGCATTTCACTATGTAGGACTCAGAAGGAGATTGTATGAGATGCTACAGGGCCGGAAAGGCAACAGAGGTCATTGGAGTGAGGGCGGGAGTGCGAAGTAGCTTCTTAGAACCTTGTATTGGATGGACAGTCTTGAATTTTGGGTAAAAATTCGACTTGACTCCATGTAGAAGATCCAAAGTAAATGGATAGCTGTGTTGTTCAGGCTGTCGATTTACATTCGATCTTATGTCGACGCCGCAGGGCCATGTGATATATGACTTCTAGAAGTTCCAGATCTCTTGAGGATACACATAACAGTGCTGTCCGGAGTTGTCGGAATTTCACTGCGTGGAAACTGAGATCTGGGGATCCGGGCAATCAACACGGTGATGCTGTGAAGATTTGCGAACGAGACCCTTCGTGGTCCAAGAGAGTCTACAGTATTACGCCTTCTGTCCATTGCCCAAGAGGAGCCCACCGGTCGACTCGTACTAAGCATGGGTAGGTAAGTATATGAGCCATGGTTCTATAAAAAGACATAACACTCTGCAATATACGAAGAGCTGCCTGAGCCCTTAGTCACTGCATTTTTTACAGAGCGAGATAGAAACCTAAGAACAACCCGAAAGTACTTAACCTGGCATCAACATGATTTGGACCTCACTGTTTCTGGGCATAATATCTGGTATGGTTCTAGCGGCAGGTTCTATCTCGAAACTATCACCATCCGCAAAATCAGCTTGTTCAGAGCTCGCACACACGCTTGATGGGGGAGATGGGAGTATCGTAAACACACCTCCACTAAGTACAACATCCGTCGAAATCAACTGGTAAGCAACCGCGCCCTCGTTGTCTCCATTCGGGCTTGACCAACAGCTCAGGTCCCAATCATGCATCTTCAACTCCAGCTGCATTGTGCGTGCCCACAATGCGGAACACGTCTCAACTGCCCTGGCGATCATCGTCCAACATGAAGCCAAATTTGCTGTCCGCAGCGGTGGGCATTCGCCGAATCCGGGCTTCGCCGGTATTGCGGATCCGGGTGTGCTCATTAGCCTTGAGAATTTCCTGCAGGTAACCCTGAATGAGGATAAGAGCGTTGCTAGTATCGGACCAGGCACGCGCTGGGGGCAAGTATATGATACGCTCGATCCGGCTGGTCTCGCTGTCGTAGGGGGTCGCCTCCCTTATGTAGGCACAGCTGGTCTTGTTCTCGGAGGCGGTTTTTCGCATTTCTCTGGAGAGTTTGGCATGGCGGTTGATAATGTCAGGAATTTTGAGGTGTGTAGCAAGATCAGCTGTCTGCTCGAATTGACTGACCGGCTTCGCTGAAGGTCGTTCTTGCGAATAGTTCGATTGTAGATGCCAATGCGGATGAGAACGTCGAACTTTTCTGGGCTTTAAAAGGCGGTGGTCCCAACTTCGGCATTGTGACGAGATTCGATCTCAACACGATTACAGTAAGAGATATCTGGTACAGCATAAGAGCCTATGCCGTGGAGTCCGCGGATCATGTGTTGGATACCCACGCAGCATGGCAAATGGATGGTGGAAGGGATCCCAAGGCAACTGTAGCGCTCGTTATCAGTCTAGATGTCATCACTCTGGTGCTGGTGTACTCGGAGCCAGTTCAGAACCCGCCTGCATTCGCCGCATGGGACAACCTGAGTACGGCTGCCGTCCCAGTACCACCGACGCTCGGTACTGTCGCTTCTTTGACAAACACTCTCGGCGGCTCCTTCGAGTTGCTGCCCCAAAGGTAACAGGTGCGAATCATGTCGGAGTTCCTCAGACTAACACAAGCAGACATGATTACCGCGGAGTCAGCTCCAAAGTCGATGCTCAGCTTTACAAAGACGTCTATGCGCATTGGCTACCGGCCGCGTTAGCTACAAGGGAGAGGACCGGTGCGAATCAGACCTTCTCATTGCAACCTGTTCCCGCGAACATCGCGGCAGTCGGTGTCACGAATGGAGGGAATGCACTCGGTATTCCAGCCGTTGATCATCAGTGTAAGTGTCGTGAGTAGATCTCAGTTCTGGAAGCATAGCTCAAATTCCTAGGGTGGACTACATTGATCGACTGGAACAATGCCGTCGATGACGACGATGTTTGCTCAGCATCTTTCTCGACTACCGAGATGTGGACGAGCTTGAGCAGGGAGCGCGGACTAGATGTGAATTACATCTTCATGAACGACGCCTCTCGAGACCAGAACCCTCTCAGTACACAAGGTGCGGAGAATCTTGGCAAGTTAAGGTCTATCGCAGGAGCGTATGATCCTAGTGGTATCTTCCAACGATTGCAGAAGGATGGATTTCTACTTTCGAAGGCTTGATTCTATATATACAGTCGGATCTCGATATAACGATACGAAGACGGCCACGTCGATTACATCGGTATAGCGAGATTATCGTATAATTGATTCTTATATAAGCTGACCTTTAGGCGCTAATTGGCTACCTTCATTTTTAGACGATGTGAGCCCCTATTTCTAATTATCAAGGGTCTCCTCTCAACTCTACTAATACCTATTTTATATCTATTTATAACTTAACATAACGATAAATATAGGTAAAATAAGACAATTTATGAGATATTAGAATTCACGAAGAAGACACCTGCTATTTTAATAAAGTGGATAGAACCTATTATGAGTCCAAGATTAATAAGTAGGTAAGAAGAGAAGTAAATATAGAAGTAGATAAAAATAGATAGATTATCATAAGGTCCTTGATAGGCTGCGCGACCAGAGTGGCATTCCCCTCTAGGAGATGATGTTCATCGAGTACGCGATCTCCCCGGTGACAATGACTATCCTCCTCATCGATTGGGCCTGAAGACGGTCAAAGTGAAGGACCCGGATGGCATCCATGCTTGTCTCAGTAAGTAGGCTCAGGTCGAGAAGATGGATGCTTAAATATAGAGACCGAGACGGACGGTGAGTCTTGGGAATATTTATTGTATTTCCTGTCCCGCATTACGATCTAGTGATCGATGTAGAGCGCCAGCCTGATGTGCAATGGCTCTAAATCTACTGCAAGGGGTGGTCTTTTTGAGGACCGGCATACAACTGCGTCGGCTACCAACGCACGCGAAGTAATCGAAACTTCATCAGAGCTACCTGGAACCCTTATTAAATCTGCTTATTTTCGGAATTGAGGTTGTCAACAGATATAAATACGTGTTCCACTAGTGACTACTGTACTTGGTTAGCCACCCCTAGTGAATCGCGTAGCGTCTTCGTCTCTCTATACTAGTTAGTTTAGTGAATAGTCTCTTGAGACACAGCACGCTTTGTTGAAGTGTGAAGACTGCTCGATGCCTTAGAGAGACTGCGAAGTTACCAAGAATGCCGCCCTGATGACGTCCCTTCCCGAGGCAAGGGTGTGATGAAGAAGAAGCTTATTCGAGGCCATACGACTTCTATCATACATAGCCGACCCTGTGCCTGCGCGGTCATTGTATCGATGGTGTCGTCTCAATCAGTAGCTCGTAGAGATTGCGTATATATCGAAGCTGTCAGCTTTCAAGCGCAAGATGAAAGAGCAAGGTAGGCTTGGGCAGTGTTGTGGAGGAGAGGAGCGTTAGGTAATTAGGCGTTTCGGCTTATGAATCGATAAGGCAAATCTCGTGATATTTCTCATCATAACGTAGACATGTAGAATCATCTATACAATCACGCTGCGTACACTAGAGATCCTCGAACACATTCTCGAGATATTTCTGAACAGTCGTACCAAGCCGCCCAGGTACGGAAGAAGAACATCCGAAAACCGCTGGCAATGCGATTACATCTAGGGATGCATCAGGCATCAATGTCGACACCATAACGCCCGAACAGCAGTACGACCCTCCACCTGTACCTAGCCTTGATACTTCTTGAAGTAGAAAATCGACCAGAACAACCAGGCCCAAACCCAGACAACTACCCAGACGCTGAGCGAGCAGACACGGAAATACGCAACAATGATACATCAAGCATCGGATCACGATGAGAATGAGGTTGTTTCAGCTGAGAAATTGATTACCTAATAATCTATTTTGTCGTTCTCTACAGCAGTCGATTAGCTGAGCCGTTCTGGCGTGGATGAGGTCCAACACCGAACTATCGCGATGCTAGCCTTTCTCGACATAGTTTGTGATCTTAGCCCTGCTTACGTAAAAGTATTCTGAAGGCCTACCTTCCCTCGATTGGAGCTCAGATTCAATTCAGTTAGATTTGATTCTGCTCTCCCATTTGGGCGATTCAATTCGATTCGACGATATCTCAAATCGAATAACTTCAGTCTGTTTCGACTCGAGGTCCAGCATCGGATCGAATCGATTGGTGCCAACTCTGTGTCGGCGAGTGAAGCAACTGTCACTACTCTATCAGTTAGTGGGGGTGAGTGTTTCATTTGCTCTGATTCACATGTCAGGTTACGTACAGCGTAAGCACTACGCTGGCATCTGATCGGCGGCCCAGCTTTCTCGGTGGTCTCCTTTAGTCAAGCAGCTCCGAAGCAGGAAAGCCGAAAAAAATGAAATATGCGACCCAAAAATCTCTCATAAACTACTGACGTAGGTGTTCCTGTGTCGGATGATGTTGTACCTGTGCTGCGAGTCTTCTGCCGAATTCCAAGATGTTTCTATCAAAGGAAGATGTCTCGAAATTTCCGAACCCACTATTCGTGGCGTGAGTCTCACGTGGCTCTTTTTGATCCCAGGGTGTGTTTACAACATAATCACAGCTTCGAGGGAGCAATCATTGTGCGGCTCCTGCCTCATGCCACGAGAGCGTTCGTCTACGATATCACTTTCCATCTCAAACACCCGCGACTTCTGGCACTGAACTCAAAGAAGCCCCCACTACACTTCCATCCTTATCAGAAGGAGTACATGCAAGTCTTGGAAGGCGAACTCTTTGTGGAAGTCGATGGTGTAGAGATGGCATTGGCTCCGGAGCACGGTGAGATCACCGTGCGCCCATGGCAACATCATCGCCTTTATCCACATCCAAGCGGCGGTAGGGACACCATGAGATTTCTGCTATCGGCAGACGATACTCCGGAATCGTTCAAGATTGACAACGTCTTTTTCCAAAACTGGTACGCGTACCAAGACGAGGTTGTACTACACAAAGGGGGACATTTCGACGTGTTGCAAGTCATGAATGTAAGTTGATTTTACTTGGTGTTAGTCAACCCAATAGTTATCGGCTGAAAACGAGAGATGTTCGACGCTGGGGGTTCTTATCTCTCCTTACCGACCTGGATGCCTTTCCGATGTCAAATATCAAGAGCTGCTGGAATATTACTGGGAAGATGGATTGGCGGTCTTGCAGGTTATCAGCCATTTCGCGAAGAATGGACAACAGAATGGGAGCTTGCATGCAAAAAAATGAGCGAAACATGGACTCTGCGAAGATTCGCCCACGGCATACAATAGATGTAATAAACTGCTGTATCACTTGCATTGTATGCCTGATCAAGCAGTCCGAATAGCTACAAGCTAGATACAGAAATGGGAAGCCGCATGCTCAATCGAAAGTCTCCTCGGCGGTATAGAAAGCTGATGATGTAACACAGCAAACGTTCAAGATCGCTAATTGAGAGGAAGAGCAGACTCCCTGACGCGGCACCATTCCACGGTCTTTTTCCATAGATCGTCTTGAACATTCTCTTTCTGGCTGTCCGGCGAGCTTTCATCCTTCTTATACATTGTGAAGAATCCCATTTCCCCTGGAGAAGCCTTGTTGGTGGCGAACTCGGCGATATCGACCGCGGCTTCCTTGGTAGTCCGCATGGTAGGGTCGAGGAAGCGTAGAAGAGGACGACCGGGCCCAAGGATCCATTTCGACATGAATTGAACCATGGCAGGGGTGTTTTTACGGAGTGCGGCGGAATCAGTCATGTTACCGGGATTAACAGCGATGGCAGTAATATTGCTCATGTTATTCCTCTGCAGGCGACGGTTTAGAGCATGAACCCACATGGTCACAACCAGTTTCGACTGCGCGTACTTGAGGAAGCCTTGCGCCATATTATCATGGGGCTCTTTGTCTTCAGGGAATACGAGCTCATCAAGGTTCGAAGGGATAAAGACGGGAATTTTTTCAAGTCCGTTTTTACCTGGCCAATGCGCATCGCTTGAGAACAGAACAACACGACCTCCCGAACGCTCGAAGCTTCCAAGCAATCTTAAAACCAGAGCTGCGTGACTAAGGTGGTTGATCTGGAAGGTTTGCTCGTAGCCGTCGCTAGTGGTGATGGTGTCTTTGTTGAGATTCCAGAAATAAGCATTGCCGATGATGCTCGAGAGCGCTGGAAGCTTGCCGGTTTTGATCTCCGCGATTAGCTCATTGGCAAGCGTGTTGACAGATGTGAGCTTTGAAAGGTCCAGACCGCGAACCGTAGCCTTCCCCTTAGGAAATCTTGCAATTGTTTGTCGTAACTTTTCGGTGTTTATGTCGTCGCCACCGGGGTTTCGCACCGTCAAAAGTAGTGTATGTTCCGGGTAGTTCGTGAGTAAAAATTCGACGGTAGGGATAGCAAGCGAACCATTGGCGCCGGTGATAAGGATGGTGCCGCTCATTCTGGCGATGTAAAAAGTCACAACGATGGTTTATGATATTGTTACTTTCAAGGAAGAAAGGTGGCCAAGTAAGAGCTCATGTCCGCAGCAAGCTGGGTGAAGGATTCAACTGAGGTGGGAGTTTGGGTTGCCAAGAGTCTGAGCCACTGACGTTTATGGCAATTCAGAAATGCGTTCCAGCTTGGCACTGGGTAGAGTTGGGAGGAAGTGGTGAAGCCCACGCCCGTGTGGGAAACCCGGCGACAGAATGTGAGACCAAGTGTTGCGGCGCGTTGGTGGTCCAGTGTCTGATTTAGGGAATCTCTCGGAAGGGTCCGAATGACCCGAAAGCGGCTAGCGCACGACTTTTGACGCTCGGGCTACCATAACAAACCAAAGGCTTTATTGTACATTGGGGGCAGCTGGAGTAGCTTGATAAGCTACAGTCCCAGCCACCAGCGAGGGCCAGTCTGGGATCAATCAATCAGGCAATCTATCTTCTTCTGGCCATACAGATAGTACATTTCATCAGGTTCTTCGCGGAAGACAAGTCGGTCGGCCTGCAATGTAATTGGTAGTAGTGGATGCATTGAGAAGAATCTGCGAAGCGTTCCTTGTTTGGAATGTACGATTATTTGCTGCACTTTTTACCTCATAATATGGTGAGGGTTGTGGTATTTCCCTCCATGACACCATTATACGTTCCCTAGGCGAAGGTTCAAACTCTTCTCCAGAATGCCTTGGGAATCGAGGTAGGAACTCGCTACCGAGAATTTTGTTCTTGGAGTCTGTGTAATTTGATGCGCTTGTAGGGCAATAACGTCGATTATGCCCCTGATAGGACATTCGGCTGCTTTCCGATGAGATGATAAGGCTCCTTCTGCTTAGCTGACCTGCATAACTCTCGATGTGGATTATAAGCTTAGCTGACTTGCATAGCACGCGATATAGGTCATAATACCAGGGGCCATGGTAAGGTTGCACACCAGGTACATGGATATGTTGTTCGGTCAGTCCAGCAAAAACCATAAGCAGGTATTTCTTCTGAAATCCTCCGGATTCATATGCATATACTGTCTGTGCCGGCATCTAGCTGCTCGATAATTGGAGTAACTATGCCGGTCCCCAACTACCTCGCTCTCGGAGCAGTTCTTTTGCTGGTAACACTTTATTTGTTGTGTCTACCGCGACCGATACCCGGGATACCCTTTCGAAAGAATGCCAGCAGATCGATACTAGGAGATATGCCTGCCATGGCGAAACATTCTAGAGAGACCGGGCAGGTCTGGGATTGGATCGTATCTCAGACAGTGTCATTGAATTTGCCCATTGTTCAGGTGTTTGCGAGACCGCTGGCCAAGCCTTGGGTCATTCTATCAGACTTCCGAGAAAGTCAAGACATTCTGATGCGAAGAACGAGGGAGTTTGATCGCAGCACGCACGCTGGAGAGATATTCCAGGGACTTCTACCAGATCACCACAATTCCATGCTCTCAACTGCTCCGCAATTCAAAACCCATCGGAAGTTGATCCAAGACCTCATGACAACGGCCTTTCTAAACGAGGTACCCCAATAGAATATCCACCGTTATGGGCGCTAAATGATAATCAGGTCGCTGCGCCTCGCATTTATGGAGCCTTCGCCGCTTTATGCGATCTTTGGGTCCATAAAGTGCGATTGAGTGAGGGACATCCGTTCTCGGCATATCACGATGTTGAGAGAGCAACTCTCGACGCGATTTGGATGGCGGTTTTCCCATTGGCCCAGCAGGATGGACTGAATGCTCGTCAGCAACAACTTCTCTCCACGATACCGGACATGAATACATCCATGTGTGCTTCAAAAGATGATCCTGTGGAATTCCCGGAATCGCCAATGCCGCATGCACAGCAGTCGATTCTTACCCTTACCCAAAGTCTCGAGATAAGTATGAAGTCGCCATTTCCGAGATTGGCTCATTGGTTTCTTCGCCGAAGGTCGTACATGCGCGAAGCACGAACGTACAAGGAGAATATGATAGTTCGCGAACTAGAGAAAGCAAAGTTGCGGTTCACTGGTGGGCTAGATGGCGGCCAGGAGACAAGATGCGCCATGGACTTTGTTCTCCGCCGAGAGTTGATGTCAGCTGCTAAGGAGGATCGAGCTCCGAAGCATGACACCCGGATGCTGTTTGACGAGGTATTATACAGGTCTTTAGCCCATTTCCACGAGCCTGAACTAAAATTAATCGCAGTTGTTTGGTTTACTAGTGGCTGGACACGATACGACCTCGTCTACTACCTCGTGGGCTTTGAAGCTCTTGACAGATAACCCCTCAGTTCAGAGGAATCTAAGGAGCGCGATGAGAGCTGGGTTTCCAGAGGCCAACGCCGGGCAGAGATGGCCAACAGTGCTAGAGATTGTCAAAGCGCGCATCCCATATCTTGATGCTTCGCAGGAGGAAATATTTCGGCGGTCGATCGTTCAACCTTTCGTGGCGCGCCAGGCTGCGGTGAATACCGTCGTACTGGGACATCGCGTGCCCAAAGGTACTAACATCTTCATAATGGCGAATGGCCCCGACATTGTGTCACCATCGGTTGGATATCCCGGAAGAAAAAAGACATGAAAGCAGTAGAATAGCGAAGGGACGCACGGGCTCCTGGAATTCTTCTGATATCCATCTGTTCCAACCTGAAAGATGGCTGAGACAAGAAGCCAACGAGGTAGTATTCGACCAGAATGCAGGACCCATGCTAAGTTTTGGGCTCGGTCCAAGAGCGTGCTTTGCGAGGAGAATGGCATACCTAGAGATGAAGATAGCGCTGGTACTCCTTGTCTGGAACTTCGAGTTTCAAACCGTCCCAACGACTCTGAGTTCATATGAAGCGGTAGACAAGCTGACTCATCAGCCGGTTCAGTGCTACATAAGACTTCGGAAACTTTAGATATGCAAGGGAGGGAAGGCTAGCGGAGTGCACCGGGTGCGGAGATTAAGACGTAACGCTAACGCGACATCAACCAAGAAGGCATATGCTCAGGGGAAGTTCTGGCCATAACCTGAGTGAGAACGGTTCAAGTTATATATATCTGAGAGAAGGCAAGGGACATTGAAGGTATGCACGCCGAACTGACATTCCGAACGCGGTAGATGTTGTTGCCTGTTGACTGCGTCCAAGACTACTGTCTTAGCCCATTATATATATCTTAGATATGTATACACAGTGACAGCAAAGCCTGGTCTTAGCACAGCTTCATACTTGGTTGTGTATACGTTGTAAGGCGCACTGTGCAGGTGCAGCTGCCCTACAGGTGAAACACCACCTCGTGGCTACGATAATTTCACTGTTTGGAACGAATCACCAGGCAGCAGAAACCTTGTCTTGGTCTTTCATCGGTGTATAGATCGTAAGTCTATGGTGACTATTCTGTTGTAGTCTTCCTTACATGTCCAGATCCCAAACTACCAAACCAGTACCCCTTTACCTTTTACAACAAACTAAGTATACTCCATTTCTTCCTTTATCGTCGGTCAACATATAACTATAGTAGGTGCGGTAATGAAACTATGATCATAACCACGACAGAAGGCCACGACAGCCAGGAATCCTGACATCGATTCGTGGACTGTTTGGGCGCAGAATCTCCTTATATAAGTAATGCATCCAGTGAGTGACTATAAAGCTAGATTAAGAGCTTCTGTAAAGGAAGCTTGTCATATTATTGCGCAGAAATGGCGAGAGATCCTTCGCACCATCCTACTGTACCTGCTATGAGGAGACGGTCCCCAGACTATAGTGAACGGCATAACCTATGACAATAAGTCTGTCACCATTGTCCATCATGATATTTTTTAGGATTGCGGTCGCTGTGAGCTAGTCCGATAGAAATAAGGTGATTCACCACTCCATTCATCGCATTGAAGAATATATCGTAATCAACTTTCCATCTGTGAAATCAGGCTTCCAGCTCAAGCATGAAAGGATATCTAACCCGCAAGACAATCCTACACCTTTTTGTAATGGCGCTATGACAGTGTATGATGCTCGGTGCGTATCATGCTACCAGACTTTCATTATTCCAGCTCCGGCAAGGAGTGATTCTCGTAATATTTCTGTACCGATAAGCTCGTATGGCATGTTTTGGGTCTGCGACAAAGATGCTGCTTCGGATCGAAGTCGAAGTAGTTGTAAGCAACCCACACGAGCAAATGCCCTTAACGATAATCCTTCAATTCTGGCGACCGCACCTGAATACCGGCCTAGCCGGCTCTGCGAAGCCAAATACGCAGTTAGCCATAGCGAAGTAAAGCGGTAGCTTTTATTTACCGCCTAATTATGATGCGAGCACACTCTTATCTCTGTAAATGTTTTCACTGTTTCGACGAAAACATATCTGCCTAAGATTAAGCAAGCTATCATGTTTGCTGCCTTGCAGCATGACGATCATTTAATCGATCTCGCTATATCTAAATGTCATCAGGTTGCGTCGAATCTATTATTAGTTCTGGCTGTTCCCGCCATGCTACGCGGTGCAAACTATACTAGATAGCAGTTAAGTGGACTCATATATTGACAGCGAACGTGAGGAGACTCCAGCTATACAAGATCGGTTGGCTTCGAGGTATTGTCGACCTCATCGAGAATAAATACCAGAAGAAGACGAAGCTCTCAAGAAGTGGACCGGCCTACCGAACCTATCAAGTGTATTAGGAATACTGCCTGCAACAGTTGATCCACCGTGCCTCTCTTGACGCTACTGGCTCGCACAAACGTATATTAAGCGTCTACGACCTATTTTGGCTCCCCTTAGACGTGCTATATACGATGGATACCTCATATCTGTTCATTTACTGCCCTATTACCTACTCTTTGTGTGGCCTGCGATGATAGATAAAGCTCTAAGCTTTGCTGAGCCATAAGTTAAAGCTCGATGTTACACAGCAGGAGGTCAAACAAAACACATTCGTGGTGTGGTATCGCAGCTTGCCTACCTGATGGTATGTCGAGCTTTTCCTGTAGGTCATCAGTGCATCTCCGGTCTTGGTTGGCTGATCAAGGTTGACAACTTCCAGTCGCAGCGCCTTACTTGAGTTAGCGTTTGGAGGTGCTGTTCATTTCTCACAGTTCCCTTTTTTCTACAGTGCGTTGTAGGATCGGCTTCCACTCTCCATACGACCATCTGATAACATTTCTTGCGTCGTGAGTCTACTTGCTATTCCGCTAGCCTCATACGGTCCAGCGTTGCTATGGCGGCCACGTCCATCATGTAAAACACATTCAGTCAGCCATTTACATTTCATTACATGCACTTGTGAAGCGGATCCGAAATCATTCGAAAGAAAACCCATCCGATAAGAGTGCTTTGCAAGTAATAAATATCTGCTCTATAAGCCTTCTTGTCCATTTCCGTAAGTCCCTAGTTTTACGAGGATCTTGATCATCTAAGCCCTGGATGCCGAATGAACATACCATTTGTGTCCGGCGGCAATAGTGGTCTCCACTTAAGCGCGGCTAAACGCTGCTTGAGATCTATATAGTCCCCAGACGAGGCTACAACACACGTGTACCTAGACAATGTACGTTCGTACATTGCTTTCGCCTTCTCCGGTCTATATTTTAATAGAAGATCCCCGAAGTTTTGTAAAGTTTTATTAGCCGCTCGATAAGTATCGACGTGGTCGATGTTGATCACATCATCATACCCTTCCAGCGCTCGTACGTACATCTTCTCCGCTAGCTTTAGCTTTCCTTGGTCTGCATAGAGGCGGCCTAGGTTGTTAACCACGGAGAGTGTCGACGCGTGCTTCGGTCCAAGTGCCTCCTCGTACCCTTGCAGCGCTCGCGTGTATAAGGTCTCTGCCGCGTCTAGCTTGCCTTGACTAGCGTAGAGGCGACCCAAGTTGTTGTATGTATTAAGTGTCGACGCGTGCTTCGGTCCTAGAACCTTCACCTTCTCAAGCAATGACTGCTTGTACATTGCTTCTGCCTCGCCAAAGTTGCCCTGGTCCTTAAGCATGCTCGCGAGGTTGTTTTTCGCTGAACTCGTGTCGGGATGCTCGTGGCCAATAATCCTTTGTCTCCTCTCTAACACATCTCTTTGCATTTCTATTGCTTTGCTGAGCTCACCCTGATCTTTGTATGAGCTTGCGAGATTGTTCATCGCTGAGATCGTGTGGGGGTGATTGTTACCAAGACTACGTATCCTTCGGTCCACCACATGAATTCGAATGGCTGTAGATTCTTCGAATTTACCTTGGTCTCTATAGAAACTAGCAAGGTTGTTTAAAGCCGTTATCATATATGGGTGATCGTTTCCATACAAGCTTTTCGTCTTTGCTAGGACTTCAATTTGCAGCTCCACTGCCGAGGAATACCGGGCTTGTTTCCAGAATATCGTTGCAAGGTTCGCCATGCTTGTCAACGTAGAGGGATGTTGATCACCAAGTGTCCTCTGTTGTGCTGCCAACACACAGACTGCGATATTCTCCGCCTCAATCCAGCGTCCTTGATTCCAAAGTGTTGTGGCGAAGTTTGAAACACAGCTTAAAGTGTCAGGATGGGTTTCGCCAAGTGTCCGCTTCCTTATCTCTATTACCTGTACTTCTAGCCGCCCAGCTTCCGTCCATCGTCCTTGGCTTCGGTATGTGGACGCCAGGTTGGCTTTGATAGTCAGAGTGTCCGGATGCTTCTTACCTAGTGTTCGCTCCCTTATTCTCATCACCTGAACCTCTAGCTGCTCTGCCTCGTTCCATCGTCCCTGGTCCCAGTATGTGGACGCGAGGTTGGTGGTGAAAGCTAGCGTGTCCGGATGCTCATCGCCCAGCACTCGCTTACTCGTCTCCACCACCTGTACCTCTAGCTGCTCTGCTTCGGCCCATCGTCCTTGGCTTCGGTACGTGGACGCGAGGTTGGTCATGATAGACAACGTGTCCGGATGCTCATCGCCCAGCACTCGCTTACTCGTCTCCACCACCTGTACCTCTAGCTGCTCTGCTTCGACCCATCGCCCTTGGCTTCGGTACGTGGACGCGAGGTTGGTCATGATAGACAACGTGTCCGGATGCTCATCGCCCAGCACTCGCTTACTCGTCTCCACCACCTGTATCTCTAGCTGCTCTGCTTCGACCCATCGCCGTTGGCTTCGGTACGTGGACGCCAGGTCGGCTTTAACAGTCAAAGTGACCGGATGCTCATCACCAAGCGTTCTCTGTTGCTCGTCCAGGACCTCGTTGAAAGAGTCTTCAGCCTCATTATACCTACCGTCGTTGAGAAGACACAGACCAACATTTCTAGCTAGTTTCGCTCGATAGTCGTTATTATCGATCACGAGCCGCTGCCTGAGTGTGTACATTGCGCTCGATAGATACGGCCTCCATATATCCCTTTTGTTGTGATTGATACTTGGAAATTGATCTGCCAAATGGGCTATAGTTTTCTCAGTCCATGTGCGTAGAAGGTCGTGCTTGGACAGCCAGTTCCTTGTGGCTAGGTGTACCAAAGGATGCACATCGAGCGATTGATTCATATTTCTCCATGCCACAAAGGAGTAGGCATGTAGTATCCCAATAGCGTCAAGATGCTGTTTTCGCGAAGCGCCGCATGGGAGTAACGTCAGCGGAATGTCTTTCGGTTCGATGCAGGCCATAAAGGATAAGTAGTCTGCAGCGGTAGGATTATCTCTCCTGATGTGCTCGAAAGAAATGAGCCAGGTAGTAGCTATCGTGTTGTGGGTGCCTGGATACCTTCCCTCGTCATCGAAACCTTCACTGAGCAATGCCATTGTAGTTTCGTCCTGCTCTTTAAAGAGTTTTAGATAGGCGGCAATCGTGATGCCATTGGTGTTGATATACGCCGACGCCTGGACGATAGCAAGCGGAAGGTTGGCTAACGCTTCTAATAGAGTCTCTTCGATAGCGAAGTCAGAGGTGAGCTGTGGTTCGGCGAGACGCATCCTTAGGAGTCGCAGAGATACTTGTGGCTGAAGTTCTCCTATTTTGATGACATTCTGTTGCGATAGCTTCACAGCTACCTTCCTGTTTCTCGTCGTGAAAAGAATGCTGCCTTTGGGATTGCTCGGCAAGTGATGTACCAATCGATCCTCTGTCCCCTTAGTCTGGTGAAAGGCCCACATATGCATGTCGTCAATATTATCGAGCACGAGCAACCACGGATTCGTACTCTCCTGGTTCAGGTTGGCGTGCACCAGACGTATGACGTCCGCACTTTTCTCATCTCGACCAGGGATGTCAAGCTTCTCTGCGATCGCTCGGTATGACTGTAGAAGACTCTCTGAATCGGTCGCATCCGTCCAGAAGACTGAGAAATCTTTGCGTTCATCCATCATCCGATAAGCAAACTCCACAGCTATCTGTGTCTTGCCTATACCGCCAAGCCCGACGACCGCAATCTGTGAGGTATGGCTGCGCTTGGACAGTAGTGATTGCAGCCTCAAAATTTCTTCTTCTCTTCCAACGAAATGCGGATTGCGTTCGAACGGCATGACGGACACAGCACAAGTTCCTAAAGCTTGTCAACTTGAAGAAAGCAATTTGTATCGCAAAAGCCGGTCTTACCATCGTGTTGCGGCCACATGCCTAATCTAGCAATACCCTTCTCAAGACGGTGGAATGCGCTTTCTTCGCCCTCTCCGTATATGAGCGGCATGTAGACATTACAGATACCAAGCATAGAGTACGCTTTATCCTCCGGTAGAGTGGTCTGCCGGTCCCTAATCCAGCTTAAGCGCTCTCCAAAACTAAAGCTATCCAGATTCCCTGAGCGGAGAGCTTCTGGATCTATACCAGTCGCGGTATAGATAGTCGGTAGAAGCGACGCTTTATCGCCTAACCTAATACCCTTCCGGGAAAAGAACTCAATCCGACGAGGTGCGAGCAGCTCTTGGACCGTCCACCCGCGACTGAACCAGCGGCTATTTCTGAACTGTGTATTCCATGCAGTATGCGAAGAGTGTGCCTTCGGAGTATCAACATCAACATCTGTGAGGTAGACATAGCATCGCTCTGCCTGCTGATACCAGCGATACATGGAGTTGATGCTCTCGGTAAGCTCGTTGACATTGAATTTGTCTATGCAACATGTATCGATCCAGAAATATTGGAGACCGTCATTTCTCGCCTGGTTGCTGCAGAACCGAAGCTTTTCCATACCTTCTTTAGCCGTCCCAAGACCCCTGGACACATCGTTGTAGGTAACTTCCTCATCACTCTCGTGAGCCCAGGTGTGCGAAAGGATTGCGTAGGCAGGCGTGTCGGTTCCAGAAAACGAGGTGAGCTTGACACTACCATCGTCGGAAAGCTTCAGAAGTCGCATTTTCAGTTCTAAAAGATTGAGTTATAGTCTTGCTGAACAATCTAGGTAAAGGTTATGCTGCATGACAATAGAGTTCACTGCAGATTGTAGAGTAGAGCGGGACTTGAATGAGTTCTGGCGCGGGTGAGATCATTGAGGTCCAAGCGTCTCAGGACTCCAATAACCAATACTGAAAGGCATCGGGAATGCGGGGTAGTCACATCCATGTTGCAAAACTGACCTCCAGTGTGTCCTTGTGCAGACTCCAACACGATGGTAATGCGTTTGCCGATTACTTTGTCAGGGTAGGAGTTTGAATTGCTACTGCAGAATACGATTGCTAGCGGATCGAAGCAGCTTGACGACTGAGCTTCATCAGTCTTGTTGTGTCATGTGTATATGTTTGTGATCTTCGTTTGTTTGAAAAGCAGTATGATTGTACTGATGCCTGCTGGCAGGTGTAGTAAATAAGAAGACCTAATCGTACCGATGGAACACCTTGGCGAAGGTATTGTACACTGCGTTCCACGCGTACCATATATTGTCCAAGAGGGCGAGCAGTATGACGGGAAGGGTTTCCTTGAATTCCCGGTCCGCTGCGGATGGAATCTTGGAAAGAACGGAAAATTTAGTGTCCCACCTAAGTCGAAATTCCGCCCTGGCCCTCTAGGATCTTTGGCCGGACTTCTCCAGGCCTGGCTCTTTTTTGGATTGCTCTCCGAAGTATTAGGGAGCAAACAAGTCGTTGTCCTGCAACATTTCATCACCATAGATGAGCACGGAAAGCAATATCTCACCACGGAAAAGCTACCAGGTTACCTGGAACAGTGGAAGAACTCCGTAGATAAGGATACATCACGGAATTTCGCCACATTGATACGAATACACGTCGCCCTCAAGAAAGCCCATGACCTGGTATCTCGTTTTTGTTCTGTCAAACCTAGGAATGAGAGCTCTACTTGGCCTGTGGACGAGCGAATATCCCTTTCTTTCATGGTTCTTGGCGAAACCCTTACACACGCCTATAACATGATCGTCAAAGCTACGTCAATCCATTCACATGATATGAACGGGTTCAATCTTGGCAGCTGGGGTGAGAGCGCAGTCATCAATAGAAGATTCACCGAAGAAGGGTGGTGTCCTTACACCGTCCATACCCTAACAGGCATAATTGGTCAACGGAACAGCGGGTTACTACTCGCCCTAAGTGTCTCCCACCCAAAAGCTCTTGCATTAAAACATGACCGTTGCTCGCGCAATGAATGCATTGCACGTAAGTCGGAAAATTTCGGAGGTAGATGTTTTAAATTAGGAGGCGACTGCACCTGTGAGCACATTGGTCCTAAGGTCGGAGAAGTGCTTGCAGTCCTGAGAAAGGGCAAGATCCCACTCTTGCAATATGATAGTGGAAGGCAGGTTCTAGAAGTGGTGGAATACCGAAGCGGTCTCAAGTATTTTATTATTTCGCACGTCTGTACAGATGGATTTGGCAGCGATACCAACTCTATGTCACTTTGTCGCATTAAGTATCTCCTGGGAATTTTTGGGAAAGTGACAACGACGGAATCAGCTTGGTGGTATGACAACATCTCGAGCCAGCTGCATACACCATACCTCTTCTGGATTGATACCCTGGCAATCCCTTTCGAAAAGGCTCATCGGCTCGAACGACGAGTCGCTATTCGATCGATGGATGAATTCTATCAAAACGCTACATGCGCCATCGTTCTCGATGCTGGAATAATGGAGCAGGAAATTGGCCGTACTTTCGCCTCAACCGCTATGAGAATTATGACAAGTACCTGGATTACTAGACTTTGGACTCTACAAGAAGCTTTCCTAAGTAGACGACTCCTTTTCAAGTTTAAAGATGGGATCATTGGAATTGACGAGCTGGAACGCATGGACAAAATGACCGTTGTCTCACCGCTCCCCTCTATTGCCCAGTTATACCTTAAATGTTTGCTGGGTCACCAAAAGTCCTTTATTTGGGGAGAAGATGCTGGAACTATCAACGGCAATCTCATAGGATCGATATGGAAGGCGCTTCAGTCGAGAACGACTACCCATGCGCAACATGAGCCACTCGCTATCGCCATTCTATTACGTCTGCCCACTGCTTCGCTAGATGAGTCAATTGACATAGAGCCAGCAACCAGAGTAGGTAATCGAGACAATCATGATCGGATGGTGAAGCTTCTGAACCTTTGCTCGAATCAGACCTTTCCTGCGGGCATGGCATTCTTGGGTGGGCCAAAAGTTGACGTCCAAGGGTACGGATGGGCCCCACTGTCATGGATGCAGACACAGGGACGCACCCGTGTAGAGGCAATGAATGCACCGTCATTCGATGCAATGATCACTAGCGAAGGACTGCGGTTCAGAAGTGCCGGGTTCATGATTCATCCACTATGCGCTCAGTCAGAAATTTTGCATGGAAGCACCCTAGTTCTGACACTAATCGAAGCTGCTTTCGATAAAATAACGATCGAGGCCATCGACACGGTGGGACCTGAGTATTGCTATCCTAGTGATGCAAATCTCGCAATCGTTCTACAGCAGGAAAGGCCAGAAGATGCACAGCAGGTTGCTTTGCTAGTGATAATCTATAAGACCATGGACAACACCTTGTATTCATCCATTATCAAACGCGTATGGGTCTCGATAGGACAGAGAAACTCTGAGACTGATCAATTAGATGCTTTTCCAAGCACATCAGATACGATTTACGCTATCCCAACGAAACAAGTCCGGCGCTGGTGCTTAGATGGGCCACGCCGTTTTTTGAGCACGTCAAAGCACGACAGCTCTAGCAGAGGTGCCTTCGCATGGTCCGACATCCGAAAATGGGCCTGGAAGGAGCCACAGATCTGGGCTGAAGAAGAAGCGCTTGATGGCGGTTAGTTCTCATTCCCTGCTGCCACGTGTTGGTGTCAGGCACATCATTCTCGCTGAAGTCAGTAATGTGACTGTCATCGGTGTGTAGGCGAGTGCTGCACGGGTACGAAGGGACAGACTTCCTATCAATCAGTTCAGTTCAACTTTGGGCATCTAGTTGAACTGGACTGAAGTACTTCAATCCTAGCCGTCGTAGAATTGGATTGAACTGTCAATCCTAGTAGTAGAATTGAAGTTGAACTGGACTGGACTGAAGAATATTAGTAAGATTAGCTAAAAGTCTTAAAGATAGAAAAAATTCATAGTATTTTGAGGCTATATATCTATATTACCTATATAGTAATTCTTAATATAAGTAAGTAATAGGCTAAAAGGAGACTATTTAGGTTATTAATATATAGCTATTAGTAGAGAGACTCTATGTGGTTTTTTATATATGAGAGTGATGGATAAGTCACGTGATAGTCACGTGATTATCACGTGGCTTCACTTATTCCATCACATGATGGCTCACGTGATATAGTCCATGATCGCTTACCTAGCAGGAGTCACATGCTTATTATGTGATCACGTCACATGACACATCACGTGACATTGAGTCACGTGACATCTTCCTCATGAATCTACCCGAATCACCTAACCTCAAGAGGATATCTACTAATATACCTATCTATATATAACTTCAGTTCAACTCAACTATTAGCAACTCAATCCTACCCTAGAATTGAATTGGACTGAAGATCCAACCCTTGGCAAGAGGCCTCAGTTGAACTGGACTGAGTCAATTCTGGAGAGGCAGAATTGAAGTTGGACTGATTGATAGGAACTCTGCGAAGGGATAGAAGAGATACTTGTGCTGAAGTACACGTCAATACTTGACACGGTCGGCAACCAGGGCATTTTCTGCGTAACCTAAGGCAAGCTAGACGAGGCAGAGAAGATATATATGAAGGATATGAGGAGGCACTCGGTACTGAGCTCGTCAATACGTATATCTCCGCCCTTAGTATATCAGGTAATATAGGAGACTTCGTCTCCCACAATAGGCGCAAGCACGCAAGATAAATGTACATAAGAGCTTTATCTGGATAAACGGTTGTCCTTGGTGCTGCACCTCTCGGCCGGCATTTTTTCGTGACCATAAGTATCATCGAGGGTAGCAACGCGAATAGCATAACTTAGCTAGAAACAAATATGAAATGCGCGTGATAAAACTTTAATACACTTTAAAGACCTATCTAAGTGTTCTATCGACTTTAAAATAATAATTACCGGCATAATAGGCTGGATATCGACGCTAAATTGGTTTTAGGGTATGGTCGTAAAGGTTGGTCTAGTGATTGCGCAAGCACCGGTGGAAGTTGGAACCCTAAGGAAACGTCGCAGGCGCGAGACAACTTCTTCCGTTTGACACATACGACGTAACAAGGCCGCAAATCAAAAGACTTCCCGAACCGAAAGCGAAAACTTATGAAGGAGCATTGCTACGGTATCTCGAAATCTCTAGGGTCATATAAAGTGTTATCTCTACGGACGGATACGGAGATACGGAACGGCTAGAAGCTATGTGTAAGGAAATATATATATTCTGATTAGCGCTCTGTCAGACCAGGATATAATGCCGATGGTGTTAACATTACTACTTCGCTTTCTATAGAAATGGGAGAAGTCGCGCGGGCGGAATGCTATATGATCTAAAAGTCGGCCCGATCTATGGTAATTAGTATGGATAGTGTTTTAGCTAAGTCAGTCGTCTAACGGTCGTAGTGATTTGCGCCTGAAATAGAAGATATATTTTTCTGAACTCGACAAAGAATATATTTTTTTGGTGCTAAAATTGTGCATAGCATCCGAATTGGTGTAGTGGCTAACATCGCTGTCTCTCATTGGTATTTTCCAATCAGTACACAGCAGCCAGGGGTTCGATTCCCCTATTCGGAATATCCTTTTGGTTTTACGCCGAATATACCCACGTAGAATTCTTTTTATACTTCTAGCTAAGAAGGCTCAACATTAGGTTAAAAATGATCTAGTAATGTAAAGAGACGTTATTATAGATCAGTGCCTAGCTAGAGAGAGAGGTACGAGCCATTAGAATAAAATATCATTATAGATCTATCTATCCATATCACGTTACTACGGGACCGGCCGTAGCCTCTATGAATGCTCTAACGTCCCCTTTACTCCACGAACCTTCGAAACCAACGACGCATAGTCTTTCAACTAAGTTCGTAGTTTACATTAACTAGAGTGTCGATGGGAGGGAGGCTAAAGCAACGATCTAGACCGCTAAAAGCCGCCCTTTCATTCGCCCGATTAGCGCAGACAAGATCCCAGCTGTACGCAATTCATTGCTGCCATCCCACAATTTCTTCATCGCTTTACTGTGCGTATCACGTCTCCCACACGATTTTCGTCCTCTTGTAAAGTGGGAGGAAACTATAAGCATTCCTAACATGGCCAGCGTCGGTTGTTGACTGCCGGGAAGTGATGGCTGAGAGTCTACTTTTATTAGCTTGTATATAGATATAGAAAAATAATGAAATCATTCTCATCCCGAGGTTTCATTAGTTAAGCACGTATCTTACTAGTCTATATGGATAGCTTGGTTTGTGACTTGTAACAGTATTGCCAAGCCGGGCACGTGCCATGTCTGAGCATTCCTCACCCGTTCACTCGTTCCTCAGCCGAATTGAGCCTGAGTTCATGCCACGCCAACGTTTCAATATGCCATCCCTGTCTACCAACGAACATACATAGGATAGCGGCTGACTTGCAGCTAGGACCAACTGACAGTGACACGGACTTGAGTGGCCCACAGTCTACAGTGCTCGAGAAGATTATGCCATCCCGGGAACGCCGTAATCACAATGTTGTTTGAAAACGCTATGCGGGCTATGTCACTGGTCATCGAGCTCCACAGTGGCACGACATTCACTCCTGACATGCACGAAAACGATCCCACGCCGTGTCGGGTGGTCTGCTAGAATTCCATAATCCTTGGTATCATGCTGTAGCCCCCCCCCTCCTTCCTCACGGCGAAATTATTAACGCCGTCGGCGACAGCAGTGACACACTTCAGGCTCAAGCACATTCCGAGTGCCACAATAACAGAAGCTTTCCGTCCGTGAACCTCGAGAAATCTCGTCGATGTTCTCCACTTCGATCTTTGTGTCCACGTTCGTCGCCTTCTCGCGCCTTGATATGTGTCCACGCTTCTTATGCCTTCTCCTCGTGGACGTATTCATTTCCTGTCCGTTCGTTAATGCGATATCCGTGAAGAGCAACATATTGGTGATAGCCCAGAACGACAATACACTATCCACGGCGGATGCTGTCCTGAAAGGATACGGGATTCCATACACCAACGAGCTGATAGCCACATCGACCGACAGTCTCCCTAGTCTCAATGACTCCGCGACCAGTGGCAATTATGGAGGTTTTATCGTCCATGGCACCGCCCTGAGTACTGGACAGCTGCAACAGATCTACAGTTACCAAGCAGCGTTTGGTGTTCGAATGGTCCGATGGGATGTCGTGCCCACAGCAGAGTTTGGAATGGCAGAGGCACGTAGTGGCTGCTGCAACTTAGGGACAGAACAGTTGGTCTCCATCACCGATACTACGTTCTTTCCCACGGCTGGGTACAAGACCGGAGCCGGCATTACAACAGAACAACTGTGGCATACACCAGGAACGATTGCAAACTCCTCGATTGCTACAGAGGTGGCACAGTTCGCCAGTGCTGGAACCTTCAAGACTTCTACCACCGCAGCAGTGGTCAATAAGATTGGAAACAGAGAGCAGCTGGTCTGGTTTATGCCCTTCGAGGCCGCATGGTCCGTCACTTCGCATATCCTAATGCATTCCTGGGTTCACTTCTTGACCCGGGGAATCTACACCGGCTTCAGACGCGTCAACCTTGGCACCCAAGTCGACGACGTCCATCTAGTAACAGGCCTATATTCACCCAAGGGCTCAACTTTCCGGCTGCGCGCCCAAGATCTCGAGATACACAAGACATGGCTTCCGACCATCATCTCCAAGATGAACCCAGGATCCAACTTCTACATCGAACTAGCTCACAACGGCAACGGCAACGTTGCAAACGCCTCCTCCCTCAACTCGAGAACATGCAGTCCAGGCGCCATCACCTACACACCCAACCCCGAGACGACGGTAGAGTTCGTCAAGCCCCCAGGCACAGGAACAAACGTCTGGCCCAGCAGCCCAACATCCTTCTCCTGGACGACGCAATGCCTCGCCCTCGACACAATGGAGCAATGGTTCGCCGCGGCCGCCAACCTCAACACCTTCGCCCACCTCTCCCACACCTTCACCCACCTCTCCCTCAACAACGCCACCTACGCCGACACCGCCCGCGAAATCGCCTTCAACAAGGCCTGGCTCACCGCCTCCGGCATCGCCAGCGCAACACACTTCTCCCCAAACGGCCTCGTGCCCCCCGCCATCACAGGCCTCCACAACCTCGACGCCCTCCAAGCCTGGCTCGACAACGGCATCTCCTCCGCCGTCGGCGACAACACCCGCACAAGCCTCCTCAACACCCAAAACGAACACTGGCGTAAGCAATCCCCCTTAACCACACACAAACATACATCCCTAACCAATCCCCACCCCAGCACTCCTCCTCACCGCCCCAGCCCCCTTCACCATCATCCCCCGCTGGGCCACAAACATCTACTTCAACTGCGACCTGCCCGCCTGCATCGAGGTCGAGTACCGCGACGCCTCGGGCGGCACGGCAGCCACATTTGCACAGGTGCTCGACATCGAGCGCGAGACGAACGTGCGGCACCTGTTTGCGCTGCGGCGCGACCCGTTCATGTTCCATCAGGCGAACATGCGTGCCGTGGACGTGGCGGGCGGGAAGAGCCTGTTGATGACGTGGATTGAGACTGTGGTGGGGGAGTTTGTGCGCATGTAGGTCTTCTCCCTCCCCCCTTTTTTTGTTTCCCTTCCCCCCCCCCCCTTTTTTTACCGCTCACGTCGTTCTCATTTGCTGAGAGGGATGCTGATTGACTGACTGACCGTGTGTAAACAGAGTATCCTGGCCCATTCTCACGCTCACTCACGACGCCCTTGCGCAGGCCTTCCTCGCTCGGCGCACGCGCGACATGTGTGAGCCCTCGTTGGTGTATAATCTGAATGCCGCGGGCAACGCCATCGAGAGCGTGACGGTGTCGGCTACGAACATGAATTGCGCTAGTCCGATCCCGGTCTCACTACCAGGAGATGTGGTAAGTCGCGGGACGGCGACGGCGGAGCAGGTTGGGAGCGACCCGTTGACACTGTGGGTGCAGCTGGCAGGCACAGCGCAGACATTTGTGCTGACGAGCAGCGTACCCGTCGTTCGAGGCTCTTGAATAGACTCTGGCAGAAAAGCGGTACATATACTATGGTGTCTCAAGTCACACAGTAGCACATAATATAACTGTCGAAGTTCAACTTCATTCTACTACATCTGTTCTCTCTTCCAGCCCTTGAACCCAATTTTCTCCTCAATACGAGTTACAAGGTCTATATCGCCCTGTACGAGCGTAAAATAAGGTGAATAAGGCTAAAAACCAAACGCAAGTCAACAACAACCGCACATTAAAGGAGAGACTTGTGGAAGTCCACCAGCAAGACACCATGTCATAACATGCTTGGCGCTGTCGCGGCGCTATGCGGGTATGCAACCAAAGAAAGTGAGACGTCTTAAGCAAAGTGTTAGGAGTTATAGAGATAGCAGTAAAATGCCAAGGTGGTAGTACTAAACATGACAAGGAGAAGATCGCTCAATCAGCAGATAGGAACCGGGTATGCACAGTTGGAACCTTTTTTCCGTCGCGCCTGTATTCACACGTTCACGTTGGAGTCGTTATAAAGACGCAAGTCCTAGTAGGCCTGGCCTCGAAAGCCGCCTTGCGGTGGTCCCATCTCGATGTCGGGCAACCGTGGGACGCGTGTTGCTGGTGGACTGATGCTCCTGTGTGAACCCCGACCACCAAAGCTTGCGGCTTCATCAAGTAGGCCACGGCGCGTCTCGCTTGGGTTGCGAGTATGACGATCGTGGTCATGGTCACGGTATGACGTATCAAGATGGTCGACCGAGTCGTAGCCGTTGTGGTTTAGAGGAGCAGCGGACACCATGGGATGACGGCTGTCGTCATGGCCTTTGTACTCGGTCGTGTCCATAAGGAGAGAGTTGCGCGCATCGAGAGGAGTGAGGTTGTCGAGATCACGGTTGAGTTTTTCTATACTGGGTTAGTATTGTCCTGATAATAACAATGTTAATACATACCGGCCTCCTTTCTCTTCTTCCTGTGTGGGTTGTCCTTGCAGCACATAATGATGGCATTGACTGCAATGAGGATCGCAAGAGCACCTGTCAATGTGGACTGGACAACAATCAAAACAACGCCGGTAACGGTTTGAGTGGTTTGGGAAAGACCAAGCTCCTCAACAAAGACCAGGATGCAGACGACAGACAGTACACGAACAACCTGGATAAAGATGTTGATCCAGTTGCCAGACTTTAGAGTATATGGACGAGACCACAAGAGAAGACCTAGCAGTAGGGACTCAATGATGATCTGACCACCAGTTTGGACAAGTCCGTGGCCGTTGGCACCTGCAATAACACAGCCCTTGGCAAACATGTAAATGATTGCGGGAACGAAGATCCACCAGTAGCTCTTCTTGTAGCTGTCATAAAACAAGCTGTACTTGATCCATGTGTCTTTGTTCTCGTACAAGCCGGACACGTCGCCTTCAGACCTCTTGTACTTGTTTGCAAGCTGGTAGATGCGGAACGTGAAGAATCCGAGGACCGCGGTAAACATAGCGAGGGTGACGCCGGCTAGTGTCTTTGCTGCCCAGGAATCGCCATTGGTGAATTGGTAGACACAGTACAAAACCCACACGCCGTAAAGGATAAGAATCAAGTTGGTGATAGTCTTGGCCACGAGCCACCAGTACCGTTTCCTGAAGCCAGTGAGGCCTTTGGGGAACGTGCCAAAGAGAGCCCAAGTCTCGAGAATGACTTTGAATAGCAGTATGCCGACGATAATGGCACCAACAACACAGGCAAAAACCAAGAGGATGGTCATAAAGGTGTTGGCTTGTGGGATAGTAAGCGCTTCGACGTAGCCCTGTATGTTGGCAACCAAGTGTTGGTTCTTTCCTTCGCTTTCTTGAGCACCGGCGTCAGTGTTGTTGTCGGAACCGACTTGTAGATCGTCTCTGCCAAACAGAGACAGCGAGTCGAGGCTGCGCTTGCTCACCGTGTTCTTTGTGTATACTAGTGTAGAGTTTCGGAGGTAGGCCACGCTGTCTTCAGTAAGATTACCACCAGTCTTTGCACGGAAGTTGTCGATACTTGTCTGCAGACCGTCCCAAGTGACCAGACCCGAGCTGAAGGCAAAGTTCCGGCTGAAACTTTGATAGACCTGAGGGTACTTGACCGACATCATGCCGTTCAGAGCAATGCCCTGGAACCATCCCATAGTCTCACCGAATGTAGGACTCGGCGTAGGAGTACCCGGGTTGCCCGCTGCACCCAGGGCGGTCAGACCGGAGAGAACAAGTGCGGCTCCAGCCATACCTGCGGTGACATAGGACACCGCGGCAACATCGAAACTCTTGCCATTGTTGACTGTGGATTGGATACATGAGAGAATTTCACCACTATCCTTAGTCTTTAATTCAAGTGTTGCCATTCCATCGAGGTTAGGAACGGTGAAAGCGATGGCAGGGATCTTGTTTAAGTATTCTTCAGGAATGCTCTGAATGCCGCTGGCTGAGAAATGCCCCTGTGGAACTGTAGTAAAGTTAGTTTGGATAGGCGTTTAGTTCAATAGAGGCTTACTTGGACACATTTGATCCACCTTGTTCGCCTCGTCACAAGGGTCAAAGTCTTTCTTATAAACCTCTTTACCATATGCAGTCACGATGATGGTACCCGTGACCTTTTGTTCCTTCAGACTGGTACCAGCGACGTCGAAGTTGACGACGTTTGCACCTTTGCTGTACTCGATGTTGACCTTCTGGACACTGACGTCTGTATTGGCAGCACAGTTGCTGAAGCCCTCGGTCCTGAGAACATCGTCTGCAACTGCAGTAGAGGCCAATAAGAGCGTAGAGCCCAGTAGTGAGGATACCGTTATCCTCATCCTGTATATGTGTTTGCGATAGGTGAAGAGTGTTTTGCTGATGCCAACAGATGGCAGGCGTTACAGTCGTGAACCCAGGCGAGATGTTGGGTTCTTGTAATGGATCGTGATGGATTCGAAGTCGAATGTGGAAGACAAAGAAACAAAAAGGTGTATTAAACGTAAGGTGTGGGCCACGCAGGATCAACCTTTGTCGCGGCGAAGAAAGGTGAAAGGGGCGAGATGAAGATGCTGATGGAAGGTTGGAGAGCGTGATCGTGAGGTCGCCCGAGATGGTGAGGAGTCAGAACGAATGTAAGAAGATGGAGAGACTTGAAACGAGAGAGGTGAGAGAGGGGTGAGGAATGGAGAGAGAGAGTAAGGCTTGGAACGAACGAAGGCGTGAGAGAGAGAGATGCAGAGAGAAGCAGAAGTAAAGGTGTGGAAGCGACAAGAGGACGAGCGGTAGCGTATTGTGTTTCGAAATTGGGAGCGCGACGGATGATTGGACAGGAGGGCGGGCTAATTGCTAGTTGCTGGAGTTGCTGGAGTCGCTAGCCGCTATTTGCCCGGATCGTGTGCGTAAACCCCTGGCGCCTCGATGCCCCAAAAGTCCAAATCACAAAAACATTAACTAATTAATAGTGCGAGCGGGCTGTTGGGACTTGGGCCCTTGCTTTGAAGACTGTGGCCCACTCTATCCTCGCCCCTCGCAGTAAGATGCACGATTTTCGGTACGGGACAGCGTCTTTTGAGTAGGGCGCGCGGTGTGGAAGATGTGAGATATCTGGCGATCAAACACGACGAGGTAACAGCAGACCAGCGTCCTTTTCAGTCAGATCAGAGACACGCAGAGCTGGCGTTGATGGCTCATCAGCTGGACAGAATACGAAGCCTTTCTCTGCTGCAACTGCAACTATAACTCCAGCTTGACGGTGAGTGGGCGTGGGACGTGGGCCCGCGATATGCGTGGCTTGCGCCGGAGCTTATTAGATTCTAGAGGGTCTAATGGCAACATGGCCGCTTGGGGATGACCCGCTGCTACTACCTCCCCCCTAAAAGGCATGACCCGCCCTAACTTTTGGCGAGTACCTGCCTAAATACCGTGCAATTAGGGGTCTCTGGTGCCGTCTGGCCGCCAGTTCCAGCGCATCTCCGCGCCCCCGACTTCCAGGCTGCGACTCTTTGTGCATGACAGCCGTTGCGGGACAATGGGAGTCGGGACATAGATGTAACAGCATGCACAATTATCCCTCCGATATGGCCGCAATCTCGCGCCTTGACTTCTTCGAGGACATGATACAACAGCTGTCAAGAAGAATTACCGAGTACATGTGTCGTTATTGTCGCATGGCACACTGCTCAATGCGTGTTGCACACACACACATGTTACGTTGCTGAGATCCACCGTCACCATAACATCCATTTTTCCTAGCAACAGCGAGCAAGGGCCAGGAGTGGCTAGAGGCAATAATCTTGGAATGGAACCGCGTGGCAGTGCAGCTCTGGCAGTTTCCATTCCTGATGCGCCTATTTTTGTCCACCTTGCCCCATGCCGTTGGCCCGTTGTACATCGCAGAAATAGATCGAGGGAATTGACATTACTGTGACAATAGCAGAATATGAAGAGCATCTTCTTGTCCATCATTCTTTCAGAGCGAAGGCCCGTGTTATCGTTTTGTGGCGCAGACATCCTTAGGAGCCTCGAGCATTGACCTTGTCGAGCTTCATTTCAATCATCAACCAGTCCCAGTACTATGTATAATGCAGATTGCAACCTCACGCCTATGCCAGACACCTCAACAAAAGAGACAGCAGCGGCGACTTGCATGACAATGACATCCTTCGCCTCGTTTCAAGAGTCGAGATAACATCTTGGCCGCCAGCCAAGCGCCACAACCACTCTATGTTGATATCGGGAAAATTATGCTCTATTTGGACAGTTTTATTCTGTATAGAACACTATTATTACTTGTATAATGAATATTCTACCCCCTTTATGTTCAAATGCAAAGTACTCAAGTACGATGGTGACGATGTATTCTACACCCTCGCGCGCTGCCCCGAAGGATTCTGCATGCACCGTCATACCGCTCCTCAGCCCCTCACATTTCACTCTCAGCCTCAAAATCTCGTCAGTTCCATCGTCACTCATGACATCGCTTCGCTGGTCACATTCTTGGAGTGGAAAGCGAAATACCTGGTACTAAAAATGCAACGTAAACTTTAAGTGCGAGGGCTCATCAATCATCCATCCCCACATGCCTTCGATCAAAGAGCTAAACTGTCCATATTTAGAGACGGCCGAGTGGGTTTCTCATGATAGGCGTCCTGATACGTAAGCAGATTACTGTCTCACTGCGTTTTCAACTTCTTCTAGACACGTCACACACACCACTCACTATGTGTCTCTCCTGCCCAAATGAGAGCTGTGCCTAACCAACTCACTACGTTGTGATTTGCTACTCTGTGATGAAACTGCTGGCCCTGGCTAAGATCTATACATCTATGTAAACTCCTCCTCGTGCTCAAAATCTCCGTCTCTATCGTCCATCTACCTCTGAAATGATGAATAGCGAAGAAGTGTAATAGAGTTGAAAAGCGTACAGTTCTTGGACTGTATCAACGACTAATAGCTCAGCGATATAGCGCGCACGCAATACGTCCGATGGGATTTTCCAAGTCGGGCTTCATGTGACCACGTAACATGTTTTGGTCAGTTTACAAATTTGTCACTGCTCGATGTGCTCGCAACGAAAGTCGCTTGTCCCTACATTGATCTCCGACGACTTCGATCGAACCTCAGGGATTGGGATAGGCCTGTTACTTGTTCGTGCAAGGCCTCGATCATATCTGACATATGATCTGTTCGAGTACGCACATACAACACTTGATCCATGATGGACATGTCTGCAAGTTGAGCTTCGGTGACGATCTGTCTGCAAAGATCATCAACACGGCACTCAACGCTCTAGAATCCAGATATGGGCCTACATGTTGTCATTGACATAGCTCCTCGCGATCTCGATATCCCTCTCTGCTTTGCCGAGTCTCGTGATAAGCGTCTCCTTGAACCACAGATATCGCAGCAGACTCTTGAATCGCGTCCGGCGATGTATGTCCAAGCCCGGCACCATCAGTCGATCGAAAAGGCTGTTGAAGGCGAACATGGATGCCATAGCAGATTGGACAAGACCGACTGCAGTATCTAAATCTCTGCCTCGGGGGCCTGTCACGTCCTGTTCTAGACATTTCGATATTGTCTGCTGGACTTTCTCGATCGTGGCGACGTGCACTCCGAAGCGTTGTTTGGCTTCTCGCATTTCCACGGCTGACTGGCGTGCATCTTGGCTTAGTTGGTATAGTACCAAGTATGTACCTGTCAGGACGGCATAGGCGAACGTGAGGATGCCGGTTATGCTAGCGGCGACGGATAGGTTGCTGTCATTGCAGTCTAGAATGATAGTCGAGTTTGGTGAGACCTCCATATTGAGAGAATTCGACCTTCTTTGTTACGCATATCGAAGACGAAGATGTGATATCGTGGAATCGTGAACCCCTCAGCTGCATGTTGTCAGCTACAGGGGTATTACATGCATGATGATGAAAAGGCGGCCAATATCAACGTTGACGTTGTTCTGTACTGGAAAACGATCATGAGTACTAGGAAACAGACTGTGTAGTATAGATTGGCAGATTGAATAGAAGTACAATGAAGCGATGACGAGATGCCATACGTCAAGATTATCAACCCGTCCGGTGATATGGCAAGCCTTGAACTTCACCTACGTAGAGACTTACCTCGACAAGGCGACCATGGTAACAATGAGAACATCTGCAAGTGTGGAATGACGAAGCTGAGAATGTAGCTTCCTGACCAAAACACAATTGATCGAATATGAAGTGCCATGCGAGCCGAAGTTATGCTCACCGACAGTAGGTAGCCATCATGGCGGTGCAGGTGTATACGGCGTCCAGTGACTCTTTTGCTCCTAAATAAGTGATAGCAGAACAAGCATGCCTTCGTGCCGTTTCAGGCTGACATAACCTGTCAACATGTCTTCTATACGGCCTCGGATTCGCTCGAAAGAAGCGCTACAGAAGACCGTGGGAAGATTGCATTGCCACCAAGGGCCGTGTGGAATGCTTAAAAAGTGGATATCTGGCGCCGAAACATCAGTATATCACACCGGCTGATTGTGGCGAGGCTCTTGAATTGAAGGATTTCGAGTGTAATATGCAAAGTCTGCCCTGTCAGCGAACAATCTCGTGCTTGTCATGATGTTGCTGGGATAGGCTTAAGCAATCGTCGATGGCAAATGTCGTCTGCCGTCACAACCGTTCCCGTGTCCCGATGCAGTATCTTGGATGGATATGGAAAACGTTATACTGTAATGCCTGCGCGATACGTACGACGAACATCCATCCGGAATGCGAAACCAAGATGCGCTCCAACTGTTCCTGTTCACAAGGAAGAGCCAACACTGAGGCTCAGCTGTTTCCGGATCTGTCCGCGATGACATATGATTCGTCTCTCATGGCCAGAGATCAAAGAACGGCTGGCGGCAAAGATTTAAGATTCAAGGCAGAATCGATCAAGAGACGAAGTGCACAGCCCCGTCAGGAAGTCGATGATGGGCATGGATGTGCCTCCGGGAAGCGCATGACCGAACGCGGATCGAGGGCTAAGCTTTACAGATGCAGCGCTAGGCCACGCGACGGCTGGCTGCTTTTCTGGAAGCTCAACATACATTTCACGCAGTGAATTGCGATTGAGAGATCTCTAGAGTCTAGAGACAAAGTGGACTGTGGTTGTGATAGTTACCATAGACAATGAAGCTGTGATAATGCGTAGAAAGGGCTTGACTGAATTCCTGGCTTCTAGGAATGCCAAACAAGCTCGGGGTAACTGGAATCTCAAAGCGGCAAGGCGCAGTCAGGAAATGCGGAGGAAGCTAGGTAGGGAGCTAGGGCCACATTCACATCCCTGGCCATCTGTCAGAGACGCAGAATGCACTACGTCTATATAACACGCTTACGTTCCCCTCATCTGTGATCGTCCCCGCAGCAGTCTGTGTGCTTGACTACTCTGTATACCTCACTACATCCACCTCATATACCACCTATCATACACAACATGAGTGGAAAGTCACCTGTCACGAACGGCCAGTCGTCGCACGGATCTCACGAACCTATTATCAAGGTCCAACCGCCACGCCGTGAAGACCTGCAACCATCCTATGCACAGGTTATCAAGCCCGATACTGAGGATGAGGCGCAACATGGTTGGTATGGTGGAATGATAAACAGCCTTGGATCGATCATCGGAACTTGCGGTGCGATTCCATGCTGTTTCGTATGCCCCAACCCTTTCAAAACCGTCACCCAGGGTCAAGTTGGTCTGGTAACGAGGTTTGGACGCTTTGCGCGCGCAGTCGACCCAGGTCTCGTTAAGATCAACCCGTTGTCTGAGCGCCTGATTCAAGTGGATGTCAAGATTCAGATCGTTGGTATGTGTTAGCAGGGAAGCGTATGTCGCCAACGACCACTAACAGCCGTCTACAGAGGTCCCCAAGCAAGTCTGCATGACCAAGGACAACGTCTCCCTGCATCTCACCTCTGTCATCTACTACCGCATCACCTCGCCACACAAGGCTGCCTTTGGCATCTCAAACGTCCGCCAGGCGCTCGTAGAGCGCACACAAACCACCCTACGCCACGTCGTCGGTGCCCGCGTCCTCCAGGACGTAATCGAGCGTCGCGAAGAAGTCGCACAGTCCATCCGCGAGATCATTGAAGAGATTGCACTGGGCTGGGGCGTCGAGGTCGAGAGCATGCTAGTCAAGGACATCATCTTCAGCCAAGAGCTCCAAGACTCGCTGTCCATGGCAGCCCAGAGCAAGCGCAGTGGTGAGGCCAAGGTCATTGCCGCGCGCGCCGAAGTCGAGAGCGCCAAGTTGATGCGTCAGGCCGCCGATATCTTGTCCAGTGCTCCAGCTATGCAGATTCGCTATCTCGAGGCCATGCAGCAGATGGCCAAGTCATCTAACAGCAAAATTATATTCATGCCTGCTATGAATCAGTCGGTTCAGGCTGCGATCGCGCAGAATCATGCGAATGGCGAAGCTTCTTCGTCGCAGCAGTACCAACAGCAGCCTGAGGATGATGGAATGCAGTCTATTCTCAACGCTGCCAACATCGAAGCCATGGGCCGTCGTACCGAGAACATCTAAGCATGTCTATGGACGGTGGGTCTGTAGCTTTGCCAGACTGTAATGATTTGATGTTGTATTGTAATGAGCTTGATGGTATTTCATGGTGTTTGATAATATCCCGGGCATAGCAGAAGATGAGGCGGCACTGATACCCTGGACGTTATTTTTCAATTCCAATATTTTGCTTCAATATTTTCTATACGTACTGTGGAATAAACACATCGCAACTCCTGGCTGTTTCTCCTATGCTCGACGCGCCAAGTAGTGAAACCCGCTGTGTGCATTTGGCATTACGATGGCCTGGAGAAATATAATCATATACCGCTGGGAAATTCGCACACTTACCTGTAGTGGTATGTAGCCCCCAAGTGCGCATTGCCACATCACAAAAATATGTAAACATTCGCCCGATTTAGTAAGCGACCATTGTACAGGCGGCACCAGCAGCCGCAATTCTATTGGTGGAACACCATCTTGATGTCCCAGACTGTATGCCTTAAAACATGATCATTGCCGGCACAGGCTCGTTCGAGGCTGGATTTATAATCTGAATCGGTGTTCGGCATGACGTACCGCGTATGCTAACCACACACTAGTCTATGGACGTGAGGAGCATGCTACACATATAAAAGATCACAGTGACTTCGCTAAACAGAACCATTACCAGTCTTTGAGGTGACCCCTGGAGAAATAGGACCTTGAAATTTCATCAGAATGGCACCCAATTACGACGCCACATCTCTCTTCTCCGTCAAGGGCCTCGTCGCCGTCATCACGGGCGGTGGATCCGGTTTGGGCGCAAACGTAGCACACGCACTGGACGTAAGATCCACGACCATACAGTATACCCCATCACTCACTAAATGACTCTCGCAGGCGAACGGTGCAAAAGCAGTCTATGTTCTCGGCCGTCGTGCCGAAGCTCTCGAGCGCACCGCCGCAGAAGCCAAAAACGGCAGTATCAAACCCATCGTATGCGATGTGACAGACAAGTCACAGCTCGCCGCGGCCGCCGCGAAAGTGTCCTCGGAATCCGGATTCATCAACGTGCTGTTTGCAAACTCAGGCGCCATCGGGCCGCCAACGGGCGATTTGCTGTCGCGCGACACGCCGCCTTCTTTGGACGAGTTTACGAGCAGGCTGTGCGAGGTAGAGATGAGTGACTTTACTCAGACGATGCATGTCAATGTCACGGGCACATTCTTTACAGCGCTGGCGTTTGCGAAGCTGCTGGACGCAGGCAACAAGGCTGCGAACGTGGTTATGAAGAGCCAAATAATCGTCACATCGAGTATTGCGGCGTATACGCGTGTGCCGGCGGCGGGGTTCAGTTATTCATACAGCAAGGTTGCGGCGTCGCATATGGTGAAGCAGTTGTCGACGGTGCTTGGGCCGTATAAGATTCGGTGCAATGCGATCGCACCAGGGTTCTTTCCTAGCGAGATGACGGAAAACATGCCGTGGAACAAGACCGGCAAAGATCCGAGGCAAGAAGGCAACTTGCCGGCAAAAACTTGTCCCCTGGAGAGGACGGGTACTGAGGAAGATATTGCCGGAACGGCCATGTGGCTGATGAGTCCAGCAGGATCGTACATGAATGGATCTATACAGCTGATTGATGGGGGAAGAGTAGGAGGTCAGCCAGCGACTTACTAGACTTCGAAGCTGGGAGAGTGGAGCGATCATTAATGTATGGCCATTAGAGACTTAGGAGGCGGGAAACGATCTCTATGATTCGCATTCGTGCGAATCTAGATATCTCTGAACCCCCACTGCACATTGAATATCATTGGTAGCTGTGATACACACAACAAACTTCCCGGCATTGTGGATACGATAAGATGCGGAGGTTGCGATAGAGATATAGAGTTGGGGCTATATGTTAATGACAAGCTTCGTGGAAATCGCGAGTACCCGCTTGAGAGATGATGTGCCCGAAAAAATCAGGACAGTGCGGCCATCATCGTAGAGCTGCCGCCTGTACAAGGAGGGGAGAACAGTAATGATATCGGATCGCTGGGATGATGTCTATCGTACGTTTGATGCTGATTAGGTCTAGGTCGTGAAGACACTGTTCTGCTACAGTAGTCCCTCTTGATGCTCTGGTATTTGCACAGCAGCAGAATCGTATGTTCTCACCGGAATAGAGGAGGTACAACAACAGTCGACAGTCGTTCTCACTGGTAATCGAACTGGCATTGTTTGGGACGTGGGGCTTGTGAACGCAAGATTATGTTTATGTTACGTGAGGTGAGCGAAGAAATGCGTTGCAGATGTCAACGGCTGACACGTGAAAGGCGTCAGCCCACCAGATTGTGGCTGATGCTATCGCAAAGATGTTTTTCGCCATCAACGCGTCCGCATGGTAGCGCCATTATTGCGTAACTCCAGCGAGTCTGGGCAGAGCTAAACGAGGGTTCAAAGATGATTCGTGCAATTCCCTGCATTGATTCGTGGTCATAGATTTATGAACGGGCATTGCAACGTTCGATCCGCGGGATTTCAGCTCAATCCGTGTTCCAGGCCTCTTCTTAGGAATCCAATGTGTACGATGTCCGCAACATGTGGGTATGATGCGTGCGTAGCGTTCGCGACGGCGCGTTGCTTTGCGCAAGATAAGGTGACAAGGCCGGGCCCATGTGTACTACGCTCAATATCCACCACTCCACGCGGGCTGGATAGGAAGCGACTCAATGCATTGAGACTCGCTGCCGAGAGGCGGGCGTGAATCAAACATCTGTGTCACGCCACGCCTTTCCAAGATGTTGAACCGTGAAGCTGTCCCGCTGGTCCCAACCAAAGCCATCACTGCGTTGCATGGTTAGAGCTTCGCGGACAATGATGGCGTGCCGCAGGAAGCACAAGTCAAGGTTTTTGCTGCTTGGGATATGCCCATGGCTGTTGACATTGTAGCGAATAGGATCATAGCGCAGCCCTGCAAGACACCGATCGACCGGATGCGATGGTTGGAGCTAGACGCATATTAAATTCCCCTTCTGGTCGATTCAGCGGGCGGTGCTGATAATAGAGCTGTAGGAGCGTTGAGCGTTGTACTCGTCAAGAACTCGCGTATGTAGGGCAATCTGCAAGTCCGACGAAAGCTTGCATGTGAGTGTAGGCAACATCCATGATGACAGGCCGCAACTTGCACAGCAGCAGTAGAGGCCAGACGGACGTTGAAGCCATATACAGAGCAACGGTTGGAACCGGAACGGTGTTGTTGAAGTTCTTATCTTGGGCCATAATCAATCAAACCCTGCGCGGGCGGGCGTTATTCTAAGGTTGTTGGCGTTAGTGGCCAGTGGCCCCTGCACTTTCACATGCTTTTCCACCTCCCAGCTTTTTTGCAGGTCTAGCAAAATGCAAATGCAGGTGGAAGGAGAGGGCTGGCGGGATGTGCGATGTGGTGTAATATCTGTCCAAGGGCGATGACATGGCATATAAGAGTGTTACATCGCCCTGCCCTGCTGCCTGCTGCCTTGTTTGATATCAAATCCAATCGTTCTGTCCTGTTGACTCGTACACACCGCCGTAACCGTGACGCAGCATTCAAGGACAGGTTTCAATCATAGGTGCGTTCGTCATTGTTTGTCACATGCCAATCGCCTACCACTTTTATTCTAGCGATCATCACATTTCACTCAACAGAAATACTCTGCTACGGACAAAATTGTCTCATCCTCCCTTTCACGCATACTAATACCTTATCTTGCTACAGCTTCTTTTCATGCCCCACGCTGAATCCGATCTCAAAATGAGCAAGACACAGACCCTCGTCAATGGCGACGCGCCACAATCGAAGATCCTCTCCGTAAGTCCTTGTTCATTTCATGCTCATCTGCTCAAAACGCATGGAAAACATCGTCCGGCGGAGACTTGCTGGTTGTTTCCATAGTATCAGTGTCGACAGCTGATTATGGCTTTGACACTGGAACTATCTTTGCGAGCTTGTTCGACACACTGCTGACACTGTGCCACAGCACATCACCTCTTACCCAGTCGTTCATGACTCAATTGACTACTACAAATCCAATTCCTACGGTCAGAAGTCTCTGAATATCGCTTCAGATGTCTACGACCGCTTCGCCAAGCCCTTCTTCCCCTACCTTCAAACACCATACAGCTACGTAAAGCCCTACGCCGAAAAGGCCGACAGCCTAGGTGACGATGGCTTGAGCAAGATTGAATCCTACGTCCCCATCGTGAAGGAGGACACCGAGAAGGTTAAGACCACCGTTTTGAACTACGCCTTCCTACCTCTTCGCGTCGCTGGCGAGGGCAAAGACTACATCTTTTCCACATTCAATGACGAGTACAAGAAGACCGATGGTGAGGGTGTCTTCAAGCTCGCCAAGGCCACTATATCTACTGAGATGAGGGTTGGGCTTGACGCATACCAGCTGTTATACCAGTACCTTACGAAGGCCAAGGACAGTGCCCAGGCCAAGGGTACTGAGATTAAGGAGAAGACCAATAACTAGATTAGACGACGGGTTATTGTATAGTTGTCTGGTTCGATTGCACCTTAGCGATGTATCATCTTAACTCTCCCCACGATACTCTCCCCTTTCTGGTCTTCTTTCTGGTATTCTTTCTGGGCAAAGACTGTTCATCACAAACTGCTCACTGCGAATTGCTTCCGCAGTCAGTATCCTACGACGGTGGTGGAATCTTCGGTATGGCGGTGACGTGCTTGTCTTGACTCGGTGTCATAAATATCGATGGATATCTCAGGGACTTATAGACGGTTTATTGGAAATGACACTTTTACGATCTGCACTGAGTCCGTGACTGTGAGGTTACTTGCGAGATTGTCGTTTGTTCATATTCCGATACTGCCTTAACGCTATGTAGGACAATGTTGGAAGGGTACGAGTATTTGGTATTGAACCCATCTAGGTTGCTTTTATTGAGACCCCATACCATGGCATGCAAATAGGAAAGCCATCATCACCACGACCTATGCTCCAAATCCACCCGAAAAGAATCGCTTAGAAACCTGAAGCAATTGTTAGCAGGGCTTTTGCCTGTCCCGGGCACAACCACTTACGCAGAGGAGTGAAGAACCACCTGTTCTTTCCACTCACGTATCGCTCCTCGAGTGTCTTCTTGACAGTCTTCTTGGCCTCCTCACGTTGGCTGGGCTCCTTGAATGTGTCGTTGCTCACTACGCCCTTCAGTCCTTCCAGCTCGAGAGTGTAACGGGTGGGCATCAGGTGGTTGTAGTTGACGGTCTTGATGAAGGGCTTGACCTTTGAGCGCTTCGCCTGGGTACCCTTTGACATGCGGCGGGTGATCTTCGACGGGTAGCGTTCAATGCCGGCAACGAGAGCATGAGGGAAGGGGTGAGATTTTGAGCCGGTGTCGAGAGGCTGAATGATCACAACCTATGCATCCGTGTGTCAGCCTTCGGTCCAATGCGTAGTCTTTGTGACGTCTCTTCTTCTGCGACCACTGTGCATTCCATTATGGTATTGTAAAATCGAGTTCGTGAAGCGCGAGGGGGTCTTGGTATCGTACCTTCTTGCCAGCATATCGGCCCCGGGTGATAATGGCGACACGGCCTACCTTGAGGACTGGCGAATAGAGTTAGCATCTTCAATGGACGAGGCTATCGCATTGCACTTACACTTCATCTTGATTGAGATTCCTGCTTTGTTAGTAAAGTGATCGTGGTGCTGTCGGTGCTCGGCTGTCGACAGAGGTTGGAATTCTCTGTGAGTGTGCGCGAACCGGAAGCGGAAGAACAAGCGAGCCGTCTAGCGGAATTTGCCGTCTCGACGCTAGTCAAAACATCAAAAAAGTTACCGGGCCTGCAGCTTCAAGCCATCTCGCCGCACGAATTCAGCCATGGTAAGGAAGCGGTACACGTCGTGGATGAGAAGCGCATACTGACTCGGCAGCAGAAAATCAAAGCGCTTTCGCGATCCAGCTCATCGCAGCAGCTGCCTGGCACAGGCGTCTCACGAACGCCCCGCAATCTCAACCCAGAGCTGCATCCTTTTGAGAGAGCACGAGAATATACGAGAGCACTCACAGCGACGAAGCTCGAGCGCATGTTCGCTGCACCGTTCATTGCACAACTCGGCAATGGACATGTGGATGGAGTATACAGCATCGCGAAGGATCCCAGTTCGCTCGACCGGTTCGCCAGTGGAAGTGGTGACGGCGTGGTAAAAGTGTGGGATCTCCCGACGCGAAATGAGACGTGGCAAGCGCAAGCGCATGAGAACATAGTCAAAGGAATATGTTGGACCAGAGACAAGAAGTTGCTGTCTTGTGGAAGCGACAAGACAGTGAAGCTATTCGATCCCTACAACACAGACTCGAACACAGCTCCTGTGGGGACATACCTTGGACAAGGAGCATTCAATGCTATAACGCACCACCGCCACCAGCCTGCGTTTGCTGCAGCGAGCTCGGTCATCTCGATCTACGACACTAGTAGACCATCTTCTTCTCCGTCGCAGACATTGGAATGGCCAACCACTGTCGACACCATCCGGACAGTCTCCTTCAACCAAACGGAAACCTCCATCCTGGCCTCTGCCGGAACCGACCGATCAGTGATCATGTACGATCTCCGAACCAACTCTCCCATTCACAGGACAGTCCTGAACCTAGCGTCCAACGCAATATCGTGGAATCCCATGGAAGCCTTTAACTTTGCTTGCGCCAACGAGGACCACAACGTCTACATATTCGACATGCGAAACATGAAGCGAGCTTTGAACGTGCTACGCGATCACGTTGCTGCAGTCATGGATGTGGAGTTTAGCCCGACGGGAGAGGAATTGGTGAGCGCATCGTACGACCGCACGATCAGACTGTGGGATCGACGGAAGGGTCACTCGAGGGATATTTATCACACGAAGCGGATGCAGCGTGTGTTCTCTTGTGCCTTTACGCCAGACAGCAACTACGTCCTCTCTGGATCCGACGACGGGAATGTGCGTCTGTGGAGAGCGCGCGCGTCGTCGCGCCAGGGTGTCAAGTCGTTTAGAGAGAAGCAGAAGCTCGAGTACGACGACGCGCTCAAGGCGCGATATGCCCACATGCCGGAGATACGCAGGATAGCGCGGCACAGACATCAACCCAAGACGGTCAAGAAGGCGGGCGAGATCAAGGCGGAGGAGATTGCTGCGATCAAGCGGCGCGAGGAGAATGAGAGGAAGCATTCGAAGAAAGGGCTGCGGAAGCGACGGGCGGAGAGGGAGAAGATGGTCCTCGCGGACGAGGATTAGGGGTAGCGGTGTTCTCTCTTCTTGCGTCTTGTGTCTCTTGTAGCATAGCATAGCCACGGCGTTCAAAAGGTGGTCAGATGCATTGTTGGCGCTGGGATATGTAGTTGTTTTTGGTGAAGTTGCACAGACAGGACAATATGTTACCCGGGATGAGATGGATACTCGTAGACTGCAATCAATTCCTTGCCGCACACCCTCTTAGATGTCACAATGGTAGACGAAGCCCCGTCTTGCGAATAATCTCGTGCAATCCATCCCAGTCCTGAACGCACACGGCCCGTCCCGCTCTCCGTCGACCTGCACCCAAGACCCAGCTCCAAAAACATCACCTCCCACTCTCCACTCTACACACAACACAACACGTCAAAACCCAACCCACCCACACGAACAAACAAAAAAAACCATGACCAACAATCCCCACGACCACCCGGACCCCGACCCCGACCCCAACCTCGAAACAGACATCGACCCCGCCCTCGCCGCCGCAATGGGCTTCTCCGCATTCGGCTCCCAGCGCGCGCCCAAACGCATGCGCTTCTCCGTCGACGACGGCCCGGGCGCAGACAGGCATGAGAATAGGCACAGGCATAGGCATAAGCAGACCACCAAGACGGGTGCGAATGCTGTTGCTGTGGGTGTGCGGAGGGGTGGTGGTGGTGGTGGTGGTGATGCTACTGCGTCTGCGACTGCGACTGCGACTACGACTGCGACTGCAGGCGGAGGGAACGGGGATGGGGATGGGGATGGGAAGGGGATAAGGATTGGAGGTGTTGTCAGCGGTGGTGCTGGGCGGTGCAATCAGGATGAGATTGATCTGGATCTTGACCTGGATGTGGATGCGCTTGAGGACGCGCCTGAAGATGGTGCTGAGCGAGAGCGAGGCGAGGACACGCTTCTTCCGCTGCAGGGCACGACGACGAGCACCACCACAACATCAGCGTCGACGCCAACGACTACGACAACCACAGCTGGTACAGCAGCAGCAGCAGCAGCAACAACAGCAGCAGCAACATCAACAGAAACAGCAACAACAGCACACCCCCCCAAACCCCCACCCCCCAAGAAACGCACCGCAGCACCCGCATCCAGCCTCGCCGCCTTTCTCGCCAGGGCACACGCGAGCAAACCCCGTGGTCGGGAACCTACCGCCACCAGCACCACACAAGCCCCAGTTCCAGACGCAGAATCAACATCACAAACACAACCAAACCTCCCCCAACGCCCACCACCACACCTCTCCCATCCTACACAACTCACGCAACCACTCACGCAACCACACAACCCCACCCCCACCCCAACCCACAGAGAGCACAACAACAACAACAACAACAACACATCAATACCACCAACCCACCGCCTCTCAGACCTAACCAGCAACCAGCTCGCCGCGCTACGCAAAGGGGTACGCAACGAGCACGGCGATGTAGAGTATTTCTTGCCTGGGTTTATTGGGGATCCGTGGGGGTGATTAGCTTTGTGGGTTTAGGGATTTAGGGCTTTGTGGGATTGTGGGATTATAACAGATTATGGATGATGGATGGTGGATGATGGATGATGGATGGTGGATGATGGATGATGGATGGTGGATGATGGATGGTGGATGGTGGATGACGGGGTCGAGGAGAGGGAGAGAGGGACTGGGGACTTTGGGGAGAGGGGAGGGAGTGGAATGGGGAATGGGGTTGAGAAAGGGGTTGAAGTTTAGTGGGAGGAGGAGACAGTGTATGGTGGTGTCTAAAAGTATGATTAATGTAGGCAGACCGGGGGGGTTGGTGGTTGTATATGTGTTATACTGTATTATATTACTGTATTGTATGTATGCTGTATATGATGTATATGATGTATATGATGTATATGATGTGATGATGTATTACATCTATAAGTATTATATACACCCCCTCCTCCCCAGCCATTCATCCCTAGCAATCCATCCATCCATCCATCCATCCATCCATCCATCCATCCATCCATCCATCCATCCATCCATCCATCCATCCATCCATCCATCCATCCATCCATC